CGGATCCATTGCGCGGTTTGATTATGCTGCTTGTTCGACGGTATGCGCCGAAAGTTCGCTATCGACGTCGTGTGGCGCAAATCGTGAGTGGCCTGCTGTTTGGCGGACGGCCTTGGCGACAGCCAGACCGCGTAGCTTATCTCACGGAATATGTGGCCTGATGTATAGACAGGTGCACATGTGAACGAAGAAGATCCCTGCCGCATGCAGTGCATCTTTGACAATGCATAGCATTCCGTCCTATAGGAGACGTGGTTGTTTCATCTGGGCGATTCCAGCTGAAACCTCGGTCATAAGCGCACAAAGCTTGTTTGAAAACATGGTACAATTATTGACTTTTATAAATCAAATCTTTTAAATAAATATATTTAAGGAAACTAGCTAGCACCTGACGGCAAGAAACGTGTTTGAAAGAAATAAAAAATTCCCCAGTGGTGCGTTTTACACCAAACCCCTTCTACTCGATCGCGTCGACGCATCTGATAAGCTAACGGATAGAACTTTAAGGTACCTCAGCGAAAATCTGAACTGTCTTTAGTATACCGGATCGCATGGATCGGGTATTTTTATCATGTCATATTTTTTGTTACAATACATGCGTCACAATGTATATTATAATAATTATAAGATAAACAGATGCTAACTAGTCTAGAGTGGTACTTTATTCAAATATTAAATATAACCGCCTTGTCTTTGCTTGCATTTACCTACACATGGTCATAATGATCGAAATATAGAAACATCCTAGGAACTTTTCTAGTATACATTTATGGTACTTAACCATTAAGTCGACCCGTTTGAAGATTGATATAACCTTCAAACGTAGGATTTTATCTGATTCTTCACGTTGTTCGAAATAAACATTCATTGGATCCCTGCAGCAATAAATCATTGTAAAGCTAACGAGGCAAATGCTGCTATTTTAATGTTATCATAGTCCACGACAATGGAACACTTTCACACCTTAAATAACTGAAATTTCCACCCGGTTATAAAAGTTTGGTTATGCCTATTGCCCTTTAATAACAGACTGTGTAGCATAGAAAAGCTCTCAATCTCCAACACCTACGGTGTTAATAATTTATGCACTTTTATGGCTGAGCATCGCTGTTCTATTTACGTTTTTAAATGACCATTTAAGTAATGCTAAAGCGAGCCCATAAGAAGCGGAATTCACTGTCTATAATAACACGGCTTTTTACCTCAAATAACATTAGCTGACTGGTCGCGAATAGGCTAAACGTCAGAATAGGAATGTTAGGACAAGGCTGTTGCCCTTGCCCGCAAAATTCGACTGTCAGCTATGGTCGAATATCTGCTTTTGTGGCGAAAACGTTCTAAAGGTACTAGGTCTAATTTGATTTGATTTCTTTATGGATAATTCCTAATTACTAGACTTGAATAATAGGTTCTATGTATAGACGGACCTGAAGTGGTGAGTCAATTTTGCAGATATGTTTACGAACGTGACAAGAAACATTTTGACCTTCAAAAGCATATAACCCATTTTTGATCCTGATTTATGGACCGCCTGTAAAGGTCCCAACGTACTATTTCTATTTATACTTTTCTACAACTAATGCGCTGCGTGCCACCACGTCAAAGGCAAAACGTACATTTTAAATGTAACGGTGTTAAAGGAGCTCGCTTATCACAGAAAGCGGGAACTTTCAAATATGTAAACTAATATGTAACATGCAATAGAACTGCAGATTTTCCTTTATAGTATATATACCTATATACTTTTCCTTTATATATATATATATATGCAGCGCTTGATGATTGTACAAGAACGTACGCGTCTAAACGGGATAATGCGCTATTTGAAAGACCCTTGGATCTTTTAGGTCTCGGCCTTTTTTCGATCTTTGGGAAGATTTCCGAGCCATTATACGTAGAGTAGTAGTTTACGGTCCATTAATTTGCACCAACTGAGCCAGCCGGTGCAGCGTCTTCCGGAAAGGCCGGGCTTGCCAATTGCTATCCTTCACTAGTTAGTCCGTAGGCGGTATCATATCACTGCAGCATAATGGCGGCGAGGGCTCGTGCCCAACCCATCAAACCGAAGTGGGTATCAGCCGTAAGAACAGAACACCCGCTCCTGAACGGCCACTGTTTTTCTTTAACAGCAACAGCACGGGGATCACTGCTTGCGCCTGATCTCTTTTGCACTGGATAAACGGTGAGCCATCAGAAAATTGCAGGGCCACTTATTGCACGTTCCGGATGTTCGTCCACGGAAGCGTTTCGAATAGAGTTTTTTTAGTTAAGTGAGCAGGTTATGGCTATACAGTCTTGCGACGGCGTCCGCCATTGATTAGTGTAGAAGCGGCCCCATCGCTGTCTTTGACTAGTCGACCCCTACCAAATCCGACTCTAGTGTCCGTACGTTCACGTGTGTGTTGCTATTTGGCCACGGAACAGGCGTGTTAGCTTTCGCTATATCAGTTTCGGCTGCAACAATTCTAGTAAAAGCGTCGAATGATGCGGCAGATGTGTAGCTCAAAACAAAGCTTGTAGAATCTAGCAAAGATATCCGTATTTCTAGTACAAATATGAACCAGGTTATGATTTTTTTTACCTGCATTTTCGGTGTATTTTTTTTTGAGGCAAATATTTTCTTCGAACGTTTGTTCTTAGCTGATCAGTAAATGCAGAAAATCACAACTGCATTCAGGTCCCGCCTCATATATGATCAAACTAGATTAGCTTAAACCAAATCCCAGTTCGCACCTATTCGCTAGAAATTTTCGGAACAACGTACTCGCGTCATGGCTAAATCTAAGTAATCACTGACAATTTAGGTGATATCCTTAATTTGTATTTGTGTTCGCCTTTCGTGAATGATCTACGGAGCTGTTGGGCCCTCTCTCTCTGTGTGTGAGTCAGCTGGAGCCGTTCAGTAACGAAAGGAAAATCGAAGTTCGAAACGTTTGGCTTATCATAGAACCTTAATCTGCGCAAAGCAGAAAACGTTACCGTTGCGGTATCTAACCTAGAGCACATGTTTGGCGCGCTCATTCGGGGGCTAACGTATCTCAGGTGAGTGAGCTGAATAAGGGACTACCCTCAAACTAACACGTAAACTGACTTATTGCAGTTTTTCCACATCTTCAGCAACAGCTAAAAAAAAAGTGTTTTTTTCGATGTCGATTTTCGGCAAATGACCTGTTGGCTTCTGTCTGTTTACTTTCTGCTATGCCTCATCTGACGAAGGCGCAGTCGCCTCTAAGCTAGATAGCATCCTTAACCTATCGAGACAGGCCAACAATAATCATGGGATAATTAGCTTTCCTGGAAAGCTTCACAGTAATATTCACAGAACAGAACTATTTTCCGCTATGATTTAAACGCCATCATTTTTGTTATCTGCAGAAAAGACTAGGCGACCGTTCAGTTCATTTGAGGCTGGGTACATCTGAAGTGCCGTATGGGAAAAGCGCAACAAAGCTAAGAAGAATACACGATAGATGATAAGACATGTACAGTTTACAGACAAAATAGAACGAAACGATAGCTAACGGACCTCTTACGGATCCTTAATGCTTCGCTAAATTCCTCGAGCTTTTTCTCATAACTTTGGCAGCGCCCCTAAGCAATTATAACGATGTTCAGACATCGGTGTTTTCTGCTTATCATAACCATCGTGTGCTCCGTCTGAGATAATTAATCATAAAAAGTAGACAATGTTGATTGCTTTGTACGTGAAGGCCACGTCTGATTGCATGAAATCCCTCCAACGCATATATTCATGCAGTCGATGCTCATATCTGTATTTAATTTTCGAAAAAAAGGAGCAATTATGTTAATATAACAATAGCACGAATGTGGTTTACATGAAATTTTCCTGTTTTCTGGTGGGATATCCGCTACCCTCCATGACTATCTGTTTGCCGCTTCTGCTGGTGTTTTCTGTTTGCCTTCCCTGGACTGGTGCCCACAATAACGAAATTGGCCAGCCTACAAATGGGCGTGTGACGGATCCAAAATCACGATACAGCTGACCTCAACTTTTTGTTGTCTATTTATGCATCGATTGGTACGCACGCCAAGCGACGAAGTTCCCACGCATCAGGCACGAATTAATTCTCTCCAAAACGATTAGTAACGATGAGAGGGTAAACCACTCCTAGAAGATGATGTATTTCTACGCAAAAACACTCAATAGATTATATTCAGCTCATTTACGTGTAGTATAATTGTTATGTGTCTTACCGATAAAGTCAACTTTGTGAGACGCACCGATTTGAATAGTTCTTGCTCATGCAAAATGGCCTGATTTAGAGGTGCTTCTGGAACCGTTCTGCGAGCGAAAAACGTTCAATCGTAAAACACCGAAACCGCTGCCCAGCCGAGTTAGCATGTAATTTATTGAACGTTGAATTGGATTAGAGAAAAAACCACGACTTAACCGTCAAGTGGTTATACCCTGTCAATTATTTTGAAATAGCAGCTTTAGATCCACCCTTGGCTTAGACCTTGGGGTCACTGGTTCCGCCGACATTTGTGACTAAATGAACAAATAGACACGGCTTTAACGGTAACTAGTCTTTCCTTGTGATTATATAACGTGTATGAATTGGGTGAGCTGCCCAAACGAGCCAACGTGTTGTATAGAATGGTCGAAACTTCTATCTGATCTTCAGGAGACGATATTCGCAGTGGCAGTCATTTTGCTGAAAAAATGGAGGGTGCTAAGTAAAAAAAACAGCTAGAAGTTACCGCTTGAGACGCGAATAGGTGATCCAATAATATATACCTCACGACATAGCCGGATTCATATATTTAATAGGATACCTACACTTTAGTTTATGGGCATGTAATACCTAGGTCAAATATTGATGCGGCTCCCTTAGAATGTTTGCGCTTAGGAACTAATCACGTTCAAGCATGTTGAGGCTCGTGTCACCACCGGGACCATCTGTACTAAACGCTAGTGACGACAACAAAGGAGCCTACCGATCGGCAAACAAAACGAAAATTAGATTAGGATTATATATAGTATTGTTGTTGATGGAACGACTCAAGCAAATCGCTTATATCTCTGCTCATAATGTTTCTTCAGGGGCGGATTGAGCGATACGAGCTGCTTGATGACACTGTCCAAAACGTACGCCCTGAAACAAATGCAGCAATGAACCCGATCAAGCATAGCAAACTCCAGTGCCACAAATTAGAATAAACGCAAAAATTTTACCCAGTGTTTTTCAATTACGTCGAGTTATCGACTAATTGTAAACAAACGAATGTCGCAGCGCTTATCGACAGATAATCAAAACTCCCTATAGGAATAAAGAAATTACTCTTTATGTAAGTAGGGCATGCTTTACTGCTTTCGTAGGTTTCGCTAAAAACTTCCAGCGCATCTACTGGATTTATATAAGACACCATATTCCTACTTCATTATTTGTCTGATGCTCATGCTAACTGTGTACATAATGCTTCGTATTGTCCAAACATTACATTTACTGTGTCAGCACATTCACAGCCTCTATATACAAATTAGTACTAGGCTAAAATGGAATCAATTCATGCTGCTTACCGAATCTCTTGTCCTATAGGCGCAGAACATATAGGACACGCGTCCTTCTTTCTCCGCCAACTGCGAATACACATCTGGCAAAAGTTATGTCCGCACGATAACGTCACCTGGCAAGATGAATTTTCCAGTGATATAATCAACATTTTTCGACGGAAAATCCTAGCATAATTTAAGCATGTTCATATTTTTAGAACTGCATAAAGTAGGATATTACTTGAGTCCAATAATCCAATAAAATGGAAATCATTTAGACGTGAATAGTTACGGCTTCTGCGATACACTGTTACTTCACGTACTGTAAGAGAATGTAGAAATGGGCAACTTAGCTAGATATTTGCTTAGTGTAAATAACTGTTTACGATAAAGCAAAAACTTTGCTTCGCCTACTATTTTTATTAATATTACGTTTTTCGACTGCCGTAAAACCCAATAGTTGTAATTAATCTACGGGCTAAGTAAAACAGGCTTCCAATTTTAGCCTTTCTATGGTAGAGAAACGGATACGTAAATGCAGCAACGTGGGTGCAAACGTTCTTCGTATACGTACAGCACTGATGAACAATTCGGAGCATATGGAACACGTAAGCTCTTCTTCCATAATGTTCTCTACGCGTTTTACCACATCCGTCTGGATAGAACTATGCGCACCACCGATGGCCCCGGACACCGCGCAGATTGCACTGCCACCCACGCAGCCCGGATCCCCCCCTGGGGCAGACGTTTATTTAAAAAAATGTTGAATGAATTAGGAATGATGAAAAGCCCATTCATTTCGTCTGCTTGCCGCGTATCTAGGAATGATTGCCGCATCAAATTTTGTGCGTAGGAAACAATAAAATCTCGTTGATAATGTCTATGTGTTGGCCTACCTGCAGTGCAGTGCAAATGGGCGGCCCCATGTTGCGATGCGCCATGGTGATCCCCAGTAGAACACCTGGAAGATGACCCACTGCTAGCAGCAGGAAGGCAACCTACCTTCTCGGTATGCGGCTCCTCATCTGTAAACCATTGTGAAAAGATTCGACCGTTCTCAGTGCCAATGCACTTTCAGGCAAATGCCGTATAACTATACTTTCGGATTAATATGTAATAATTTGTTAAAGCTAACTATAAACGCTGACGTTATATTACGATCTGTATAAATTTCATGATCACTATGATACTGTCTTCTATCGTTAGGAGAGAACTCGCCGTCACTACGCGATCGGATCACGTAATTTTTTAAAGATCATGCGCATAACGTATTCGTATTAAGTATACTTAAATCTGAAAAGATTTCTGAAAAGATAATATTTTTTAAGTCAGATTTTAGAAAAGCGATCGGTAGTCCTAGAAGTATTTCTTTGAATTGGAGTAATTCTTGGCCAAATAACTGAAGAGGTTCACCTGTTTATTTAATTATCTACAGTTTTTACAAAATAATTCTCCGACTACTATCTGATAAACGAGTACGTTTTGTTCGGGGTGCAATCTAGGTTCTTTAAAATACAAGAATAGTGTGGACATACATTCAGACAGAATAATACAAATATAAATATGATATCCGCTCTAGAGATAGAAAACACGAACCATTTTCTTCGTTATTACTTTCAGGTATGGGCTGTTCTTTAAGCTGACGAGCAGAGTGTGAGGAGCCTGAGCAGGACTTCCCATGTGGGCCCGCCCCAGCAGGAGTATAGATTACTTTATTTGCAGCTGTGGATAACCAAAATACAGTATTCAAGGACACCTGAAATTAGAAGCGCGGATATATTACACGAACACATCGTTTGCGAACACATATCACCTTAACATATATCAGTGGGGCCTAATTCTAATGTTGTTTTTTGGTCCATGCCAGTTCACTTACTAGATTTTCTACTTCATCGTCTATACTAATTAGGCTTTACACATGAAAATTACTAAGGAATTGGATGAAAGCGATAACTAAATAATCAGTTCTGACCAGCTTGGCATCCTCGTCATCCGGAATCTGCACAAACTGGAACGCCATATTTGTTCGATGTATCGGGCCCAGCGAGATCACGTCCTGAGCAAATTGAAATTGCGGCTACCGTTAGATTGTCAATCGCATGATGTACTGCCTCAGCTTCCTCCGTTAAAATCGTGCCAGTCTTTTGCAGTGGTGCGTAATTCAATCCATATACTACAAATATTCGCTTTTATACTGTTATGTACGAAGCTGCTGCACTATCTGAGCACTGTTGGCTCTGACGAACAATGAAATAATATTAAAAATGTGTCTCAAATTTTTCAGCCTCATTATCAAAGAAACTATTAAATCTTTCCTTTAAATAGTAAGCCCGACGCAAATTGAACTTCAGGGAGTAAACTGGCTCTTTGAGCCACTCACCGGTCAGTATTTTCGATTCTCTTTGGATTGAGAAAGAAAAACAGGCAGCCAGGTACCCCATTGAAGTGAAGTCCTGGAATCAGACCACCCATTTCTTTTTCTCGATATATTTACTGTGCTCCAAAGGCTACTGGCAGTGAGATACGATCCGAGAAGCCACTAGGTCTTAACGATACTGTATAACTCGTAATCTTTCTTCACTCTATTAGACATTTTGGGTTAGCATATGCCGATGGCCAGGCTTGAATCAGCGACACCTGCCCGAACCGACGACTCATTGTATCGGTAAACATGCATGCAGCAATATCAATGATAGCCTTCCACAAATTGGACAGTGTATTTGAAAGAACGTCTGTTTCAAACTAGACATGAAATTCTGTATTTTAATACAGGCCTAGCGGCAAGTGGGATGGTAACAGCTTGAAATGATGTCGTGATCCAATTTTTACTATATTTACCCTAACAGAACCGTGTTTAGTTAGGAAACCATATTGCCTAGCTAGTCGTATAACTTGAACACGTTATAGCGATTCATATGAATTAGCCTCGCCTAAATAAGACACTCAAGTTTTGACACTATCAGAAATTTATCTGTTGAAACGTTTCAGTTTACCTCCGATTTAAGATTGGCGCACGCAGGGGGTTCGATCTTCCTGTGATTGACGTAAACTCCGTTGACCGAAGCGAGATCGCGCACAGTCCAGCTGCCTCCTTTACTTCGTCGAAACTCCGCATGTCTGTAAAATTGGATTTCAGAGATGAGAAATAAAATCGTCTGTAGAGATTTTAAGCGTAACAGTAAAAGTAAACATGCTATTCTGAAGCGAGGTCGTTTCAGAATCTACTGTATATGTTAGTATAAATGAATATCGTGGTAAGATGTGATCTCGGCCATCCTTTAACATACCTACTGTACATATCACATTGTCAACACTTCTATGAAAAGCAAACCTTCTGTATTTTATCAGTAAATCCATCAGCGGTAATTCATCTCTGAACGCCTAGCCATACCCCAGCTTGAGAAAATTCTAAATGAATACAGCCGAATTAGTAAAACAGCCTAAATTGTGCCTAAATTGTATACATTATTACGGCCTGTATTCACCTATTGGCGTCTAAATATTCGGTCTAAAACAGTTACACACGGGAGCGGTGTAAATCCAGGTGAGCCTTAGAGACGTAAATTCATAGCGAACACCCAACCCTAGCATCAATTTCTACAGCATTATCACGATTACTCTTTATAACCATTACTACTAATACAATTCTTCCGGTGATTTTTACGGTTTATTATCATAATCTACTCTCTTGTTGCTTAGTGCGAACGCAAAAAGACAGACCGTCAGCTCGATTTTGTTAAGCTATCAGGCACAGCTGATCCGTTTGATTGATATTCTCTGATACAGAAAAGACGCACCTGGCAAAGCGGCCATTTGCTATGAGAGATCAATTTAAGTCTTTGGAAAGAGCGTTATCCCTCGGAGATGCCTGGTTAAGGACTAGTGTAAACTGCTTCCTTGATTCCAATCGATTTGTCTGCTAATCGCAACTGCATTTGTAAAAATCAGTATACGAAGCTAACGTTACGTTTACCAGTTACACAACCTCTTTTAAACTAAAGGTCTATGACTCTTGTTATTTATGTTTAAATTAGTGTAAAAGCATAATTTACTAACTGAAGGAAGACAAAACATATCACCTACCGAACTGTGGAAAATTCTAGCCTGTGGCACCGACTACTATAGGACTATATAAAATAAACCACTGTTATCGATCGATTCACGCGCTTACCGGAGTTTCGTTCTAGCGTGAGGACAAATCGGATGAGAAAAAGATTCGATAGGAATATGTTTTCCAAGAAAAACGATCATACAGACCAACAGAATGATCCATTGAAAAACTGGAGTGAGTCATTTTTTAATCGAAGCTGCTTGCTCTGTGGGCACCGTGCCCTTTATTCTCAAGCCTCGATTGTAGACCAACGTTAATCGATTCGGCTATAGGAGAAATAACTATTATTAATAAGCTAATACATAACTTGTTTGTAAATATAACAGTACGGTAATTTTAATTTGGTGATAATAAAGTGATTGACATAAGCAAATATAACTAGCAGCAAGTATTGGCAATAGTTCATACACCTAGTAACTTAAACGCTAATACTTTAATACAAAACAAGAAAGATGCTTTATAAGGGCGATTATGGAGGCTCATTCAAAAAATGACGGCCATCAGGCTACCTTCAAATGACCAATTTTGTTTTTAAATATTGTCTTCGAAGCAATAGTGAACATAAAAAACTTGTTTCAACTTGGACCGCATTTAAATAACCGTGGGGAAATGTCTGCAGGTAGTGTAGGGTAAATTACAGTAAAACCTTTCTCACAAGAAATGCTGAAAGAATCTAAGTTGAAGAAGCTCGAGGAAATTTTTGAGAAAATATGCAGAAATAAACGTAATACCACCTTCTAAATAATTCGCACAGCCCATTTAAACATTTTCGTATGAAACACACGGTCGTGTCTACAATATACCTACAATACAGGTACTCGCTATTAATTTTCTGGTGTTTAGTATATTCATTAGAATAAGTTCAGCTTACGAGAGGAATATCTTATAGAAATATCTAATGCAGCTCGCAAGAACCGTAAATTAAAAACAGCAACTATTTAGAAAAAGAAATTAAATTATAATATTGTTATGGATTGTATATCACCCACAGGCTAATATATCGTATAATATAACATGTTTAAGGCATCGGTCTTGGCAAAATATGAGTAATTAAATGTATGAAATGAAAATAGCATTCAGCTGTAAAAAATTATCTTGCTACTTTAAATTCGCTGGCACAGTAGTTTTAGTTTTCCTCTGGTTTTGACCGACCTTCTGGAAACGATGACAGAGTGTATCGAGACAGAGCAATTTCCTGATCGTCCAAGGATCTCCTCATCTAGCTTTAGCGGTATCTCTCGCGTCGGTTCGGCGCGCATCATAAGACAGTTCGCCGTCTCCGCGGCAGAGGCAGCCATCATTACCTGTTGACGTTAACGAACGAATGCGGATACAATCGTCTTCAGACAAAATTGACCGCGGGCGGCAGCAGTAACAGTACTCAATTAGTGAATCAGCCAGTCACATGAAATCATGAGCTTGCAAATTGTTTCCGTTTTTATACATTAAACGCAATGAGAAACGATGATCGATTGCGACACTATCACAAACAATTAACAGTAATGCGATACACATCTATCTGTAGAGCGGTTGTTATTGTTGACAAACGGCAACAGATCTCCGGAGCGCCTTCCAATTGATAGACCGGTTATCCGCACAGTCGTCAGTAGAATGCGTCCGTAGGATCGAATGAGCGGCTGCGTGAGCACGAACAAGAGTCGTTATGGACCCAAAGGGAACACAACACACCCTCTCTTAATTTGAGATTGTTATATTTTCGTAATAATATGATTTTCTTAGAGTTGCCGTTGTTATAATGATTGTTCTCCACGAATTGATGATCGGTCAACATTATTTAGCCAACAATTGTCAAAATTCTGGAGAACGTCGTAGTAGAAGCTACCGCTGCTGTAACCGTGATGACGCTGTCGTTGCTGTTTGGGGATGCTGACCGTGATGATAATAGCGAGGTCTTCTCTTGATCTGTTTTAGCCGCTTCTGCTGCTGCCACTGGCGCTAGAATTTTGAACAGTTGTTGTCGAGAGAGTCAAACTGCGCTTGGCCAATGGCCGCGTTTTACCTTTACCACAACTACTTTTCCCCCATTTTATTTCGAGCAAGATTGCACTTGTTGATATAGATATCAATCAGCCCAAATCAACATAGACTTGCTTGTCCCTTACGTAATTATCTGGACAAGTAATCACGGACATACTGATATCACCTCAACAACGCATCGACGGATTCCGACCTACTGCAAGACTTATCACCGGTTGCATGACATCAGGGCTGTTAAAGAATGGAGATATTAATAACGTATGCTTCGTTGGTATTATTTCATTTCAAGTCAATGATCTCAATTTGAATATTTCCGTCGCTGAGATCCTTTTGACGCATAGGTAAATTTCTCAAAATTACTATCTGTCACTTCAGGATTATGTGAAGGCTTCAAGGTGAACTGATGATTTATTGTCGTTTAGTGACACAAAATTTCAATGTTTTTATAAAGGTCGAATGACTTCTGTTTCCTATTTGCTAGATAATATTTCGTTAATCTCCCTCGTTCTGTAAAATTACAGATTGCAGCTTTTTATTGTTGTTGTTGTTGTTGTTGTTGTTGCTGCTTTCTTTTGTAGTGAAAGCCATCAAAAATGATGTTTGCGCTCCATTGCCACAGCAAATAATTAACTCATCTCTGCAGTCCTTGAACAGGCATTAAATTGAGTGTATTGGATGCATTTGAAGAAATTCTCAACAACGACAACTGAAGGGTCTAAATTGACATTAGAGAACCAATTCACTCCGACACCACTATGGCCTTAGCTGGCGGTCTACAATCTATGCTGCAAAATCTTCGGCCTTGACACGGAGCAGCCCTTTAATATATATTTTATTGATAAATGAACGACTTGCGTCTTTTCATTAGGTGTTGCATTTAAATGAGTGTAAGGCCTGATACAGTGTTGCCGCTGTACCAGGCGACCTTACACCTACCGCTTTCCTATGGTTCTAATTTTACCACAGGGAACTCATACGACGACAAGTTCAGCTCTTGTGTTACAACAATGTTAACCTCTTAGAAAAACGGTGAGTCTTGAAACATTACTTATGTTGAGTTGTCGCTGTTCACAAAATCGCTGATTCGTTCGTAATTGCGTAATTGCGATTCGGCTAGTACGCCGTTCATACCGTCCAAGCGTTTATCCGCGCTTCTTGCAGTACCAATAGAAAGAGCAGCAGCTGTTATTGCTAGGATATTATTGTGGTCCGTCATTGATCGCCTTCCTCATTGTGTTCGTCGAAAAATCGTTTTGGTGGCAAATTAAATATCAATCACTTTAGGCAAGGCCTTTATGGCAATCCTGAACTAACACCGTTCCAGTTTTATTGTACCACTGTGTGCTAAGAATGGGAAAATTTCACACATTTCACATCATTGGCTTTCGTCCCCACCCACGGCCAAATTCGTTTTACTGCTGCTTTACCAAAGAGCAAGATACACTTCGATGAGACATCTTTTGTAGATTGGAGACGACAACAACAGTAACAGTAGCAGTAGCAGCAGCAGCAGCAGTAGCAGTAGCAGCAGCAGCAGCAGCAACAACAACAACAACAACAACAATACGCTGCTCTTCAGCTTTCTGTCTGAGCTTCCGATGAGTGAATTGCCCGAGCAAGCACTAGCAATAGGAGCACCCCCGTAATTTCCTCCCTGTCTCGTTGTCTTCTTTATCGTTAGCTGGCGCCGTCTCATAACAGGGGGTATTATTTGTAACAGCGTAGGTAGTCCAGAGCAGACAATCAGTTCCACCGCCAATGCTACTATCGATGTCGACCACCAGCACCACCGCAGCAATCGGCTCATTTGCCTCGGTCAGCTATCGTGCTATTGCATATCGTGCTGCTGCTGTTGCTGCTGCTGCTGCTGCTGCTGCTACTGTCGATAGGGCGAGTGGAGCAGACCGTCAGTCTGTCAGGCAGTTAGCCATTCAGCCAGCCAATTAGGCGACAGATCATAGCAGTTGCAGAGGTGATGGGCGAACGAGTTGCTATTTCTCGTTCGGCCTTCATTCTGCAGCTGAGCTGAACAACTCACAGATCCGCTCCTTAAGGGCTGAACCCGTCGTTAGGACTTGTTCCGTGCTATGTGTGTGCAGTTCTGCTCATGTGGAATAATATCCGATAGTCGGAAAGGATACGGAGCAACAGCAGCGTAGGGAACCGCGACGGCAGCTGCGCTGGTTTCGGAGCCTGAGCTGGCCCTGTCGGCAACTTGACATTGGTTTGTTTTGGATGGTTTCTGTGTGGTTTCGAGTCTGTGCTTATTCTACTGCTTCGATAAAGCCGCTGACAGTACGTGATTAAAGATCGGCTTGTGCTCACTGTTGTTTCAATCATCCCGGTAGATGATCGGTCACAAGATATGGATCCCAGTTGTCCAATAACTGCTATATTATATGTCATCGTCGCTGTATCAGCTATGTGTTCTCGGTTTCATAAACAAAATATTACTACCACTAATCTGTCAGGTCGGTCTTCAATAAATAGACTTTAACGTGTTTTACTGATTCGGACACATATCGTTTGAGGAGAATCCATCAGATTTATAAGCCAAGCAGGAATTGTTTATCTGGGAAGATCGTCTTCATCTAAAGTAATATACAGTGATAAATTGTACTGCCCAAAGGACCAGCATACATCCACCAAACCATTTAACAAACAGGTACGAGCTTACGAAGATTAATACACAAAAATTAATTCAAATATCGATGCACTCCAATATGATTTTTTGGCTTACTCAGTATTCTGGCATACTAAAGTAAAAATCCTTTCAGCTTTATTATTGGTCATGGCTGAAACAACAGCGACGTATCCAATCTAAATACTTAAAATCATGTTATTTTTTTGTAAAATCAAATAAAATATATTTGACATACTTGTTTTAGAGCAAGGTATGTAATTGTTATATGTACATAGAAAGTTAATATAGCTATTTTAATCACTGATTCCTAAAACTAAATTCTGAGCAGCAATTTTGCGCTGAAACTTTGTTACGCATTCTTCACACTTACTTCTATCGCCTAGGTTATCCATGAACATGAAATAGAACCCTGCCACCTCATTACATATACACGACTGTGTAGTAGCTTACACTGAACAGGGAAAAGTTATTCTTAAATGATGAATTGTTAAATCAATCCAATAGCCTCATCTTTGTTTTTTGGTTATGTACGCACTTTTTTAAACATATTCTGTATTGCTGATATTCGCATTATTACTTGCATTTTTATATATAATAAAAAAAGGTAAAAGTGTATAATAATAGTTATACTGCTTATTTGAACAGATAGATTTGTCTGTCTATACACAGTCAATACACAGAGATGTATATTATCTATCTGTATTTATGCAAGTGATTCGTATCGACCTTTCTACAAATACATTGGAATAGTCTTCATGATTGATCATTAATATGTAGAAGTTCTGACCAAAAAAACAGTTTTCCAAAAATATCGTTAGCTGTCGTTTGTTTGGACTATCTCGCATTAAGAACTGAAATCCAAAGTAGAGTAGTTGCCATTATTATAACCAGAATTACCCACAGAATCAGAAAGTACCATTGAACTGCACAATAAACTAAAGAGTTTGATTGATAATTTGACGACTGTGTAAACTGTCTCAAGCGATGCTAGTTCAAAGAATGAAGCGATTAGTATGATATGTGATTGTAGTTTAGTTTTTTTTATTTTGCGTCATAATAATAATAATGAAACATAATTAAGTTTCGTTAGAAATTAATGCATTTAAAATAAATACACTCTGGTCTCCTTTCAACAAAAAACGCTAGTAAACTGACCCGAAGCGTTACTCTACCTCTTTTTGTGATCGACGTTTATGCTAATTTAAAATGCATCTCCCGAGTCACTTCAGCTGTCGTGCATTAACCACTTCGACCAATTGAAAACTTCCTGCTGCAAAAGACGCATAGCAAACAAATCAGAGAATTTGTTAGCTGGAAGAAAAACGCCTGAATAATAGAGCGATCGATAATGATTCTCATCTTGTATCTTCACGACCTTCCAGCCAAATTGAGTACAACTCTAGTAAATCGCCAACGAACTGTATGACATCAGGCTTAACCAATTTTCACTTTTAATTTTAGAAATTAGAGCGCTCCAGTCTTACTGGCCGATAAAATATCCCATCGTTATTTAAACACCTTCTGGCTATCAAATCGAAAGCACCTACAAAACTTTTTACATGATATTTTTAATAGTCTCTGCATAAATCAACAAATTCTTTCAATAGCTTTAGTTAAACAATAGGTTGGCAACTTTTCTGTTTTTTTTTCGGTAAAATTTAACATTCTATATCATTTAAAGATATATGTATACACTTATAACATAACTAGTTGTATAGGCTTACCTAAATTATCTTTTTTACAACCTTCTATCTTTGGAACTGTTAAAACATTCAAGACAATAAAAAAAAATATTTCTATTAAACGAATAAAGAGGCAATTTTTTTTTATTCCAGATAGGCTTGACTCACTGTGATATGCTCTATACTATTATTTAACACTTTTTTCACGATTTTTTTCTGTAGTACACGTTTTGAATTTGCGAAAGCGCATAAGCACTTTATTCAAAAGATTAGTGCTTCAATTGTATATAAATTCTTACATAAAAGTTTTCTGATTTATGTGTGCGTGAATAGCAAAGGTGGGAGTGGACGATTATATTCTAGATTTACAGGGATCTGTTGCTTCACTGATTTATTGCTTGTGTCATTAGAATGGAACGCCGTATCGCTTTGCGTTCCCTTACGGCTTACTTGTCTTGCCGCATCTGTCGAGGATACCTCATCGAAGCGACAACAGTTACAGAATGCCTACATACCTGTAAGTCACTTTCTGTCTATGTTTAGACCAGTGCAAATCTTGTTGCCCTGGTATATCATGGGGTTTAATAAATCAACGATAAACTTTTACAGGTGCAAAGGATAGACAACTTAATCAACATCGCATGGAAGCTATGCATTATAAGAAGAGCATACAGCTAGTTTCATTGTATTGTAGTTTTCATAATGTTTCATTTCAAAGTTTCTCACTTGATGTTCTTAATCGGTTTTCTGAACTAAATGCCTACTCATATTACTAAGCTACTTTATATATCTATGTTTTGAGTTTCGTCCGTTATCGCCATCCGGTATTTCATCAGACGGCTGGCTTCAGCACGAGACGAAATGCAAATCTAGGTACAAGATTAGTAAACAAATACGTTACCCATTATGCTATGACGGGGACAAGTTACTTTATACCAAACGGTTTTTAAGATTTCCTATAAGATATCAGATACTAAAAATGGCATATCTAGCTTAGATATATCGCAGATTGCTCGCTGTATAAACATAAGCCAAATGTGTGTCCGGTAAAAACAACTTGTTATTATTTTTTTTAAAGATTTGCTTTTGTTTTTGACTTTGTTTTACACTTTTGAATTCTTACGAACTTAAAACAAGTTTGTTGTTATATCGTGTACGTGCCATTTAATCAACTGTACCATATTTCCCATTACCGATGTTATAGTCTGCAAAAGTTGCTTAGTAAAGCATCTCGAGGAACGCAACACATGCCCACAATGTGAGACCCTTATTCATCAAAGTCATCCTTTAAACTACATAGCGTATGACAGAACAATGCAGGACGTCGTTTATAGGCTGGTACCCGAACTACAGAAAAGTAAGTTAACGATGCGGCTTGTCTGAAACTCCTTTGTGACAGGTTTAACTTTCGTTTTATTCTGATAGAAAAAAAAACAGATCAGGTCTAATATATTTTCAATAGATAATGAGTGACATGTTTGGAAATATTTCCTTGTAGAGCTTCAGATATCCAACTAAGTGATTACAACTATTCCAGAGGAGCTAAAACGTGAGTGGGAATTTTACGAGAACAAGGGTCTAGCATTCCCTCGAACCTTGCCACCAAACCTTCAAGCCCTGCTCAAGGATGTGCAAGCCGTAAGTAACTTTCTAAGGGAAATTATATTTGTATTTCATCATGATATTAATTCCACAGTTGGTATAACGACATCAGCCGCCGAATGAAACGAGGTTTTCTGTTAAAAATATTCCTTATTTCGACGGCAATAAATACAGGCATTTTTTTTATATACTTACGATACGTGTTTCTATCTTGTTATCTCAGAAGGAAAAACCAGAAAGTGGAAGCGCATCTGCTTCCGGCAGCTCTGCAGCTGGATGTGCACGAGATGGTGCTGGTGCTGATGAGGAAAATCAAGCCGCTAATCACGGTGACTGCCACAGAATGGATGAACAGGTACAGAAATGAACAAGCCGAAAAAGGGGGAGAGGGTTAGGGCCCCGGAATGCGGCATGTGTTTTCTAAAAAGTTACTCATGGGTCTCAAATGAGTAAGGTTAAATAATCGAATTATGAAGTTAGTTTTTATCGACTATAAATACCTCAGGAGGTTTTTTTCACAGTTTTTACCTCTATAATTCTTGGGGTGACTGGGCTGTCTGTAGCAACATCTGCTGTCCAAAAAACTCTGTTTACAGTTCTTTATCACTGCTGTTTCGTAAATAAATTCGCAGGATTCTTTTCCTTGAGATTAAATTCGAACACGTTACGACAAACATCTTTTAATGCAATCCACGTTGCATTTGGGGACACAGCTATTTCTATTTACAAACGGAAATTTGCTTCAGAAAATATTGACTTTGAAGATTTTTACATTATTGCAAGTATCAAGTGAAATCAATGGTTGATGACCCTTGTTGCGTTGCTGTCGCAGTTTGAGAATTGGGTATATCGGATTTTACGGCGAGAAATCATTTGCACTCAATGGGCAAAAATGGAAAGTAAGTTGCTTGTTAAGTAAGCGATGAGCAAGAACGGTGTGTTTGTCGGTTTGCTTTTTACTGCTGCGGAACCAGTGTCAGCGTGATATTTTGTTAACGAAGTGCCACCTGTATTCACCAAAATGACCAAGCGAAGCAACGCTACCGGTAAACAGACCAATGAGCCTGTCTAGGCCCATCCGAAACAAAAAAAGCGCCAACTATAAGTTAGGTAGGCCACTAAAGCTAGAATTCGCTTTGCGTAGCTGGAGAAAATGACAGATGTTCTGAGTGAGAAGCAACCCAGCTTCCTAGATACGCGTTATACTTCACGACCATGCTTTCTGCACACATCGTGAGAGTTCTTATTGCAAAGCTACAAAAAGGATCTTTAGCACACTCACCATACTTACCTATTTCCGCACTCTTTTGAAAATGCGTTTAACAACCGTAATCGAAAACCTGGATTTTGGTTTTTAATGCCAGGATGAAAACATCTGTAGCGCAAGATCTAAGTGAGGCACGATGCAAATCTGTCAGGAAAAAAAACTTTCGCTAAATGAAACTCGATTGCCTACAACTCACTAAACCGTATGTCATGCATCAAAAAATACTACACACTTCTGCAGCGTGATAGATTCGGTGCACCTAGAAGCTTAGTGTCGAATTTTAATGTAATGATTTGTTTCAACATAAATTGTTGCTAGAACAACTGTGGCAATTAAAAGATAAGAATTTCAGCATTAGAACACACAAACTGGTAGCAACGGTTATTAACATGCATTCGTTCCGCATTAGGTAAACCTTTTACTCGAGTCCGATGCTCCTTTATCACTAAGATCGCTGGAAAGAGCCTTTATCCGTGTATCAACCCAGGCGACAGTAACGCACCTTAAAAAGTATCTAGCGAAGAAAATCTTTAACACTACATCAAAATATAATGAGGTAAGTTGGAATTCCTATATCAAAATGCACTGACAGATATCCGCTAGAAATCTGAGCCATGTTCTGAGTGACGTTAATAGGAGTTCACGTATCATTCAAGTATTAACTGCGAAAAAATAACAAGTACAGTTACTAGTAGCGAAGCTTGGAAAACGCACGATACTCTTAGGATATCGAAAGAAATATATAGGTAGTCAGAAGTTTTTTTCTAGTAATTACTCATTGCAAAAGACAAAGTAGTTAGTCACGCATAATCGAAGACGCCACCGGTCATAACCCAGGAAACTATATATATATATGAGATACCTATTAGATTACATTTGTATGTATTGCGAATTTTAGGTGGAAATCCTCTGCAATCGTGAACTGTTAGGCAAAGACCATACTCTGAAATTCGTTTGCGTCACGCGATGGCGGTTCAAGGAGCCCCCTTTACGTCTCCATTATCGGCCTAAAATGGAATTGTAATAACTTTCTTGCGTAACAGCTACTACATCTTATAACTAAAAATTAGAATTTATTGCCAGTGGATGACTAAAATTAGGTCAACACCTTGTAAGAATTATGTATATACATAAACAAATGACAACTAATGATGTTTTTGTATAACTTGTTTAATAAAGAAACGAGTTGCCTTGTAAACTCCACCATACGACGTATAATCGTGTCGTTCAAGTTACACGAGTGAATGTGTGATTCCTGAGTCACTGTCAAAAATGTAACTCACGAAACACTACAATGTTTACCAGAAATAACTGGCGAATAGTTTCAAAAAGGATTTCTTTGTTTCAAGGTTTAGTATACGCACATAGCGTGATGTACGCATATACGGTAAGCCCTTTCAATCCAATGCTTTTTGTCGTATTATTTAATGGAACTCGAGAGAAACTGAGGGAATGCGACAACGATATGCACAACTGGTTTTCAGTGGACTGTCTACTCATGATACTAAGAGTTTAAAATGGGAATTTGGTTCCCTTCTATTGATAGTTCATAGAGCTTATAGCACCCCGCTACATCACAGCCTTGTTGATGTTGTTTATCTTCAGTAAACAGAAGTTACTATCTGGCCAGTCATGATAGAGACGTAGGTTTGCTTGTAGAATGAATTTATGAGCTACTTAGGTAATTCAACTTCTGAGCGCAGCGTGCAGCAATGAGTTTAATGCATGGATTTCGCTTTAAGTTTTTTTTTATTTTTAACATTCTATAAATATATTTATAAAATAATAATAGTTATAAGCTATTTTATAAATATATTTATAGAATGTTAAACTTCAGAACGCTGGAAGCTCAATGGGTTCTACTTAGTATAGTGAATATTATGGAATAGACATATTTAAAAATATCCTAGGTTTATAGATTGTACTATTTTGTATATGCGCGAAAAATACCTAGTGCTTTTTTGTAATACGTATCTATATACGGATAGACTATATTTAAACCTGCACTAGCACCACTAAGTAGTATTTATTTACCTACATATATACATGTAAAATAAGCACTCAGTTAATGTCTTTGTCACCGTACAATAGCCATGAGCGCGTTCATCATAATTGTCACCACCGCCTGCCATCGACTATTGTGATCATCGAGTGTTTTTATTCATAATTATCATCAGTATAACCAGGCCAGTCACCGCTTCTGCTCCGGCTGTCCAGGCCACCGCCGTTTTTCCCTATTACTGTTTGCAGTAGCAGTACTTTTTCTTCTGTTTGTTATCTTCTCCTCATATTGACATCTCTATTATTAAGTATTACTATTGTTCTTATCATAACGGCCACGAGTATACACGAGTTAAATATGCTCCCTAACTGCTTCTCTTTAGATATTTGACCACAGGGTTGCGTTTTTTCGTTGATTCTTTATATATAACACCTCACCCGCCGATTTCTTGTGCTCACACTACATCGCCATCATATTACTATTGTTGCTTTTTTTCCTTCCATTTAATTATAATGGCCGCTGGTTCTGATACTGATGTTACTCTTCTCCACAAATCGTTGCCAGTCAATCAATCACCACTTCACTACAATCTCTCCGTATTAGTATCGCAGTAATTAATAATTAAAATAAACACCACCACCACGTCATCATCTGCATTATGATGATTTTCTCGCATCAATTTGTTTTTCTGCATGTCGATTTCCCTACTAACATACGACCTTTTGTATCTATCTACCTTCCCACTGTCAGGTCAGCCCACTACCTTATTTCACCTCACCTTCATCACTTCACCGGAGGTCCTTGTCTACATATTATTTATTATTTTGTAGTAGATAGATACTACTCAAAACCACAACTACCACCCATTCTGCTTTTTTCACACCCCGCCCACATCACACAACCCACTTCACGGCCTACCTACGTATATTCCAACGCATGCCCGCCGGTCGTTTTCCTTATGTATTGGTTTTACTGTTGCTTACAGGTCCTGTTCTTTATATGTTTATGAATTCTGTGTGTTGTCTGTTGTGTTTGTTGGAACGCTCGTGTGCTTTGGCTGGCCATCTGCATTTCTTCTTCTCGGTCTAAATCAGTGTAGTTATGTCTGTATTTCAATGAGTGTTCTTATGTAACAAGCACCTGCCACTCGCACCTCCCAACAATACTCTCGAACCATGATCAACATATCGTCATTGTGATTGTGATGTTTAGTCGTCGTGGTAGCGGTAGTGATTATAGCAATAGAAGTAATTGTATTGTATTTGTGAGTCAAGCATTTTTGTATCCATCTGGCCCTGCCAGGTAGCGCTGACTTTTAACCCTTAATTGTTAGTGTCAGCCAGTCGCTCGTTGGGATCTTTTTTTGTCGTTCTAACTCCCTCCTATATACTGCCTCCTTTTTATCTATCAGTTTCTGCTTCACTTCTTCTCTTTGCTTTGTTTATCTGTCTTTCACTCCTACAAGCCCGTATCTCTTATACGTATCACCCCTCATCGCACCCTATCCATTTTAATTATTATTCACTAAAACACAAAAAACGTCTTCTATCATCAGCAAGTATTTTCGTTCCTTATTTCCATCATCATCGTTGTTATGACTTTCGCCAACTGCTCCATCGCCATTGCATTGTTTTAACCAACTCATTTTGTCGGCTGTCACATGCTTCTTTTTCCATTATACAGACGCCATCAACAGTTCGACACCATCTACATGCCATCGGCGCGTCATTATTTTCTTCGGTAGCTTGGCGCAGGTCATCGAATAACAGTTCGGAGAAGGATAAACACGAATAGTTTGTCCTTATAATCAGCCATCCAGTTAGTCCATTATGAATCGTCATGCAACAACGCTATTTCTATCTACCTCGTTTTGGACTTTCTTTATCGAAAGAAGCTAAGGGGAAAAGGATGTAGCAGGTAAGGAAAATAGGACAGATGTACATAACTTGTAGGCTACTAAATAAAAATAATCATTAACACTTTTGTCACTCTCTTCCGAGTATTACGTTCCGACTTTACCTCTCCATCCTTCCACATTGGTGATCTAAGGCAATATACATTTATTTCAACCCGTAGTAGATCGGCCGATCGATACTCATAAGTACACTTCCCGTAGACGCCCGTTAAAGGAGACAAAAACAGGAGAGAATGGACGTCATTTCTCTTGACAGATACCGCTGCTACTGCTGCCGCTGTAGATGGTCAGCTGTTGTGTGATGAGTTGTTGATAGATGGTCAATAGTTGCTAACGTGTGCCTAGTCGGGCGCACAGTTTAAAATTTGATTCGTTCCCTTGCCGCGTCGAGTCGATGGCCATCGTAAGCCAATCACCTGCCCTACGCATCGTCTAATTCTTGGCGAGGTCTATTCGAATAAAAAAGGCAATGCAGTACAACGTGTTAATAAAGCTACCATTTCGATGTAGCGTAAGTATATGACCATTACAAAACCATTACGATCATTATGATCATTACCATCACCATAAAAACAATCTAAGAAAGTAGAGAAAAAAGCCTAGAAATTCAACGTAACACAAACCAGTGTTGGCAACGGCCGCGCTGGTGCCCGCTTGGGCGTTTTGACCCGTTTGAGACGACGATGGTACCTAAATGCATGGAAGGAATGATAATTGCATTATGAATTCTATAATTTGTGCAGTAGCCTTCTATCAGTGTGCACGCAATAGAATGCTTATTTTACATTTACATCTAGTCCCCTCCATTTTTGGTTTTTGAACAAATATTTCTGAATACAAATTAAGCCAGGTTATAAATTCAGCTTAATTGAATTTCGTTTGCTTGACGATGTAGACAAACAAAACTGCATAAGTCCTATTTATCAGATACAGCAGGAAACAGCATTTGCCTACTATTTAGGCTCTATAACAAAATTTTAAAAGCGTCGTGAGCCACTTGCTCGTCCGTTCATAGAGATTAACTAAATACTAAAAGGGTCAGATGACCTACTCAAGCCAAAAATAAGCCATTCTTGCGTTTTGTGCTGTTTGGGAGTAATCCACTGTACGATATTATGTTTATGAAATAGTCCATTAGTTGCAATGTTTTTTGAAATCAGGCCACGTCTAATCGATTAGTGATTCATGGCGGTGGCGGTGGGGATTGTGTTGATAGCTGCTACCTGTCCGGTGGCTTGATTCGAATTCGAGGTTCCTACCGCTGCTCCGTTGCCTGTTTTCTGCTTCAGCATCGTCCAGTCGAACGTATAATCGTATTGGTGATTCAATGTACGGAATAGGATCCTGCGATATATCATCAGCCACCGTCAATGGAAGAATTACAGTACAGTTAGAAGCAGCTTTTTTCGATGTGTTCATTAATTTTTCAAATCAATTTGCATATCCCAAATGTACCACAAAAGTATGAATTGGATTTTGTGACCTGGCGCCTTCATTATACGTATCAGTGGAACTTACCTGAAGAGCTGCCTGAGGTACATATAGTCGGGGGCCTCCTCAAAACGTAGCCCTCGGCAATAGTTCAGGTACATCGCGAACTCCGCCGGGTAACCCTATTTACATAAAGCAACACACGCTTTTCGTTAGGAATATGCAATAAAACCAGTTTATTTTCTCATTTTATTGACTAGGCTAAAATAATATAATTTAGGGGACACATTTCCGCAAAATCGCTGGCTTACTTTTGTGAGGAACTCAATGGGAGTGCCCATCTTTTTTTCGGAGATCTTTTCGTACTTTTGTTTCTTGGTTGCTGCTTTCAGGCCTTGCCATGGCAGCGAACCTCTGCAACAATGAAATGCATCCGTTCAGTTAGTGTTCATATGTTTTTACAGATTCTCTGTTAACGATAATAATGTACGAGTTTGAAAAATCGTGCATTTGGTATCCACGAAAATTAAACTCCGTAAAGGACAACATCGTACCAAATATTTACATTGGACAATTAAGAGTGCAATCAGTTTAAAGAAGACAAAGCAGGAAACAAGATCAGAGTTAATTAAGGAGAGTTAATTAAGGAACAACTGGTTGACCGTTACCTGTTGAAGTACATGAGCACGTAGCCGAGTGACTCCATGTCATCTCTCCGACTTTGCTCGATTCCCAGATGGGCGTTGATCGAGGCGTAGCGCGCAGTGCCCGTTAGATTCTTGTCCTCTCTGTAACAACCGTTTGAATACGTTTACGATAAAAGCAAACAGAGGCGAGCATTCGTATAGAAGATTTACAAGTTAATTTTCAAGGTAAACGTTGCTCCTTGAACATCTGCGTCTTTAGAACACAGATGCTTGCTGTGATATTGCACTAAGTGTTCTGAAACATTTGTGTGGTTTGTTGTTTACACGTAGCTGTAAAAACAAACTAAGCATTTAATGGAGTTTCGAAAGCATTCCGAAGGCACTGCATATTGTTTATTTATCAAATAGCACTCAGGCGATGAAATGTTTCTGTTCAACGCTAAATGATAATTTAGTGTACGTAGAAACTGTTAAAGAACGCTTTACTAAACTTCGTAAAAATTTTTGGATGATTATTCACGGTCTGGATGTGAATATTATTAAAGCTCCTACTTACTGACCCGTTGGGAATAACTCAGAAACACGCTTGAATAGTCTGTGCTCTATGGAAAAGATTGAAACAAAGAAGTGGGTTTTCCGTGAATTAAATAACTATGACACTACATCTAATTTTTTATAGCAAAGAGTCAAACCCATACTAGAAGTTAGAAGCAGATCTACTCCGATCTCAACATTATGCGCTGATTTATGGCAAGCACGCGAATCTTGCACAGAACAATGTATTTACAAAAGAAGGTTCCTTTGAATACAATCAGTATATAAAAGGAATCCTTTAAAACTTCTGGAATCTCATCAGCTGTAGTAGAACGTTCAGTTGACCAAATAAAACATCTCAGTTGAAAGATTTGTGATTCAACGGAACTGCACGGTTATTTTTCTCTATAACAGCGTTGGTCTCACCCACAGGCTTTAGAGTGTAAAAAATTGAATTCCGACTATTTGAAACCAGAATTGTTGCCCAGGCGCCTCACAAATGGCAAAAGACCATGCTATATACATCTTTATAGTACCGGGAAAAGGTAATACCTTCTATGATTGAGGCCTAACAGAGAACAAAGACACACAAATTAAGGCTCAGAATATATGTATCTAGTGGATCGGAACGCGTCATGTGTCAAACAGACGAGCTCAACTTTCTTTTGTTAACCCAATTATATTGACTAATTCGGTTCGAAACAAAGCCAGTGAAATGAATCATCTAAAAAGACAGTTTCATTTACAGCCGCATTTAAATCGATTATCAGGGTCTACCACTTCACAGAACCTGAATGAACACCTGGGAATAGTTGTCTGTACATGCGTGTACTGCGTTTTACATCGTTTTTCAGCCACAAAATGGTTATACAATCTGTCAATTGGTGAAACAATGGCATCACTTTATACAATATAAGACGCATGTAAGTGCAATGCGAATGAATAGCTAACACGTGTAATAAAATCTTTAACGTTTAAACGAAGTCACAATTATACTATACCTGTAGGGGATATGTTGTCGGGTCCGGTTGTCCCGGTACTTTTTAGAGAGACCAAAATCTATAAGGAAGAGCTTGTTGCAGTGGCGCCCGATGCCCATCAGGAAGTTGTCTGGTTTAATATCCCTGCAAGAAAATAACAAAGGAACAAAAGTTTAACACGATGACTACTGTTATTGATTACAGGCTACATACGTTTTCCCACGCTATATATGTGCCCCGTGATGGGCAACGTGTTTGCCTGCTGACTTTGGGAATACGTTGTGATCTAGGTTCGAACCCGTGCATAGATACACGCTTCGCTTCGTGCTGCTAATTAGCCATCTAATAAAATGTCTAACGGCGGTACGGAATGCGAAACATAAAAACTGCAAATATGCAAAAAACTAAACGAGCATTGACCGCTTACTTACCAATATCGAAGATAGAAAAATCACGTTTATTAACTACTAAAAAAATGCAATGCACACAGGTTAATGAATATATAAAAAAAGTTACAGTGGTTGTACCTGTGTATGAAGTTTTTCGAGTGTACGAACTCGATTCGTCCGATCATTTGGTCCGCCAGCATAAGAACTGTTTTCATAGTGAATCGACGAGAGCAGAAGTTGAAGAGATCTTCGAGGCTGGGGCCGAGAAGGTCCATAACCAATAAATTGTATTCTCGTTCTGTTCCATACCAGCTAAACAGGCGAAGAAAGAAAACCAGCGTGTCGTAACACAATGTTAGTATATCTTCGAAAAGGCGATGAGTGGCAAGCTGCGCCGACACGATACTTTTTGTACACCTCATTGCAATTATGCAACCGTACATGTCCAGCGGAGCATCAACATCTAACATGAGAGTTAGCAACAAACACTTGAATAAGAATACTTACCGAATGTGAGGAATGCCGATGCCTCCCTGAAGAAGTTTGTACAACTTCGATTCATACAATAGTTGGGGATGTCGAGCCTTTACGGATTCAAGTTTAACTGCAACCTCCTAGAAAATAAAAAATAGATCGGTATGTTTAAATTGTTTCCAGTCACTGAGTACATGCTTATATATTATATATAACTTATATAGCTAAAGCTTATGTCGACAAAGTCAAAAATATTTTTTAAGTGAAAAGAGAAGTCCCAAGTACGTCTTATAAAAATATTGCATAAAACCTTTGCGCGATTCAGGCATTTCAGGTTTTATTGTATGTTTAGATTCAACGTGGTGATTCTGTCGCGTGACCCATTCGCATAATGTTATGGTTTTGTCCTGGTCGCCTTTCAGAGTCACCGGCTTCACAGACCTTTTGAAAGATGGCTTCTTACAGTACTATTAATATAACAGTATATACGAGAGCATGCAAGCAAATACCTATTAAAAGCAAATGTAATATCTCCTACCAAACGTTAACAGAAAATTGACTTTGCACATTAGCGATTGATTCCTTTATTTTTTATGTTCACTATATTTGCACGTTAACTGAGACTTTTGGATACGACAGGTACCATAGGTTTATTAGTTCCAAAGAAAAACAATATTTTTGTGCTCTTTCTGAAATGACGTTAAAGTAAGGTAAATGTGAAATAAGATCGTTATATTAGGTCAAGAGGATTCTAGTGGGTCGATCAGACGTATAGAGGTAATATACCAGCTCGCCGTCTAAATGAAGGTTTCTTGCGTTTTCTCTCGATGATGTATTACAAATCAATATTATTTTTAAGATAACTGACTGCCTTGATCTCTACATACAACTCAACACGATCTATACTCCCAATTTACATCGATCCGTGAAGGCGAATGTGGGCACGCAAAGGCCGCGAATACACTTTACCCTAGTCTTGTTAGGTGGGTCTGTGATCTTACGGTTATAGTCGCTACCTCCGAATGGCAGCTTCGAGAAACCAACAGAAATGCAAGTATTATCGAGTGCAAAGGTCGACATTCCATAAACCAGCACGTGTCTTTTTTAAAGACTCTACGGCAGCTAATACATATATTGACCTTTATGATGTATAACATGCAATATATTACACCCGGCAATTCCTCAATTCACAGAAGTAAAACACGTGGACCCGCAGTTATACGCAATTGAATACAGAGATTAGGCTTTTTGTATCCTGATTACTCTAAGCATCATATTAATAACTCGTACCAACTTCCCCTCAAAAACGAGCTCTCCTGTCTAGGCATTGACAATGTTCGTAGTAACAGCATGGCCAGTACATGTACAGCATCAAGGTAACTCCTTTTTCAAATCAAGGAAGTCTTGTTAAACAGAACTCAAGTCAACGAAATATACCATTTACAATTAATAATCGTTAACTACGATTTATTACATCTTATTTGGTGGATTCTAAGTCGTTAAGTTCGTGTTACATGATTTCCTGAATCATTTGAGTTTACTACTTAATTTACGGGTTGAAGCATACTTCGCATAGATATATAGCCAATTCTAAGCGTACTATAGGAAAGGGTTATGTAATTAAATAGTGATAAAATGCTGTGTTGTCGAAGAGTCACAGCCACTCATAATTTCGACTGCTTCGACGTAATTGTACTCTATGACAAGTATGATCAACTTGAAACCTTCATATATGTATATACAGGATGGTGAGTTTAAATTCGGTAGACTTTGGCGGGTTATTTGTGGTAACGGGCATATGTTTTTCTCCTACTCTTGCTGTGTTTATCTCTTACTCTTGCTACCAGACGAAGGCCACTTTATTCTAGAAGAAGACAAGTTCATCATGGCAACAGCGAGTCGTTTTCGGAAATTATAAACTCAGCTGATTCGTTTGTACTGGACAAAACCCCGATGACTTTCCTTTTTTGACCGAAATTGACGGTCTACGTTAATGCCGGTTTAACTTGGATTCCGAAAAATAGGAGGAAAACTTCAACAAGGCAAACAAAAGATTCCCAATACGGCTCCATGTTTTATACATCTGGGTTTTCGCTACAAAAATTAAGAGCTTTCTTAAAAGAGGAAAATATCAGTTGCTAATTCGGTCACCCTGATAAGCTCCAACACAGTCTTTATGAACCTATTTGTACTTTTTTTATCTTCTCCGTTTTGAACTTTTTCATTTTCAGCTCCTTTGGCCTGTTAAAAGCTCAAAATGTAAATCCATTGGGACTCTACGTGCCGTATTCGAGCGCCACTTGGCAAATTGCTGTGGATAAAGAGAGTTTACACTTCGAAAATACCGCTTGAGGCCCGGTCACAATTAAAAGGTTACTTTAAATAATAAAGGAATATACTGAAACAATAGGCGCTACTGTGTCTGTAATAAGACGGTTATTCGCGGCAAATTACGGACATAGGAGGCGTCACAAATCTAATGGAAACATACCTGACAACATATACTTCTATATGATTAATTTAGCATTGAAGCCAGCGTTCGAAAGCGCCGATGTCCACAAATGGTAGGTGAGTGAACACCTAACACCACTTGATATATATATTGAGCATTTGATATTCAGCATAGGTTATACTATGTTACATATCTGCGTACGACGTCGTAGCCATCTTTGTCCTGCTACCATAAATATGATGGTCTGCTTCGTCTACAATTTTGTCATAATACGTACCTCGCCATTGGTGATGTTTAGTCCGAGGTAGATATCGCCGAACGAGCCGCTGCCGATTTTGCGGATTAGACGGTACTTCCCGCCCACGATAAACTCAATCCTCGATGAGTTACCAGTGGCCGACATGTTAACGCAATATTGAATTGTCTGTTTCGGTGTTGTCGGTGGTTTCCTGAGCTGCCCGTTACTTTATTAACAAGGACAACTGCAACAACAATTGCTTCTTGATCTTGCACGGCGGTGTCCTGGAACGATGTCGTGTAACAGATCTACCCTGCTCCCTTTTGTCCACGGATGCTGCAGCATAGTAGAAGATATTACAATTGCTGTTAATAAAACAGGAATAATACTATCACTGCTTATTGATCAACAGGGCTATCCCCCTCAACCACTGAACCAGGCAGCTTTGATCATCACTCGATATATCAAAATATAACCAACACTATCACCAGCAACAACAATGACGTCGATGATAACGGCAAACGAGGTCTCTTAGCGGCCGCAAAATTGAGCTTATCGACTAACATAGACGCGATGGTTGCTGCTGCAGGAACAACAATGGTAGCAGCAGCAGCAGCAGCAACAGCAGCACTAGCCAGTAGCCACAGCACCGACCACCTATAATACTACCACCATTACCACAGCTATAGCTACCACAACAGCATCAGCAGCGTCGACAGCATGACCAAATCAGTATCAACATTATTACACACTACATTCTCATTATTATGGCCCCATTATGGCAACACAGGCCTCAGCAGCAGAAACTCATATTCCATACATATATGTTATGCTAAAAACTCGTTGCGATTGTCGTTGTTGTCTGATCCTTCTTTGTATTGGTTGTACCGTATTTTCGTCCTGTTTCGTTGAGCATACGTCACAGGCGATTACTTTCTACTAGACTTTTGTCGTCAATTAAAAATAGAAAACCTTCGCGGCAGTTTTTGTAGCGAGCAAATGCTGTCGTGTTGAATCTGTTATGGGTGTTTTCTGTCGGATCCCAGCTGCTGCTGTTAGATTGCACTCTGACGTTATTACACCGGCAAATCAGCACTGTTTTTGGCTTAACATTCTACTGTCTCAGCAGATAGATTTGGTTATCGCAACAGCACAGCACAGCACTTCATTCACTTCACGTTAACTTTATTGTTCGAATGGAAATAGAGTCCGATCGAAAGAACAATATGCACAGCAGACACTAACTACAGAGCAGTAGGCTAAATACTTACTCTGCAATACGGACTCCTGTGGCCTGGAACAGGTACAACAATAGAACACAAACTGTGGCAGTTAGAGAATGCACGTATCGCACCAATCGGCACCCACCGACCACCAGTCGCCACCACGACCAGAGTCACTACTGTTAATGCTGCTGCCGCCGCCACAGCAACATCGGCTGCGACTAGCAGTCGCTTGTCGACACAATAACAAGAGTAGCAGCAGCAGCGCTCACACGAGCGCCGCCGCCGCCGACGACGGGAATGATGGTGATGATGATCGAGATAATGGACCCTATGTTATTTCTGGTGCTGCTGCTGTCCGTGTCGTTGCAATCGCTATGCCATTATTTGTATTATGCTAGGTCTCGTTCACTGACTACACTAGTTAGTCGTTCAGTCACAACGATCGATAGGTCGCCAGCAGGCAGACGAACGGAAACAAACGTCCGCTCAAAGGTTTGCTTGTTTGTCCAGACAGTCGTTCTAATAATCTAACTAGTATATACAATATATATTCATACCAAACAGATATATCTAGTTGTTTCCCATCTTTGACGTACGGCGGCTGACGAATGGTCGAACGACCTCGTTGTAGGAGACGTACCGCAACTATTCTATGCGGCCCAACAAATAGAGTCAACTGTTTTATTCGTTGTTAAATTGTCATTGAGTTCGGGTTGTCGTATACCGCAACAGCTATTCAAATCCGAGCATAATGGCAATAGGTTACCACTGTGGTTTTTGCTTTTCACTACTTGATCAACGGCAACATTTTAAATCTACACACATGAACGCACTCACGCACTCTTGAATACCAAACTACGCGCGAGATCAAAGGACAAAATAGACCGACGAGTAAACGTATATCCAATTCTGAAGACAATCACAGCAAAACACTCGACTAAACAGACAAATACGTGAATGAGAAAAACAAACAATTTACACGAATTTTCTCGTGTGTGTGTTTCTGTGTGTATGCTTGCCACTACTGCAGTTCTTCCTTATGTCGCTAGTCAAACAGCGAAGTGTTCATCAAAACACACAGTTTAGTGAGAACCTAACCATTGAGCTGTTCGCACATTTTCTATGCGCCCGCTTGCTTTGTCTACTGCACACATGTTGATGCTGCTGCTGCTGCTGCTGCTGTTACTGAATAAACCGAATTTACCATACTGGACATAATTCCTCGTTGTCACCAATGATAGTTTTATTGCTGCTCGTCTTGTCGATGTTTGTCACTCTCTTGCTTGTTATGATAATCCGTTCGTCCCGTTCTTATAATAATATTGGAATGTAAAAACCTATTCATGCCAAACGTGCTTAGACCTCACTATTTCTCCTATGTAGCATAGCACGCACGCAATGATACGTCGCAGCGCGTTCAGAAATGCGTGCATCCGTGCTACTCAATGTTCAGAACCTAGCGGCACACTTGTGGACATTTTGACGATCATTGCTAACACAGGGACAGTAACAGGCCGAAGGCCCGATAAAGCAGTTTACTACAGCGACACACGCTGACGCGGATCGTTTATAAATAAAACACTTATAATGGCCGCTATCACAATAACAGTTGCTACTACTTCTACCGTTACGATTACACATTGCCCACAGCAGCAGCACGACACGGTAGTAACCTATGTACCATTGCTGCTGCTGCTGCTGCTGCTACTGCTGCTATTGAACTGACTACTGTTTTCCAGCTGTAGTAGCTATATTCTAGTAGCTGCTCACTGAAGCCGGGGTAACCACTGCCCGTCAGCGACACACGGGCAGACAGGCAAACAGCATCCGTAATTCAGCACAGAGAACACCACACTGATCCTTTACCGCACTGCCAATCCACATACACGCACAGACAAACAGACGCAGCAGCACCCCCCCCCGCCCTCTCACTTCCTAATAGCAATTGTAGTTATATACCGTAGCACTATTTCTCCTTTCGATTTGAGTAGGAGGAAAAACGAACGAATGGAGAAAGGTACCAAGGACAGGCGGAAGGAAGGTTTGCTGCTTCGGTAGCTTGCTGCCTGGCTGGTTCATTAGTTTTTACTTTTCGCTCGTCATCAGCTAGCAACGAACGACTGAATGTGTAACGGAAAATCCGAATCTGCGGAAACGGAAAAACAACAGGACAGTACGACAGGAGCAGCAACAGCAGCAGCAGCAGCGATGCTATCTAATTATAGCAAAGCTACAGACGATAAATGCTTAAAGGACTGCTGCGGACTACTGCCGTAACCCGACTGCCTGCCTGCAGTCGATAGTTGCTTGGTCCGGTGGTTAGCTCCCTCATTTGTAGCCAGTGACTAATGTTACCGACTTTTTCGACTGTTGCGGAACAACGAAACGTGATAGATTAGACCTAATACAGAACTACACAACTTAGCATTATGAAACTTCTATAAGCTAAAGCTCTTTCTCACCAGCGGAGCAGGAACAGGGCCACAGCATAAACAGCCCCAGGTAATAATGAGTGGTCGTCGTGGCTGCTCGATTGTCGTAGTTGTTATCGTAGTTGTTGTTGTTGTTGTTGTTATTGTCTTTCAGTAGCGACGACGGCTGGTATTGATGGTTGTGGAGGGCGCTAATGGTTGCTGGTTATTCACATGTTGTTTAACATTATAACAAGTTACGACGACAGCATCCACCTCCACAAAGACCTACGCAGACACGAACGTCTCTGAGTCTGTTTCTGGTTGTCGGTGCGAGGACTACGGGTCATAACACAGTCAAGCTGAATCGTTAATATAGGTCTTGTCTCCCTAACGTATCTCGGTATAAAATGATCATTACGTCACGTTTTTTTGACATTTTTTTCTCAGATGTCCATTCCTTTTTCTTTTACATGTTATTTTATTATTCCTGTTATGCTGCTGTTGCGTCCTTTACAGCTTACAGTTATACTTATAGTAATATTGGTGATGACGTGGCCACGCGCGCGCGTTTTGCTTCGTCGCGTTGATGTCGCGCGAATCTTTTGAACAGTTGGCGCCTCTTTAATCCCAGAAGTCAGTCGGAGAAAGCGAGTTGTATATTGTTTAATAATTTATCTGCTAATCTCTTTTGCGTACCAATTCAGTTCAATGTTAATATCCTCGTTGTAGTTACATCGATAATGGAACGCTGCGGAACCATCTAACACGGCTGTCAACAAACGAAAAAACAGACAGGCCTGTAACAGCCATAACAAGAATAACTTTGTCATACGAGCTCCAAAATACAGTTGGCTTAAAGACCTCTCTGCGGCTGGCAGTCATGGACGATGATCAATACAAGGTAGATACTGTTGATATAAACAATAACATGAACAGCGAAGGCTATAGTTGGCGAGAAGGAGAATTGTAAGGAATGACGATCACGGAAGGGAAAGTGAATTTACAAATTAATGAGTACGCTATGTGAAAATTGCGCTGTGGTTTGTTGGATTATATTCCATTATGTTATTCTATCATTTAAATATGAATACTCCAATTATATGAAATAATGCCAGTATACATCGTGTACATTAAAATGAGCGTAATTTTAAATGGTTACTATACATGACGTTTGTAGCTTTATTGGAGCTTATTTAGCGAATGACAATCAGAAGATGGAAGAACAGCGCAAGCAAAACATAAACAATTGACAAATGCAAGAAACAGATAGCTAAGCGTACCCAGCCACTAATTATACTGTTTGTTGTTTTTTTTTGTAGTGAAACAAATTAAACATAAAATGACTACAAATAACGAAAATTTTAATGATATTTCTGTAGGGATGTTCACGCCATTTTAAATCGAATATTTATGAATCGTACAGTATTTCTACAAAATTATTATTCGTTATAATTTACTACAATTATGGCCCGTCGATAAAGCGTATGGTAAAGGTCAAGGATTCTGTTTTATAGCTTGAACTTGCACACTTCAATTATATTAGATCTAAAATTAGCGCTTACCGTGCGACCACATTGGTCATTGCAAACTGGTGCCGAAATATTTCAGTCTTAGATATAAAATTTCAGCTTAAGACTTGTACTGATTACCTATAGGGTTTCGGTAACGTTTTCATCCCGAAGTATTACTATTTCGAGATGAAAATGTATGCAATTCTATCACTTGCACCTAAAATCTCACCTAATCCACACTCAACTGCCAAAAAAAGGTGAAAAAAAAAGGTCAAAAACACCAAACGTTACGGAGATTAATCTGTATTGTCAATGATCATGTTTGCCAATATGTTTCTTCCTTTTAATAAATTGGAAAATATAAATATCTATTGATTATGTTCTACTGTAGTTGAACTACCTAAATTGTATGGCGGTTTTAGCTATGTCTATCTCGCATGCCCTCTAACGTTTTCAAACCAACCTTTGCTTCTTCATTTTATATAACGCTACATCCATAACTGCGCGCATTTCCTTTCAGTATTCTATTTACTTAGGTTGCCGTAGCGGCGTCACCTTTATTATTATTATTATATTGTTGTTTTCGTCGTCGACGGCACAAATACCGATGTTATGTACAGACATGAGGCCCACGCGCGGAAGAACATCTGCATCAAAAATGTATTTTCTTCGTATGCGATAGATTCCCCGTAACAAGCCGGGCGTCTCTCAGATTATAAAGATTATGCTGAAGACCCTACGTTTAAACAACAAAAAACCACTGTTGTCATGAAGATGGTCACAGAGATCTACTTTTTACCGCCTTTAATAATAATTACAAATGTTGCGCCTTTCCTGCCTATTTTTTAGTTACAGACAGATCTGTTACGATTCTTGTTGTTGCTCACTGCAAGAGAGTCGAATCTTTATAAGTTCTCCATAGGTCGTCATGCTGTAAACGTTTTGCCAGGATGATGCGAGACGGTGTAAGTTTTAGGTAATTATGCAGTTCCACTAAGCTGTGGGGTCTCCTTTTTAGCGAGGCCAGCCATCAGCCTCTTGAGTTCACCGACCGCTCGTCCGGGGTTGAGACCCTAAAGTAAATGAGTATATTAATTCAATATTCTTTGTGTATATTAATTCAATATTAAATGCGTATTTAGTACTATTGTCTAACTTACATTAACCCATAAAACCTGATTGTTGCAAGCAAAAAAAAATCAGCAGCCATAGAAGCTAAAAATAATTGTACGGGAACAGTTGAAAAATAGCTTTTGGCTGTTGTCTATGTCATATTAATCAACAACGTGATGTAAAACGTCAGTTACCCAGATGGTAGTTTTTATTACCCTTTTGGTTTAATTAGTACTCTCTTCCTACCTTTGCATTATTTTTACTGCACTGGAGAGTACCAGGAATCCGAAATATGTTTCGGACAATTTTCATAAAACACATAGTTTATATTCAAAAGCAGATTCAACGACAATAGCATAATCATTGCAATTATGAGCCCGACAGGTTAAGCGTTAGGGTAAGATATTACCAGCAGTTCCATTGAAAGCTATAAAGAAGACTTAACGGAAGCCCCATCTCGACAGCTATTGAACCTTACTACAAAATCTTGATTATTCTGTTACTAATAAGTCTGTTTGAATATTTCGACTCAGCCTTTGTTTGTAATTCTTTTAAACGAGGAATGCGATACTAGCTCGTATCAGACTATGCCGATCTTCAACATGCTGAAAAACAATGGACAGAAAGAGGACTCCGAAATGCCTATATTCGAAAATCTTAAATATACCATGAATCCTTAATTATTATTAGTTAAACAAACTGCTGTGCTTGCTAATGTCCTTATTATAGCGCACTTGAGAATAAATATCACTATTTTGTTAAGGTTGCGTCATCCATTCGTATGGTGAACAGCCTTTTGCAACTTTACTGCGCCATTGTCGTTATGTGTAACTCAATCTTCGTTTAATTAATCAATAGCTTGCATGGCAACGTGACGCCTTTTCATACACAGCTATCGTACTAAATTTCTTAAATCGAAAAGGTACTAAAATGCCTTAAAAACAATGGCAGCGATGGTGGAAAGAGATTTAATCGAGACATCAGCGACGCTTCCGAATACTCAAAGTTGAATCTGACTAGGCGTGATGCAACCTCCTTCTTGCGGAAGAACTCTCTCAGCTCAAAAGCGAATTGTTAAACTTCCGACAACCCTATACAGTAAGCTCTTGAAATACAATGAAATGGCAGACACAGACTGCGATTTGTCTCATAAAACTGAACCGCGAAAAGCAATATTTAGACAGTTGCATGACAATGCAGTTCTGTATTCTTTCCCAAAAAGGAGCCTAAACTTTGCTCTATCCAATTATAACTCCTCTTCGGTTCCGGGAATGCCTCCTTCATGTTCAAAAAAACCGCCCATTGTTTTAACGATAAAGCAGGGTTGTATAAAGCCGAAAAAAATATTTTAATAAGAAAGTCCCTTAGATCCCTCCAAGAGTTGCAACCTTCAAAATGAGGAAAATAATTATCTTCTGATTGATCTAAGTTAATGAATATCCGTATAAGCATGTACAAACTGCGTTAACTTACTTTGGGGCAAGTCTGAGTGCAATTCATGATGGTGTGACAACGGTAGACACTAAATGGATCTTGCAGCCGCTTCAGGCGCTCAGCTGACTTCTCATCTCTTGAGTCGATAACCCACCTGCGGTAACCAATGAAAAACTGACATTGAAACGTAGCAACAACAACGGTTGCTTAGACGACAATGAGTTCATGGTCTAAGTTGTCCACATATTCTACTGCCAAGTCTATCGAACGATATATCGTCGTTCATCGTTTCACCCTCTGGTAAGCGGAATGACTTCGCTTTCTGTTTATTTAAGCTATTTCACCTGTATGCCTGCATAAGAACGGCGGGTCCAAGATACTTGTCTGGATTCCACCAGTACGAAGGACATGAAGTAGAGCAACACGCACACAAAATGCACTCGTAAAGCCCATCCAGCTTCGCCCGGTCCTGCAGACGAAAAATAACACCCATTATATTAACGTCTTCATTAATGAAAGGCAAATTCCTTATTTCTATTAGAAAGTATTAAACATACTCATAAAAGCATCCATAAATGTGTATGTGTATATATATATATATATGTATATATATATATATGTATATATATATTTTTTTTTAAGTAATCTGTATATTTTTGAAAATGTGAAAAGTTTACTCCAAGTATGTTTATTAATTTCTATAAAAAAAAAAAAAAAAAAAAAAACACTTCTCAATAGTAATTGAGCATTTAGCAAGACTTTTCTTATCTTTTATCGTCAAATTTGCTTTAGTAGAATTCTCGTTGAAACTGTGAAACTTCTAAGTCATTCATATCATCCATTCGTAAAACATTTCTTTTGTAATCCTACGTCCTACGTATACAAACCTTAATACTTTGAAGATTTTGCTTCTCCCCATAATTTGTTTGGGCGCTCTTCTGCAGCCAAGGTTCTATCGAGCGGTATTGTTGGTAAAATAGAGACATATCGGGCACCAAATCCTTCACCACGTACATATGTGGCAGCGGATAGATCTGAAATAGGCATTTTGTTATAATGTTAAGGAAAGTTATAGCTGTAATGTCCAAAACGGTAATTTTTAATTTAATAATAAATAATATATATATATAATTACTTTCTAACTCCTATATACTTATGAGCGAAAACCGGGCAGGTTTATTCCAGGAGATATGAATTCAGGATAAAAAACATTTTCCAATCTCGAAAATCACTGTTCATTGCTTGAGTTTTTGTTCCTCAAAAGCCACAACGCTGCGGAAATTTATCGAAGGTCGCTGGAGACATTAAACGAGAAGTTCTTAAGTAAAAGTGCAATATATGGGTGGTGAAAACGTTTCAAAAACGGAGGTCGGAGTGTTCAGAGCCAATGTGGCGGTAACCAGATATCGGAAATCGAAGGACAAGAATCTACCGCCGAAATCAAAAAGGTGTTTCACGAAAGCAGAGCTTGAAACCTAAAGGACGAAATGTGTCATTTCATATGTGACGTGTAGCAGAATTATAATTCACATACTGAAAATGCGGAAACCGTGTAAAAAATGGATCCGACGTGAATTCACTATAGCCCAGTTAGAGACACCTGTTGCGTATTCAACGCACAATTTGTGTAACTTTAATCAACAAACCAGCCTGAAGCATACGGATAGCAAAGCCATCGTACAATACCTTCAGGTAGTCGAAGAGGGACCAGGCTAGAAAGTGACGCCGCCCTTAGGAAAAGTCAAGTTTGGTCGCAGTATCTGCTAAATTCGGATATAAGGTGATGGTAATACTTGCAACAGGCCTCAGAGACATCTACTTTGAGAGACTCGGCGAAAATGAAACAACGAATGTAGCCTCTTATTTTTAGTTCTTTAAGTAATTCATGGCATGTTGCCACGGCAATCGAAAGCATGTAGTCTGATCTGACCCATCACCATGCCTTAGTGATTTCCTGGACTGAAAAAAGGAATATCCCATACTAGCTCCATTCTGATTATTCTTTGTGATTTGTGAGCACAGAAATTAATCAGTGCTCTTCATATCCTAAAAAGGGCAATTGGTAAGAAATCAAACCCCACTAACGATTTTTCCGGGAATAGATAGAAAAATTACATATGGAAACGCGAACAGTAAATATGTGATCGCCTAGAAATTGCTAGAGCACTAGGATAATTGCATAAAAAAATAAGGCAGAGAACCACCAACTAACAAAAAAATTATTATTCTAGTCCAACTATGTCAAAAAAAAGCTATTCAGTTTCGAAGCTCGTCGGATTCGGTTTTAAGTATTTGAGATTATATATATATCAATTCATGTCGACGTATTTCGAATGTTCACAAAAAGATAAATGCCCTAAGTTATATGGCGTAGTAGTCGATATTCAATATTAAAAACATCATATTTCAAGCTTTTTAAAAACTTTACAGTACGCACTCAGTATCTTGAATACATATAACTTCGTTAATTACCGTATTACTCTTAAATATTAGGGCGGCTTGAGTGAAGAGCAATCAATATTGGTAAAATGATAATTTTAGCTAATTTTCGGTCTATTCAAAAGAAGGAAGACTTAACAGAAAAAAAAATTAATTTAAATACCCTTAGTAAAGTTCAATAATATGCCTTTTTTTTTAAATTCGAATATGTTATTGACTATCTCCAAATAATGGCTATCTGAAATAATTTGAAGTGAAATTTTTGCACATCTCAAGAATACAGCCGAACTGTAAGTAGATTCCCCGAAGCCCACATTCGGAACTGAGCATTGTTTTAAAACGGGTCGCTTCAAAACTACTTCAAAGGTCTCTAACAGCAGGCAAATGCGTTATCATTGTATTGTCACGGGAATACAAGATCTAACTGCACAACTGAAACTACACAAATGTACAATTGTATTGAGCATACATTCTGTTTTATTTTAGTTACCTTTAAGTCTTTAGAATCGCGTTCAATTTTACAGATGCATGCAAGGGTATTTTTACCGCCGATGTTCATCGCGCATGAGCCGCAAATCCCTAAACCGTTCGAGATCAGAAAATAAAGGTTAGTTCGTTCATTTTTGAACAAGTGCATTTGAACTTTAACTAAGTACGTTATAACTAATATACTGAGTAGAACATCAGTACTTTTAATTTACTACGTCAAAAATCACAGATATTAACAAACCTTGGCAAAACAACTATTATTAGAGATTAGCATTTCTTTTTAGTATCCACTTTTTGCTTGCAGCTTTTTAAAGTTATTCATCATTATATTATAAATTAATCACAATATCTCAATGTTCTTGCTGTAAGCTGACAGATAGTGCTATTAGATAAAATTTCGTGAAAATTACAGTTACTTAGTCTCACACTAACCTTCCCTACAGCTTCTTCGGAACGTGAGAGTCGGATCCATCTCGTTTTTAATTTTAATTAACGCATCTAACACCATCGGACCACACTGGTTCAGGTCAACCTAAAGTCAAGGTGTGATAAAAATAAAAAAAGAACAAAGCGAAGGGGTGCACGAATTAGATTTGGTTAATTAAAAAACCATTAAATCTTATTTAACTGGAAATTACTGCATTCGTCTTTATTCTAAATAAATTTTTTACTGCACAAGAAAAACTTTCCTCAAATCTGTTCTGCGCAATTTCCAGTGTCTTGAATAATACATTCAAAGGGCTTGTAGTGATAAATTGCACTAGTAAAACTTTTGTCCCAGACCACATTGCAAAATGACAGTGTAAAATCATATCACAGATACTTAACACTGTATAAACAAATAGTTTCCAAAACTGAGACACTTATTTCAGAACTAATAAAACGTTAAAGGCAAACTATTTGGTTTAGTGTACTGTATGGCTAACGATTACCTCATAGGTCTGCATACGTGGCTTGGAATTCTTCTCCTCGGGGTTATAACGATAAATAGTGAATCGCTTTTTATGAACGGGTTTGTCGAAGGTTTGAGAACCGGCAACGGGTGCTGCCATGTGAACGACAGAGTTCGTCTGCAATATCCCGTTAAACAATGCATCGTCTACTAGTTAACTAATATATCATAATAATTATAAGATACATAGGTTTGTTGAATGAAGACGATTGTGTAAAAGTAGCTTAGCTTAGAATATTTTTGAAAATGTTTTTGAATTTTTTTTTCTGAATTTTCAATTGTATTACCAATATTTATAACCGCATTCATAATTAATAATACTTTGTTCATTACCCCCTCTTGAATGTATTTGTCTAAAGCATTTCAGGACGTATGATTCTACCTCTCTCATCACCATTGTGGTATGCCTCTCTTCAAATTATCTTTCTCTCCTATTACAAAGATAACCCTGTGTTTAGTGAAAACTAGACACGCATGTCTTAACATATTTTTTTGTAGATTTAGCAAAAAATCTCACGATATAACGAACAGTCATAACAGAATAAAAAGACGATGGAGTAATATTTATCAGTGTTTTCAACGTGTTACTAAAATACAAAATATTTACTTCTCAAATAACGAGTTTAATGGGCGACAACTTTACTTAAGTTTTTCTTTTTACCTTCAGGCTTATCTACAGGTGCTGTTATTTGGTGACTATTTTTTAAGTTAAACGTTAATGGGCAACTGTTTGACACAATACGTAATGTATTCAACGTAAATTTAAATGAAGCACAAGTCTCAGTGGTCGTACTGGTAAGTAGTCACTTTATTCTCTTCCTGTATTTTGTTGGTGTCTGAGAAAGCATTTTCTCAGATAGTAACCGATGTAAAGTACTTACTGCAATAGCCCTCAGATGCAACTGTTGTAGCAAGCGGCTTCCGCACTGCAAAAGTGTTCCTGTCATTTTTAGTGCTTTCGTGGTTAACTCAGCTACACTGCTCAATTAAAATTAGTAATTATCCGAATGATTAAAAGTATATTACTCAGTGACTACAGAAGGCCACTTCCATTCGGCCCAGCTGACCACACAGCAGAACTCCACTGACCCCAACGAACCAAAGTCAATATAGCGTCTGCTAATGAATGAAAATATTAACATTGCACTACAAAAAGCCGCGCATAATTCGAGACACGGCTAACTAATAATGATTTAAAATTTACTTAAAGAATGATCTTGTCAGAGATCTGAGAAATTCACGGCTAAGACTGAAGCAACGTATCGATTTATTCTAGCTTGCATGTAGATTGATAATCGTATACGTAATTTAAACTCCCTCAAGCACTGCAAATGGATATCCCGCGCAATTATAGGAACATTAGTTGTAGGGTTACTCCGAAGAATGGAGCTACTTGCATTTAAATTTATGCTCTATATATCTTCGACGCTGTTTTCTTCAGCTGCCTGTCTGTGAATGATAAGATGCTTTAGTGCCATTTAACATTTCTTTCAACCCAAGGTTCAGACAAATGCCCACACCTCTGGATTTATTGAACTTAAAGTCTACACTTCATGAAATCAGCGATCAAAAGGTCACCGCAGCAACGTTCGAATGTATATGCTATTTATTTGCGGATGTTTCATAATACAATTTGACTAACTTCTAATGACTCCATACAACCTACCCGTCTACCGTTAAATTAGTTTATTTGAACTAGCTCGCCCCTACTGGCGTCACGCAAGGTAGAGATAATACTCTGTTTTAAAAACAGAACCAAATGCAAAACATGGTACGATTGCATTATTTCATTTGTTTGGTCTAATCACTAATCAAGTATAGATATATTCTATGCCGATCCTCTCTAACATTGGTTTGTCTACTTATTTTTCAGCTTTTTGGACAGGAAAGGTCAGGGTGTCAGGGTGCATGGGCCACTCCGGCTTTTTTTTGCAAGATAACAGCGATTAAAAGCTTAATGCTGAAATATCGAACTGTCAGGAAGTGTTTGGGTTACTGAACTTTTTTCTTCGACCAAATTTCAAAAGCTGGAGCCATATGGGACAGCTAAGCAGTTTTTTGCATTTTATCGAACACTTGTGGAACGATAAAGATACAAAAGAATCAGGTGCTTAGTTTAGCTCGTATTTTTAGAGGCAAGCTAAAAGAAAGGTACAGTTTGTTAAAGTTGTTGAGTTATATTATTATTATTATAACGTAGTAGATATATGGGTCTGGCTGAGATAGTGTTGTGTGTGTCACCGTGTTTCGAGCATATATATTAGACTGATGCTAATTTTTTGCATCGGAACTAAAAGGACTAAATTACAACTCAGTTTCGTTAGAAAACCTACATATGTATGTATGTATGTAAAGTTCATCAAGACTACCGTATCTTAATTACTCGTTGTACTATACATCATCATCATAACAGCGCGTCAAATGTGACTGCGCTCGAAAGACATTTTGACGATCTTATTGACAAAACAATATTTTCTGCACTGCAGCACACGGCGGATAATCGTGGTTATAGATCAGAATCTAGATTGAATAATTACTCATACTAAAATTATGCCGCAACAGAATTTTATATGGGACTATGGCAGAATAGTTACAATCGCCGTTCTTCCTGGAAAGAAAATAATTTACTTTTCAGCTTAGTTGAGTGACTGACTTCTTTGTACGAAATCATTAATGGTCCACGTAGCTTCTCCTCTGACTCACATAATTTCACCTTGTGGGGCTAACGACGTATGTGCCTTTAATTAGCTCTCTAAAATATTATTATGAATTATTTGTACTAAAGCCATGCAGGCCACATTATAGGACCATCTTTCACAAATATATTGGCATATTGTACTTTTTTCTCGCGTCACGGATCACAACGCGTTAGGTAAGGCAGGTGCAATAAAAAAAAAGATCGAAAAGTTGGTAAGAAAAAGAGTATAACAAAACGGAACTATGATAATAAGCAGCTGGCAGAAATCAATGGGTAGTTTTAGAAGGTACCTATGATAACATTTATTTATTATAGCCGCCAAACGAGTGTATATGACCTTTTTGCCAAACATTGACGTGTGTTGTTTTCTACACTGGTAGTAATCCTAGAACCTTTTCCTGGTTGCTATCAGTCTATACGTTTGTTCCAAATTACACTTGTAGTGCTACACCATATTTGCGTCGGTTTAAGTTTAAGCAAGTGCATAGTTCCCGTTGCTTCGGCTCATTCACCCAAAGCATCCGGCGTTATCTAGTGCCAAACTTAAGGTTGGTGCCGAGGACTACATTTAGCCGGCATCTGGTTACTACTTCCAGCAGAATGTGAGTGCACATTTCTCACACTAGAATAGCTTAAAATAATTAAGAAAAAATATTCTTAATATCATATCTTAATATAATTTTTATCGACCCTTTAGGCAAATATATATAGATAATACATAAGGTAGGCATGATGTTGTTGATGCTTATCGTTCACCGTGGTTTTATTTTTCGGACGGTTTGTTGATGGTAGAATTTTCTGTGTATGTGCCTGTATTTATATTTTTTATTGATATAACATCGCGCAGATATTAAATCATTGCATACGTTAAAAAGTTATGTGATGAAGTAGCACAATTTGAGGGTGCCATCAATCAGCTGAGCGAGCTTCTGTTCTATACTATGCTCGTTCTAATATGTTAACGGTGCTTATTATCAGTGTGAGATGTCTGCAAGCACAGACGAAGAACACGTTATAGCTGCTACAAACTAGATAGGCTATGAGTCAGGGGAACGCAACGCAGATACCTTAAGTGTTAATGATGTGTCGGCAATACGACGATTCGCAATACCCTTGCATAGCTCTAGATTTTTATCGAAATAATCTCAAATTCCGAATGGAGCGTATTGTATAATAGGGTTTAAATACAAATGTAAGAAAAGGGCTATGTACTTATTATACGTACACATTATTTTTCCTAATATTCTGGAAACTAATATGATAAATTCTGCTGTGTGTTACAAAATTAATCCCATACATAATGCCAAGCGAACAAATCGAATAAGGAAATAAGTACTGCCTCATATAACTACTGTTCGCTATTATAACGGACAATAACTGGAGTAGTCGTTGTTCTAATTTGCGAAGATTTAAATGCAACGCATTGGTGTAAGACTCTCTGCTTTCTATGAAACATGAGAATGTTTGAAACTAGAATATGACAATAGACCATTGTAAGCACAGACGATTAGCATGTACCTCTATGTGTGTTCTGGATTTAAAAATTTTTTACACCCAGATGGGCTTAGCCAATATAAAGAAATAAATGTATATTAATTCAACCGTAACCCATAATAGTCGCCCATAGTCTAAATGTTTGAAGACTTAACGTCCGATACTGCTTTAACTTAGTACTCACGGCTGGCTCCGGTTAGTACATAGTAGAATATGTCTTGACCAGGTGTCGAACTTGGACCACCTTGTGTTCTAAGGTTCCTTAGGCAAACACATTACCATTGCACTATCATGAGAATTGATGCTGTGCAAGCGTCGTTTTTGCCGTAGGGTCAGCTCTGAACTCTAGTAGGCTGATTTTAAGAACCAGCATTATTTATATAGATTTTATAGATTTACGTAAGTGGTCAAAAACTATTGAAGTGACATTTTACATATAAATTTTAGGTTGCTATAAACACCTTATCGATAGCTGGTCAGATGGTTCACTCATTTGTGTGAATGACCGCATGGTATTACTATTATAGTTGCCACCATAGTTATTGATCGTGAACTTTTTGTGGTGTTTAGCAATGGCTGTTAGAGAAAGAGATTTAGGCAGGGCACTAGGGTTACGTAAAACTCGATAAAGCGATTGCTTAGAATTCGCGTAGAGCTGATCTTCGTAGTTGTAATTAAATTATTTTTGAAGAATGGCACAAGAGGCCATTTATGTTCTGCGGAGAAGTGGGCTATCTTATTCTGAAATTCGTTCCTATATATGGTAGATTGATTGTATAAGTCATGCGTATTGGTGGAGCCTGTAAATATGTCAATGAAACGTTACCTAGTCTCATTAAGGTATTTACACGCTCGGAGAGTGCTTCTGGGCGTATTTGCAGTTAATTTCGTTTCAAGCTGTGCCACTACGGTGGTATGGCATTTATTAAGCTGATGTTGTATGTATTGTATGTGGGTAAATACCCATAGACGGCCTTTAGTATTCGATACTCAACAGATCATTACTAATTATTGCACCAGCTCGCGTAGAAGTATTATAAGTATTTGTTCTTGATTGCCGCAAAAGCTAGTGAGAATCACTGATGACCCGAGGAATTAAGAGACTAATAGATGTCTAAAAACACGAAAGTATTTTTCAGTAATTGCGCTGTAGACAAGACCTAAACTCTTCACCAGCCAGAGTATTTTAAGTATTCCGCAGTTAGGGCGATGTGATCGTACCCGTATGCCATTTTACGCTTTCCCCATGTCATTAGCACATCACTAGTACAATATATGTTGAATGATTTTCTAAATGGGGTTATTGGATTAATTACTAGCTACAAGAACCGGTGACGCATTGCTGGAGGAGGATTCCGTAGTTATTTAGTGTTTCTTTTGTGCGATATAGCTGTCATTAAAAGATAGTCTTCTTTTTTTTACTATCGACACCGCAAATCGGAAGACCTCTAATCAAGTCGCTCAAGTTCTTGCCACAATCTTGCATGATGCGTGGAGAAAATATAATTAGACGTTTTTTATTGTCACAAGACAATCTGTACTACGATTTCAACATTAAGAACAGACGGGATGATCGAAAAGTTCTAGTGCGGCTGGTCTTCTATCTGAACGAATTAAAGCAAACTGAATATAGATTAAGATGTCTACTTGAGCATGAATACTATATGCCAACAATGAACTGGTAGCTTTAGCCAGCAATTTCCATAATGTTTTTTTAGCTACTAGATGCTACCACCATTTAATTATTAGCTAGTATCTCTATCTAATACTCGAAATCTGCTTCCTTTCATACCTCTTTCAGTTGCTATAAAGGGATACTTCAAATTAAATTATGTGGCGAATATTATTGATGGTCAATAGTCTCGATCCATAGAATTGTCCCAAATTATTTCTTTATTAAACACAAGAAACGTAGCTTTGAAATTGCAAAGGTCGTTGACGAGTCTTTGACGAGATTTGGGTAAACAAAATTTGGCTTAATATAGGTTTTGCAGATATATAATAATAATGCTAAATTGTCCAATTCAGTGTTCAAAGCTAGAGTCAACATAGTAAATAAATAAGTTAATAATAAAGAATTGTTAGATTACACAATCTTCACTATCAAAAACGGGTTAGCGCTCTTCTTTCCATCTTATTGTTTCTGTCATCTTTGCCATAACATCCTGTATATCAGTGCGCTGTGTGCTTTGTCAAACTACGTCATATTTCATTATATTTACAAAAGATGGACGTAAAGCGTCCATCTTCCATCCAGAGAGATGACGTTTGAGGTAATTGTAAAGCGTCCTAATCGACGACCATCTTTTATCCATCTTGTACAGTAAACACGAGCGAGTAAGCGAAAGCTCCGCGATAATTTTGAGTGCTTGAATTGAAGCTACTATTTTTACCTGTCCGTCAGCAGCATTTCACTTGCCATTCAAGATGGCTTCTGCTCGAAATCAACAGGAAGAGCTTCGCCGTTTAATGCGCGAGAAGATGGCTGGTCGATCTTCAGCTGCAATACCTTCGACGTCTGCTCTGCAGCAATCCAGTCCGAATGGAAACCATGATTCAACTAAAAATAACCCGTTTGTGAAAGTGACATCTTCTGGAAGAGTCGTTTGCACAATTTGTCCAGGTGTCCATATAAAATCGTGGAAAACGCATCAGCTAAGTGCAGAGCATAAAAGACATATTAGAGCTCAAAGAGCAGGTCTGACTGCAGCTGCATCTCTGCCACCGAAACCGGTATATCGGCCTACAGAAATAAAACCTGTACTGTTGAAAGAACCACCGCGTTCAATTTTGAAAAATCCTCTTGTAAAAGTGGAATCGTTGCAAGAACAAGAGCTACTTGAATACGAGGCTGACGAGCCTCATGAAGAGGTTATGGTAGTGTCTTATTCCCATGGGTCAATTCGTCAGTCCGCTCTAAATGGTACTTCAGTCTCAAATACGGCAAGGGGACTTGGAAACTCAGCTTTGAAGAGGCGCGCTGTAAGTGATAGTGCCGAGAAAAGCAAGGTCGACAAACCAGACGAAGCTGTGATGCAGGACAAGAGCGCCGGGGGAGCTGTCTCGTCGCTTCCAGAGGGATTTTTTGATGACCCTCGACTGGATGCGAAGGCAAGAAATCAGGAATACAGGGACCCACAAGATATTGAGTGGGATCGATACCAAAAAGCGCTCCGGGAAGAGGAAAATAAAAGCGAACAGGTATGTAGTGTTCTGCTACGCATTAGCTTTGTCCTATATTATATAATCGTGGCATGTGGTCTACGCATAAGTGGTCTTATTGGTGACTTATCTAAACGTCCACGAAAATTTAAAGTGCAGCATGATATATTATATTAGTATTTCAATATTATATTAGTATTATTCTAAATTATGACTTACCTGACGTGACGACGCACAGCTCATTAGTTCGATCTGCATGGAAGTCGTCACAACAATATAATTTCTTCTATCTATATAATTGTTTGTTTGTACTACAGTTATCAATATAACATGGCTTATTTCATATAGACTTATAGCCCACTCAGAAATTTATAGCCATTTTCAATATTGCTTTAGCAAAAAGCTCGAGTGTTTGACAAAAGCGGGAAGTCTGATTACGATCCAAATATCAGACCGTGCAACCGTCCCACATACAACTCGTATTATGCGATGTTTGCTTAGAGTAACCTTCTTCACAATTATATAGCCGCAGGGCACAGGTGTTTTTTTACGATTTACAAAGCTTTACTCTACCTTACATTACTAACCGAAATATCTCCCGTGAACATAAGTGGAGCCAAAATTCGATTTAATGTGCTATCACAGACACTTTGTCTCAACTGATACTATCCTAATAAAACTATAATCGGGCCTTTAGTTTCAGTTTTATAGTAAATTACGTACGTGAACATTCTGATAACAACGCGTTGTTCGTATATATATTGGCCAGAAGAAGGGTTCAAGCCTCCTAAATTCACCTTTAATATTTAAATAACGGCCTATTTAAGGCCCTTAACACGTTAAAAAAATGACTAGAGTGCGTTAAGCTGTATAGCCAACTCATGCGTTGACTTGGTTTTCTTAGTCTAAACAGTTTTTATCTATCATTGACAAAACTATTGTCTATTTGGAGGCATTCAGTAGAAGTTCGACGTAATTTTTATTGGCAAAACTCAATCCTAATTTATAAATCAAGTGAACTACCGCCCAGTTTGCTGTCTTTTCATTTTCGCATAGAATTCGCACAGCGCCACATACATTCCGTTGAGGCGTAGTACCGGGTTGATCCGTAACTGCGCTCACAATGAGGAGAAAATCTAGAAACTAAGCAGGAAATGTGACTCCTTTGATGTCGAAACCCAGCTCTGAGATGTCGGGGGTTCTTTTTTTTCGTTACTAAGACTTGGCTATTTATCTAGTAGATTTTTCAGCCTGTTTTTCTTCAAAACGATACTCGTTGTTCTACTTCATTTAATGATTAATTTTACCGCACTTAGATGCAGTCTTCAAATAGACCTGTCATAATTAGGTTAGTCAACGGCTGCAACAGTCTGTTGTAGGCAGATTTCTTCCACACAACACAGACTAATGCAATGAAAAGCAGGATCTGATATAGGATTTTAAACATATGGGCTCTTGCTCAAGCAATGTTTTTAGTGGCTATATCGAATTAAAAAAATACATAACCATAGTGGAGTGCACTATTTGCTTGCTACGTATAGTCATAATGCTGACACTCAAAGTAGTTTTACAGCATTAGACGGTCCTCTAGGAAGTAATAGGTTGTCTGCTTGAATTATTAATAGGCTTAAACAAGCAGTAGGTATTCTTACTGTACATCTACATTGCTTATGGTATTCTTTGTTGTATTACGTAAAAAGTTATCGTAAACGTAAGAATGTTGTATATCTTAGTTCTGACATAATTCAAGAAATAAATGGAAATGTACCATTGTTCATTTGTTTTGGTGTTATTGCATGTCTTATTAACTGCCAGTTTTTTTTTTTTAGATATCGATTTGATCTGATTTTTAGTATGTTTATATTATTTGAAAGTAATTTTGCATGAAGCTGGGTCTGCACTGGCTTACCAAGGGTTGCTTTGAAGCAGATTATTTGGGTGACAACATTTGGACTTCGTCTGAATTCGAAAAATGTTTAAAGTATTTTAGCTCGATGATTTGACCTGTTCAGCACACTAGTTCTAAACGATCTGTGTCATTTGGGAAACATTTCAGGTTGTTGAGATGGACGATGAAAGAGATACGCGTGAACGCAACATCTATGAAGCAGACGAACATATTCGCAATTGGGAAACTGTACGAGAGTTAGAAATCCGACGAGAGGAACAACATACAAAGCCCTTAGAGTTTAATGAGCAGACGACAACAGTCAATCCTGACAATACCAACGCCACAGAAGCGGAGGACGATGAATTCGACAACGAAGAACTGAATGAATTAATGAGTTGGAGGCAAAAATCAATCAAGAAATAGCGTTAAACAGGTTCTTTCACAAGTAGCTAATTAGTGAGTCGTGACCATCTTTGCAGAAATCAGGATATTTACTTCTTATACACATACATGTATGTATGTATGTATGTATTATCTATGCTTGTATGCGCACACGGCAGCTTCCATCGTCTATTAACCCTTGAATTAAGTCAAATCGTGAGAACATCTTTGTACAGACGAATCAAGGACAAATCTTCATGTGCTACCTTAAGATTATTGACGCACTGTTTCGGAAGCAACTACAGAGTTTCTAATGATGTTGACCGTAAGATAGGCAACGTCAGTCTTTCTCAAATTGGTACGGGCAATAATAAAATGCGACGGCTCAATATAGATTTATTTTTGCGGCCCATGCAGGAAGAATGTCGCTGTATATTTTCCTGGGCAGAAATATCGGCAAGAGATCCCATCCTAAGTTTATGTAAATATGGAATAAAATATGTAGGCAGTCATGTTAGCAATCATTTGAAAACTTTAAGTGTCTTTCTTCCACCGGGTGTTCCATTGTTGCTTCGGTTTAACACAACACGTGTTGTATTGTTTTTCGGCAAATTTCTTTGGGAATTAACAATTAGAGCTATACATAAAATAGGATAGGGTCAAGAAATAGAACGTAGCGTTGACATGAGGTCTTAGCAAGTTATCTATGATTGCCTTGGTCTCTAGTAAAGCCTACTTTATGCATTTTTACTATGTGAATGTTTCTATTTGTCAGCTTCATCCTGGAAACTGATACATGCTAATTAATACTAGTGGTCATTTTTTGGTATCGTGAAGCCAGTTAGAAAGTTCGCTGTGTGGATAGTCTTCTGATAGCAATTTGCCTATTGCAGTCCCTGCATTGGCCAGTCCTGTCATATGCTGCTGAAAGGCAAAAAATAAGCGAATTAACCTGCGAGCAACGATGAACTCATGATACAAAACCCGATCTTTATTGCCTATATCTAAATTCCTTATGACATACTGCCATTGGCAGTAAAGCACTTTATTAACGTGGTAAGGATATTGTTGCAGACTTACATGCTTTTATGCTTGCCATGATGTAATATAGTACTATAAGCGTAAGTAAAGACGCATTTTCGACTACATTTATAATTAACCAGACATTAAGTAAGTCCACTTGGCTCCGCATATTATGCAATAGATAAGTGAAAAGCAATTTGACTTGAGTAATACCCTGCCAAAAATGGTTCGTGAATTTAGCTGTGTTATCATCACATTGTGATATGTAGATAAATTTTCATTTACATGTTTCATACTTCACAATTAAAGTGTATGAAAGTGTTCAAGTAGTTAGATTATAGGCTAGAAAGAGCTTCACTGCTTTGCCTAAAATTCAGCTACGTTCAGCGCTATTGCCTCTCTGAACAGGCTCTGTGGAAGACAATGACGTAAGTCGTTTGTAGCTTTTGGCTGACTAAAAGCATCGGACAGGCTCTCTTCAGAGCTTGTTAGAAAAGCCAACGTGTACAGTGCAGGATTGTTCTGCGCATTGGGCATTGAAGTTCGTCTTTAACTTAACTCTCTGCAAAGTCTATTAAACTACGAGTGCTGGGAAAGCAGTTTCTGAATAACTAATGTCATCTCTCTATAGCGTTTCAAGTAACACCTTTTCTTTATATATTAGTAGATTAAGCCCCTATATATGTTTACAAATAAACGCTCGATTTCACATTAGATTATATGAGTATTAAGTTTGAAAGCCATAGTCAATTTATAAGCCAAAGCCGATGCATGTCTGTACTGCTCTCAAAATAAATTGGCATCCTGTCCTATGATTTTTGGATGTGTAGGAACCAGTATATACAATGTCCGAACCTTCTTAAACACGGCTCAACGTATAAAGTTCGCCTAACAAGAAGGCACTATGGTCAAAGCAACGTGTGTAGGAGAAACCTTTTTTATGGTGAAAGGTGTATAATCCTACTCGTAGCTTCTAATGCAAGCTGGGGGACATTAGCTTTTAGGTAGTTTTCCCAACAACGGTTAGGAGAAACACCTAAATCAAAAAAAAATTGGTTTCTCAAGTTTTTCACTATCAACAAAAAGTTGAATTGAAATAATTTATTGTTTTCATTGTCTGTTATTCATTTCATATCAGAGTGCTTTCTCGTCAGTTAACCAGTTTCTTACTAAAATGGCGGGCTACCATAAAGCTGCCACAAAGACACAAGGCATTTGCTACAGTGTTACGAGGTGTTCAGAGCGCGACAGTGACTGAACACTTCCTGTGTCTGAATAATCAAAAGCAATGGACTCCCTGGGGCAGTGTGACCGAATTAGTAGAGCAGAGCAGCGGGATGATGCAATGATGTAAAGGAATAATAATACAATAGTGGGTGATGGAAGAGCTACGTCCTCAGTGCACGTGAGTGCAATGTGGTAACTAGGGTAACTGTAGAATATTGTACAAAAATTGCAATAAAATCAGTTCGGAATTAATTCAGAAACGCACACACACTTCTAAATAAACCTACTCAAATTTTTTTTGAATGACTCATATGAAATTAGAAGTGGGATTATATACGAAATAAAAGTGTAAAAACTACAAATGTATGATGTGGCAAACTGTGCCATGAGTGACCAAACATCTGCTAAAAAAAAATAAGATTCATACAGACGAGAACGGAGTACTGCAATGGTAGAATCGTGGACGAGATGCGTTCTCTGCGTTCATCGGCCTAAACCAGACTCAAAACAATGCGACGTTTACGCAACTCCTCTACATGTTACTGTTTTATTATTGATGTATAGACACGATGAAAGCACTGCGAATTCTTGAATCATTACCGTTTAGTCTCGTGAGATACAACTTCATAGTGAATGTTGAAAGTAAGAGAACTCCGCAGGATCTGCCTGGTATGTCGCAGACAAACCCTGTCAAAACTTGGAAAATAAACAAGCAAGAATAAGAACATGAACCACCACATCGGCCACGTAACTGAAGTACCAATCTGCAGTTTCGCTCCAATTATCAAACATTAAAAACACAGAAGTTCGCGTTTGGCTTTTGATTCTACCAATGGTTGAGTTGACCGGCATCCAACACAACTGAGTCACACATCGTCGACAAAGGAAATACAGCTTATAGAGGGCGTCAGCGTCACAAGGCGAAGCGCTGCAGGCAATAAAGTATGTATACAACTGACCAAGACCCAAGAGTCGCCGTTGTCGATACGTACTGCGCCAATGATTCAAATAATTTTTTTCATTCAAGCATTTCCCGACCCGGAGCAGTTCGACCTGTCCATTCCCACAGAGGTCTGCTGCACTACGAAAGTGATACCCATTCATTATCTTCTATTTTAAATCGTGATTGAATTCTTATATGAAAAAAGAGGTCGCAGTGGCTACCACTTTCCATTCCTAAGCTTCTGAAAAGTTTTAAAGAAATGAAACTTGACCATTACATCACAACTAGCAGTAGCATCTGTAATCCAATCAACTTATGGAACAAAGAATTCGAAGAATTGAAAAATGTCTTGGCTGGCACTGGAATTTTTCATAGAAGAAAGAAGCGGTATCTTTTAGCACAAGGGAACACTCCAGACACTAACAATGTCTTTCCATTGAAATTGTCACACGCCGGGTCACCAGGATGAGACATCGGCGTTAATGTACTAAAGTTTGTCTGATGTAATCGTCTATCTCTCAATGACAACTCGACTTTAAAATACTAGAAGAAGGAACAGAGAATGGCTCGGTCTGTCGGACTCTCTGTATCCGGGTGAGCCTATCTATCAGTAGGGGCTTGCCAATATTCGGAGCCGAAGTGATGCCGGAGAAAGTAAGGAAATATGTTCAACATAAATGAGTGCTCAGACATTATGCATGGGGAGTGCCTTTTTTTGTAACATGTATGCCGAACTTATCTTCAATATAAGCTTCCTGCGGCTATTCAAAAAGTGTCTGGCAACCCTCAACAGGTGATTACATCTCATGATCGTAAAATTGCCACATAGATCGAGCGACAGTAGGCACTCTGTGCCGATTTTATACATTTTTCTTGCATAGTGACGTAGTTTTGGTAATCGTGAGTAATTGGCCGTTACTTTTGTTTAATCCATACCACAACTAGGAAGAAATACTCGTTACCTTGGTACTCTGGTTCTGAACTGCTGAGTTGTACGTGTGCGTATCAATGAAATGCTTAAATGGTTCAGACTTAGAATGACTTGGATTGAATTTAAGCTGCTGAACACTGAGTTAGAACAATTCACAAGACCAAAAACTGCCGTATAAATTCAGTTGTTATGGATTTTTAAAACTTAAATCAGTAAGTTTTCGCGTTTTGGTGTACGAGACATGTTAACTCTGTTACCGCGTTACTGTTATACAATTCTTCACGGAAAATCTTTTATCCTGCAAATATTTGACGTGATATTTTATTGGAAATGAGTTCAGATTTATGATTAGGTATTTGAGCGCAACTACGCTTAATTTTTCGTATTTATGTATCTGCACTTCTATTATAAAATTAACGACAGATATAGCTGTAACTAGATGAACTCGTATATTTGTTTCTTGTTTATTTATCTGATTTATTGATATTAGACCCCACCTAGCGTGAACTTACACCGACAACTATCTCGCTGTAAGGACCCCGCCATGTGTAACCCGTTAGCCGTCTATGATTATTTCTTTAGCCTGTTTTAATATCTGCTACCACGGGGCTTAGCCGGCTTTAGATTTAGACTCCGTTAATGTGTTGACGTTTGGTTACAGTACTGCAATGCAGTTACGGGGTTTGTTTGTGTTGGCTAATGAACTTAGTTTGTGGAGTGCACGCGAATAAAGTCGACTGTTGTCTTGTCGACTTGTGGAAAACATAAGCAAATCGAATTGGCCTTCGATTGGCTCTTAATAGATGTTCTTATTGATAAAATTGGTCAGTCCAAAGCTTAGGAAATTAAACATCTCTTTGAGATTGAGATCCACACATGAGACTGAGGTTCAAAAGTTCTTTTATCTCCCTTTCTGTTTAATAAGTGGTTAAAATTTTTTTTTAAGATACATGTAATGATCAACAAGATGTGGGTGTATATGTTTCGTTACTCATTGATGTGTTTTATTTGAAATATTGATTCTCAAAACGTCATTACGGCATAAAGGCTTTTAAGCTTCTCTCTCTCTTAAAATAAGTAGTATATTAAGCTAAATGAAGATACAATAACTATCTAATGAAAATTTTATATGTCTCGGTTGATATATTTATTCCGTCTTTAAAATGTTACCAAGACTTTTTTTTTCATTAAGAAATAGTTGCCTATATTTGTTTGACTTTTTGAGACGTAGAATAACGGCAAGATCTTTACGAAAATAAATTTTTCATTTGCTGCTTCAACTTTCCAATTGACATTATTGAAATTAATTTTATATCATTCGAAACGCATTCTTACCCTCCATGGTTACATAGATAGACCAATATGACTAGGGAGTTATACCTAAAATATGAATTTTAGGTATATGCATCGTATTTCCATTTAGCTCATTGAAATCTATAGATTGGCGTTAAGGACCCCCCAACATGGAACACTCTGATAAGTGTTTTACTTTCAAAATGGCATTTTTGACCCGAAAACTGAGGCTATAGGAAATATGTTGCATTTCGATTCAGCTCATCGAAAGCTTTTGAGCAATACCTCCCCTAAATAGACTTTTATACATGAAAAATTTAACCCACTGTCACCTAAACGAAAAATCCATAGTTTTTACCCTTTTTCACGCTTAAATATCTATTTTCAGTAGAGGGTGATGTTATTGCTTATTTACTCAGCTCGTCAAAAACTATTGAATGGGATCAAGAGAAACTGGATTGACCAGCGCGAAGAAATTGACATCAACAAAGTGATACTCTGTGTAGAAATAATGTTTTTTTATAATATAGCAAATATTTTAGAAAAAAAGAGAATGGTCAACTAAAATATTCGCCATATCAGATGCGGTAACTCTCCAACTGATACTTACCAGAATTTCGTTCAAAGGAGTACTCTACTCGAAATGCATTTTTTAACTCACTATCACATCGGCGAGGCGTAGCTCTCAATAGGTTTTTGATTATTTTGACACTGAAATATCCATTATAAAGATGGGGAAGTGTACTGCAAATTTACTCAGCTCCTTGGGAATTTTTTTTGGGATAAAAAAACTCTGTTACATAGAACTCGATATTGAGTTTTAGCTTTTCGAGGGGCATTTTTAACCTGAAATTTGGGTGTAGGGACATCTTGCATTTTGATTCACCTTGGAGAGATCTTTTGATTGCTATCGAGAGCAAACTCTTGCTTATAAAGCCTTTGTGTAAACATGCGACTACCATTTTACTAACGGAAAAAAATGTTTAATAAATATTCTACCAAAGCCCATTTCAGCTTATGCAACTTTTCCGAAAAACCTGCAAAAAGGGAAAAATTGCAAAATGGCAACCAGTTTGCCCAAATTAATATTACACCTTATAGGACAAAAACAATATGTTTTCGGGAAAAGTTCTAACTAATCAGCTCTTGCTCTAACGCGCAGCTTTAGTCTAGCGATCTGCCCAAAATTCGCCAGATCTGACGACCTTAAGGAGTCGATTCGGATCAGCAAAGCAAGCAAACAGACACAAACTTGTAGTAGTATAAAGGTAGACTGTCATCAGTAAAAAATTTATTAAATTATCTTAGAATGTGTTAAATTCAAGAATGATAAAAACGTAATGCTACTCTTGGGAAGTGTTTCTGAATAATCTGCACGCATAAAATTTTCTTCCATCATAATGCTTAAGGCTATAATAGTTCGGTGTGATGCAACATAATATTTATCTGTACTACAAAACCAGATCATGTGACTGCAAATGCTGCACAAAGGAAAAAACCTCATTCACAGCTTTCCCTGAAATTAACTTTATTATTCTCCATTGAGCCACTTCTGGGGCCAGAAGCTAACGTTTATTCTACTTGATCTAGGAAACAGCGAAATTTTCGAAATGTCCGTTCGAAGTAGAACTAATTCCATCCCGCTGATTTGTCCGACTCTGCTCCATATTTTAACCCCTGCTAAATATGCATAAAACACTAACTAAAAGCCCAAATGCATCGAGTCTTCATAACCTTTGAATCTATAACGCAGTCGAGGCAGGCTTGAACGAATTTTGATCCCAAAACCATACGATGCCCTCATGCCGCAGCCTCGATAACACGCATTCACTTTTGTTTCATCATTCTACTTATAGAAACCTCTAAAAGGCAGCAGTCGATAATATGATATGTGCTAATTTGAAACCTTGAAATCTCCAAGACTTTGTATCACTGTTCTTTCTCATTCATCCATTTTTTATTTCGTAAAAGGAAAAGGAATTAATGCGATATAACCGCATGACGTAGCAAGAATCTGTGGTCATAATTATAACTGGTAGCTTTCTCAGATTGTTTGCTTTCTACTCTTATCTTTCCAATAGTTGAGACCAATGGAGCATGCGTGATCACAGCAGGCGTCCTCCTTACGACCCGCTAATCCGTTGCTGAGTTTCGTAACAAATAGATAAAACTAATATTTTGGGTCCTATTGTCACTGCTAACGCTCTTCAATTCAAGATTGCCGATAACTAAATTTCAAATAATATTTTTCTAATTAAATTCACATGTTCTTCTATGGCTACACGTGGTCTCCGTTGGCAATTGCACATAACTACGGCTCACAACCAAACCTCGTAGGCAAAACATTTACGGTGAATATGGCGACTGAGACGTGAATTGTGAAAGTAATATAATTGACACTTTTGTGTTAATTTATGTTGGTGTACTTACAAAAAAAAAAATAAGCATTCCTGTGCAAGCTAATTTGGTTGGTAACACTGGTGTCTCTCACAAGAGTTGCTAGAGTGAGTACTCGTTGGCTTCCTCATTTAATTAATTTGGTATACGTTTTTTTTGAAATTGTGCCTTCGATGATACTTAAAGCCTTATTTCCCGAATTTAATACAGATAAATTTTCATATGGAGAATTATAAATACACCGTTAAAAAAGATATATGCTAAAGTGCTATTATTTTTTTGTTTGCTTCCAAAAAGGCCTTGGGTACGTGTACCTTAATATTACTTAATAGCTTTGATTTCGATTATTATATACGGTGGATAAATGACTTGGTGTTAATATCATATTAACTGAGTTGGCCTCTCAAATAGCTAACTCTTGACATCAATACATTAAAATTTAGATACTGATGACACTAATCCTATTGGCGCTAGAAGCTATCCACAAAAAATGACAACGTTACATATGTATAAAAAAAAAAAAGGGTGTCAGCTGTTCAAGGTATCGGAGCACTAAAGTGGGAAATGTTTGCCAGTAAATGCTGCGAAATTGACAGGAAGGTAACGATAGTCTGATATTATCAAATTCTTTGACTCTTTTCTCCCCTTTTCTAGATATGGACTCGGAATGGCTCTCACGATTGACTATTTCTGGCCATGTGACACATCGAACCACACCTTCAACCACGAGAAGAGCTCGTTTTTAGTACATCACTTTGTTTGTTGAAATAATTTGACCCAGCTTTTGTTTGCCTGTAACAATAAGAATTCTAATAAAAATTAGGTGGTATCTTGTATAGCGATGATAAGGTGGAGCAGATGATGTCACACACCATCTTGATACTCAGCGCATAAGAATAAATTTCCAAGCCATACCACCGTAGTTATTCAGACGACCGACTCACTTCCATCGTTGTTTTTAGTTTCAATGTGAACTGTTTATTTTTTTTAATTTATCGAATTAGATAGTTTTTTTTCAGGAGCGAAGTTAGCCTCACAAACCGCTAAACAATTGCGATCATGTACCTAATCTTAAAATACGTCTACGAGCAAAATGTGCAGCGTTAATTGGAAAATAGTACTTCGATACTAAGTTCAGGCAGTCGTTGGTTCGAGGCAACGTCATTAAACTGTGACGGAGTGACAGTGAAGATAGATTTTCATTGGGTCAATTGTTGATTATTCGTCGAGAGAGGTCGTTTTAAAAGATTACAGCATAAACTGAATAATTTCTCTGAGATTACAGCTTCATTTAGGCCCAAATTCATCTGGGTTTTACGCAGACTGAAGCGATCGGAAACAGCTGGTACATCATCTGTATTGAATACTACATAATTTGGGCGTTCGCATAAAGTATCACTTTTTTCTAGTGGCATCTATTGCTCGCATGTGAGGAATACGTTTTTCATTCAGCAACGAAACGAGCCTGTTCACGTTTGGCCATATTTCCTAATTTAGGCCATTAATACGACTATAAGCCCCATATTGTATTGATGTGGTGCGTTGCATTTGTTTTCAGTTAGTCCGCTATAAACGATAGAACCATACATAGCATTTTGAGTTAAGAATCTAGACTGATAAATTACGGCGTAGAGCTTCGATTTTTTCGAAGTTTGTGTCTAATTCTATATTATCATTGATCTAGTATTGATCGGTGTGTGTAGTACTAAATGAGTTTGTTTACTTGAGGTTATTTTCACTTAATGTTCAATTAATGAGACAGCTTTTATCGATATAAAAGATTATTATCATGACGTTATGTTGGATACAGTAATCTATTATTCTTAAGCCAGACCTGTTTGACATTGACGCACGAAGATCGTCGTTAGATGTACTTCTTCCTAGAGAGAATTCGGTTTGAGGTGGCGGAAGAAAATGCAACATGAACCGTCTCTTCGTTCGATGATCTCGCCGTTGAAGATTAACTAATTGATTAATATTGAAATTCAGAAAATCAGGCTCAGAATTCAAAAACTAGATGAAAGTGTTACGAAATGAAAAGGGAACATCTTGATTTCCGTAAAACTAAAGGAGAAATTCCACGTTGTGGATAGAGATGTTGTCAGATACCAAGAAGAATGTCTGAGACATTGTATGAATTTCAGCTTCTGCATAACCAATATTGTAAGTTACATGTTTCTTTTATTTAAATTATCCGTGAAGGCGATCTACACTGAATGCGTCAGACAGTAAATCTGTAATAAACTACTTCGATTAAGCAGTTATGCAGAGACCGAGTAGACTGAAGCGACTCCTTTGATACTATCCAGAGCAAATAAAATTATACCCTTCGTTCTAATTTTCTATATAATTTCGTTTCTAACAATAGAGCTTACTTAGTAGCTCAAAATTCGAAGCACTTTCTTTTTTTTTTTCTACAAAAAGAATTAATATATAATAATAATTGACGCTGATTCACTACGAGTGAGCTAAGTGGTGGTGGTGATAAAAGAATACATGATGATATCGTCACATATGTAACAATATATCAAAATAACGAATTGATCACGGGGTACCATACTTCTGTCTGACGGAATGGCTAATGGCGAAACCGGTCGTAGAACTCGAAACATAGAAATTCTACCATGTTTAACACCGTCCAGCAGCATTTTCTAGCACATTCATAAATAGTTAAATGTTACATAACGTCATGTTACATCATAAACATAAATCATATATATTATTTTATTTATTTTCTATACTAAATTTATACACGCACTTTGATAGAGATGTAAATAAATGATACTGATAGAAGTCGCGTGTACAGAATCAATATTCATTCAAGCATAAAAATGTGTAGCCAATTCTAGAAAAACGCCGTAATTGTCTTCGCCGATTATTAAATCATAAAGCTAACAAATGATCGTTAAATAGTTACGCTATAACACATACGACATGTTATCTTTCCTCTGGACATAATATACATACGTTTATAAAACATCTAGTCCTTACTAGGTGATACGAAGGAGCCACTCTTATTTACCATTTGAGTTATTACGAAACTCACGATGTTTTTTTCACTTCCTGCGTAGATATCGGCAGCCGTTCTGCCCTGGACACACGAAGCTGTACAAAGTCCACCTGCTCCGAGAAGCCTAACGTCGCCTACACAAAAGAACCAAGTTAGTATAGGACGTAATAGTGGCTCGGCCAACTTTTGTGCATACGACAGCAGGATGGCTCATCCTAAGGTGTCGTTACCTAATAGTGTGAGCTCCTTAAAGGTTCAAACCCGTATACTTGTCATCGGAGCAGGGGTATCCGGGCTTTCAGCGGCCGCTGAACTCAACCGCAAAGGCTACGGGAATGTAAAGGTTAGATGAGTATTGCGTTACTGTTGATTATATATAATCTTTAATTATTTCTTTACGTAAGAATACTTTAACAAAAAAATTGCAGCTTTTGGAAATGGACCATTTGTGTATATACGCGCTCTGGCAGACTCAACGCTGTCTCGCAATTAGCGGTGTCCTGTACAGTCTCTTAGCTAGCTGAGCCAACACTGTTTATACATTGTTATTAGTAATTTTAGCATCTGCTTTAAAATGTTTGAGCAAAATCGCCCATCTTGTTACGCATCGATCCCATTCGTTGATCTTCTATGCAGAATACTCGTATTTCTCCATATCATCCGCGTACCTTGTTGAAATTTTGGGGATTTCTAATCACTGCCCTATCGTCAACCAAGGATGTATGTCGCACAGGTATAGTAAAAGAAAAGTTCATCAATTCTGGTTTGTCAATAGTGTTACGTTTAACAGAATATCATATGATTTTTAGGTTCTTCCTTGTATCAGGCTCTGCATAGGTGCGAGCGACGTCTATTTCAGTAATGTACTTCCGTGTTACTAAGTGATGAACGTGTTGAGCTGCGAGAACCCTAGGTAGCTACTATTATATAGCCAAGCTATTATATATATATATATATATATATATATATATATATATATATATATATATATATATATATTCAAAAGGCACAGAAATGGCGTAGCTTGCCTTTTTAAACTACTTCAGCCCCCCAAGACTGTGAGTGGCTATGTATGAAACCTGACTTACAACAGGAAAACCACAGTGCCTTACTATTTATTCGAATAAGTGGCTACATAGGATGAACCATTGATAACTTTATTGATGATTAAATATCAGGTATATGAGGCCAGATCCAGACTGGGAGGTCGGATTCATACATTTACGCCGGATCTAGAGACAAAAAGTTCACTGGAGGGGCGTCCTATAATCGAGTTGGGAGCGCAATGGATTCACGGTCAAGAGGGCAATTCCGTATTCGAAACCTGCTGTGCAGAGAAGGCGAAAATCGGAGGCACACTTGATCTGCTGGATTTAGATGCTCCGATTTTTTTCGAAAACTTTCATTACTGGCACCAGCTTGATAAGGATCAAAATGGTAAGTTGCAACATTGACAGCACTAACACAAACGATGTGTCCTTCGATTGCTGAAGAATCATTGAAGCTAAGCCAATCACTACATATATAGTTTGCTTTTATACGGGACGGAGGAAGTAATAAAAAAGTTCCTTTGTACAACAGTGCAATACTATGCCTAGTTACCTATGTAACAATGCAACATCAACCTGTATTAGATTTCACTATGTTATACTGTATAATATTGCAATATCTATTCTAAAGTAATAATGATTTCTGTTTGCTTCTATTCGTTAATTCTAATTTTCGTTTGCTGACATGATCACTTATAACCTACCGGTACTGGCGTTATCTCATTGTCAGACTATGGCTCAAATAATAAACATCGTAAGTAGAATTTGGCACTCTACAAATGATGTTGTCCGGTAACAAATAGTAATCAAAAGTTACCAAAACAACTTTGGCCAGGCGTGCCCCATGGGATGAGGTAATGTGTCCTACAGCTGAATGTACTTCTCGTTACGTTTATACATAGTGTATCGAACCTAAGGACGCTTTCCAATGGCCTTGTTCGGTCCGTGAAGCTTGTCCTGTCACTTTGAAAATTTATCAGGCGATTTCTTTTAGCTATAACGTCTTCATTGCGTGCGACATGAACACATTTTCCGAGTTCAGCTGAAATGAAGCAGTGTTGCAAACCTATCCTTTCGCTCGATATACCCATATTTAAATTGAAAACTAAAAGCAACGGCTTGTCATTTGCATGAATGCACGTTGTAATCTGCCAAAATGACGGGTAGAGTTATGAGATTTCCCCACTATATAGAGCACTTACCCATTAGCAAAAAACGTATTGTAGAAGCGAAACAAAAATGTCGACTAACATTGCAAATAAGCCACTATATTTAACTAGATTTGTCGATGGTTATAGATAAACGTATGCGTTTGATTATATTGTAAAAAAAAAATTCGATTATAACGAGAATAGAATAGATGGTATCGCGGGACTGTCCTAGACCAGGAGCTGTTTACTGAATATTTGACAACACATGTACGCATTGGGAGTGCGTACCAATTGTTCAAGGTGTCGGCCTGATTTTGCAGAGTTCATGGCGAAGCTCGTACAGACGTTCGAAGACTTGCGTGACGAATGCGAATCTCTATCAAATGTGAGTGTCTGCAAAATGTTTCTTCGATCATTTTCAATAACCAAAAATTAGATCAAATAGTACGAAAATCTATATAATCGCGTCCAGTTTTTTTTAACTTACTTTTCTTGTCTAAGATTTAGCGTTTCTCTCTTGCTTCTACGTTACGATAATTAAGCTTCGCGAATAAGTTAGCTATGGTAGATTGCCTGAATACAAATGACCGTACAGATGATCGCAATTTTCGCTACTGACCTCGCTGTTTTGCCAGTATACATTTTTATTTCTCGTAGGGCTTTCCGTTTACCTTAATATAAGTATATATGAACGAACGACTGTTAATCACTCAGCATGCTTAAGGCCTAAATTCAACTGGGGAAAATACAGAGGAAATAAGCAACGTAAGTGACCATGTCCCTAGCGATTATCACTATATAAAAAATAAAGGCTACTTAGGGCCCTTTTTGTTTTTTGGATAAAATATACATTATCCAGTTACTAACACCTACCTACTGCTATCTTAAATGAAGGATTACGCAGGCGGTCGAAGTGAAAAAGAGGTTTCTCGGTCCCTTCTTGCGTTCCTTGAGGCCCGCTTTGGAAATCTTCTGGAACGGGAGACTGACCCTGACAAACGAAAGGTGAACTTATAAATATCACAACTATTTCGGCTATAGGCTTTGTTTATTTACATGCTTGCGGTTTCTTGCGATAAGCAAGTGTTGAAAGATTATAGTTTGGGCTATTGCTACTTGTCAGGTTAGTTCTCTATACGTAAGCTCAAAATATGAACCGGTTGCATAAAAGGGCTTCTAGTTAATTGCGCAAAACCATGCACGATGTAATTAGAGAGGACACCTGATGTTTTACAGACACTGGTATGGTTTTTTAACTGGGCGATCCGGCTGGAAAACGAGATTAATGGACATGAAGCAAACGAGATATCTGCGAATTATTTCGGTAACGCATCTTGTCTAAACAAACTATTCGCTATTACTTTCTATTTATGTTCCTCGTATATATGTATATATATACGATATATAGATGTATATATACATATACATACATATATATAAACAGATTTTTTTCTCGGTACAGGGCAATTTTACGAATGCAAAGGAAACATTACAACGGAATTAGGCCCACGGGGTTACAAAGCATTCATTGATCTAATGCTAAGATATATACCAGCGGAAACAATTTTTACCGAAACGGAAGTGACACATATTGATTTCTCCGTCCGTCCAATCAAGGTATGAATACTTTATAGGTCAAGATTCCGTAGAATAATTAGTTCGGCTCTATTTTTACATATACATATACTCGTCATCACGGAGAGATGCCTGAAAAGTAAAAAGATCGATAATTACGATGCTGATTAAAAACCGTATTTTGTGTCGCACCGCACTTCTTTGTTTTACTTTTAGGTAACATCAACAAAGGGGATCGAGGAGTTCGACTATGTCATATGTAGCCTCCCACTTGGAGTGCTCAAGGTATGCGGGCCAATTTTACTTTCGTATCCTAATATCATACATACAACAATAACAATACATTTAATGGTCATTTGTTGTTTTTAGGCGCTAGCACGTGTACATCTTATTAAAAGGTTGCGAGAAAATTCATAGAACTGCGTGAATTCTCTAAGATGCTAAAGGACGTGCGATACCTTTGTAAAGCGTCTGTATTGACGAATTCCGAATATGACCAAAATATACTTAGTATAATTTTTCGTAAAAAAGGATTTTATCTATGCATTGGCAGGGACATACGAACGGGTGAAAAGATATCTCGCCTCATTGACATAGCAGTTTTTATTAAGATGAACTCTTTAATTATTGGCCAATTTTCAGGAGCGACAGTCACTTTTGTTTACGCCCGAACTTCCCAAATGTAAATCGATGACAATCAGTGCACTTGGGTTTGGAACGTGCAATAAAATCTACCTCGAATTTAGGGAAAAGGACGTGTTTTGGACGGCCGGCGATGTTTTTCAGGTACTACTCCCTTTAAACTATTAACACATTCTAAAAATTACCTGGATGACCTCTTAATTTGCACATTTTATATCTGACTTAAAATTTTCCATTGATTAGTGATGAATCTTTAAGCTAGTTGAGAAAAATAGCTCATATATTAGCTTCTAAAAGCTTCCGTTATGGCCTATCTTTTAGCTTTCGAGTTTCCTGAACGTGTCAGCTTCAATTGAAGTTCCCTTACGTGAAGACCAGAAACTGCAGCTGTATTAGATATAGAGTGTGACAAGTTAGCCTCCTAAACAGCTGCTTAACATTCACTTGCCACAACAAACTGCAAGTTTCTCGTTTGAAACGCGTACGCAAAAAAATCTTTATAGTAACTGGTAGGACAATTGCACTAACACCAAAAAACAGTTTGACGAATTGCAATTTTTTTTAAGCCAAAAATTAAAATGGGATCGGAGATTGAATGTAGAATACAGTGCATCATACTGCAATTAACTAAAGAGCGACATTTCTAACTCTGCAAACGTGACAAACAATATACACGTGTTCCAGGTTCTATGGAAGGACGATCATCTATTGCCCGGTGAAGCTGTTGGACGACGCAAAGAGTGGTCAGCTACACCTGCTACCAAATTATAGGGCAAGACTGCTTCAAACATAGATCTCGTAGGATGTTGTTGGCAATCATAAAATTCATTACAACTAGGGACAAAAATAATATTACTATACTCGCAGTGAGGACCCGTGCTACCGGTAAACCAGCTCTCAAAAACTTCTTGTCAAAATGTAGGTATCGTTCGGTGAGTCGACTAAATGCAGTCCGTCATAACAAACGCTTATTGGTAGCGTGGATTGCCGGATCAGGTGCGCGCGAGATGGAGGCGTTATCTGAAAATGAAGTAATGACGGAGTGCTGGAAGATCCTCAAAATGGTCACCGATCGAGAAGATCTACCGATTCCTCAACGAATAATTAGGTCCGTTAGTGCATAGTTTAGAAAAATGATTTTTTATAAGTTAACAAATTAAGTGAGCTATGTAAGTGCTTGCAATAACCTGTGAAGAGCCCTTAATAGAAATCCATAATTCCTGGAAAAAAATAGTATATTTATGAGAAATATGTACTCAATATGTATAATTTCAAGTAAGTTATTTGCCTTTAATTTGATTTAGCCCAGTCGTTCATTTTTGGTTTGATCACGGTGAGCCGATTTTAAGCAATCGAGGCCATCCATGTGTTGGAAGTTGGTGGCGTTTCTTGTTTTCTTCAATCTTGGGAAGACCCCAACTTTTCTCCGGTTTTTTTTCTAAGTATAGCGTGGTAACTTTCGTATACTGACATTTCAGATCCACATGGTTCTCGGACCCGTTTTCACGAGGGTCGTACTCATTTATTTCGACTGCGTGTGATCAACGTCTAATTGTTAAAGACTGTTGGTATCCACATGATGCGTATTGTTCACTTCTGCCGGCAACTCTGGCTGAACCTGTTTTTGTTGACGATGCCCCGGTGCTATGTTTCGCTGGAGAAGCCACATCCGATCACTTCTACTCCACCGTACACGGAGCCTATGACTCAGGATTACGAGAGGCAACCAGGATAGACAATTATATCAAAGCTAAAGGTGCAGCAATTCACACTAGCATAGCGACTGGTGATATACAGGATGAAGCGAATCAGACCAATACCGCTAAAAATGAACGCGCTCAAAACGTAACCTTTGACGCATTGGAAAAGAAAGAAAAAATTGACAACAGTATGACGTCGCAATTGGCAGTAGATAACAGTTTTGAGTCATCGACTGATGTGTCAGCCTGTTTAAACCTAAAGGGACACCAAAAAGACCCCAATGAACAAAGGATAAGCAAACTCACAGCGAAAGTCAACGTAGATAACAAGGGTACGTAGGTGCTTATTTGAGCTTTAAAATTTTATAAGGTTCACGCTTCTTTGTCAGTCCTTATTTTTGTTTCTGAGAATCGCGTTAATAAGTTTTGGCTAGAACGATCATATAAATTTATCTGTAGTCAATATGTAAGTAATACCCTTTTGTTCGATTCAAAGAACATTATCAAAAACAACAGTAAAAACCCATATATATATATATATATATATATATATATATATAGCTAAATGCACAAGACCAGTTGTGTATACGCAGAATCGTATTGTAGACATTTAGGGAAGCGATACGATATAGATGAAGCCCTTTGCTTTAATATACATATAAAGCCTGATATTATAAGTACATTGGACTTCTCTATAGCACCCTTGTTCTTACTTTTTTTTACCACTAGTAACAAGGTACAAAAGCCAGATGTACACTTACCATCATGGGTTTGTTCTTTCCAAAAACTTGCTTTGATGTTTTAATCATTCCACTTTAGTTTTATTAAGGGAGTTTTCGGCCCTTTCAAATATCCTGAAAAAAGGACATATTTATACTGGCCCTCACGTTGCTAAGTTTGCTTGATGATTAGTCAGAATATCGAATATATATTTTGCGTATGTGAAACCTGCAGATTGCTAAGATTGCACGTCCTACGACTTATTAAGTGATCGAAAAGGCGAAGAACGTTACGTGGCCCAGGTCACACCTTGTCTGTGGGCTAACGGTAGGCATCGGGACACGCTTACGTAAAGATGAGCCCATCGAAAAAGGCTTTAAAATTGTATACCGGTTGTTTCTCGCCAGTTCACGGAAGAACTCGCGCTGCTTATCCTACTATCGATTTGCAAACTTGTATATAACGAAATATCATCTAGCGGATTTATTTACATCGATTTGTTTATGTGGACTCTCTGAAAACAATCTCGTTAAGCTACGATTTTAGAAGGATTAAATGCTAGTTTTGGAAGGTCCCACTGAGACACTGATAATAGGGCTAGTGTTGAAAATTACAGTATGAAGCGACAACCGCAACTGTCACACTCAGCGTATGTAAGTGTTTGTTTGCAGGCAGTGAAGTTAGGAAACTGCAACTACGCGAGCTTCAATTTCCTACATTAGCTCAAAAAATTCATGCGGAAAGGTCCGAAATCACATCGAAAAATAATCGTTACTTCTGATAATTGTGCTTATTTAGTTCAGCAATGAAGTTGGTTAGGGTACTTTAGCAACCCTTCTTTAACATTACGCCTTCAAAAGTCTTCAATGCTGACTCCGCTTTTTACAATACTTTGTCCCGTTTCGCTAGATTCATTCGGCGGCGGCGGCGGCGGCGGCTTACAAAAGACGGTTCGCTAATGTCTTTGGGCATTCTTTTTCCAAATCTGATTTACTTCCACCTAAAATAAGGATGCTATGTTTTAAGCGTATAAATTTTTTTAGCATAATTAGTAATTACCAGTGTAGCTATTCACTATTGTACCTTGAGAATTTTTCCGATGTGTGTTAACCTCACTGAGGTGTTCTACATGCTGTAGTGTGACGTTGCGTTTCGACTTACGGCATATTGTATCTTAGCGTTCGTTCGTTCGTCTGAATGCTTTGTTTCGTTAGTTATTTGGATAATTGTTTTAAATTTAATTGTCACATGCATCCTTCTCCTTGTATTGAACTGTCCTCCTGTCTGATGTCCTGTGTGCCAATGCCCCATCTTGACGAGTAAGACGAACAATACAATGCTAAGCAACATCGAACTGTCAAAACGAGAGTCCTAACTCATGCCCAGATATTCGCGCTCCACTCTGATGTATATTGCTGAAAGAAAAACTGTTTAGACAAACATTTTCTAAAGGATCTAAAAAAGCTCCGCAACTAGAAAAAAAAAAGTAGACCTTATATATATATAATAGTTCGCAGTGAATGTAAATAAATGAATGTCACCGTAAGCGTCTGTGAGTCGTAACATGCTGAGAACTCGTACTCTTGCTGAATATCGTAACATTCTCGTATGTTAAACTGTGACCCCCACAAGTAGTCATAGCTGTCAGCCATTCCAATTGTGCACTTTAGATTGGCATCCATGAAATTTACTCTAAAATCGACTTACATATAAAATAATCTTAAATACAAACGATGGTTATTTTTATATTATTGTGAAAAAAACGTTGTGATAATACGCGGTTGCTAAATGCAATGAATCTGTCCATGTGTAAAGATTATCCTATAGGCTTTGCTGTTCATATTCTATAATTTTTGTGCTTTAACAAAGAGCAGGTGACAAGCCCGCCGCCAGTCAGTGGCGGGCGTTTTAAATAAGACGCACTTCTAACTGACGTCTTCAACGATCAAGTCCTTTTGCTTTGCATAAACATTTTCCTTTTAATCGCGTTAGATCATACTGATGCTAATACCCATTCGCACACATCATTCGATAGTTAGAAGAACCTCTATATGCGGTCTAACAAGGCTATACATGGCAATGTAATATTACCGGCTATATATAATATTGTGAAGTAACGTTTTCTCGTAACGGAAGTAGGTGAACCGTAGGGGAGTGCAGATATATCGTTATACAGAGGTACTATTTGTTTACACTTACCTTAAAAATACTATAAACTGGCAACTCTCCCGTGTTGTTCCCTGTTCGTCGTTGAATTATAGATGCTGCAAGATGACTAGGACGGGAGCTCTTTCCATAAAATGTCCTGCCCTAAACTTCCTTTGCTCGTTCTGCAAGGCTGATTAAGCCTAGAGATGGAAGTCATGCGATACCCTTGGCGTTAACTTCGATCGCAGCTATCGATGATTCCTTTTTTGGCCTGTCTCTTCGTTCGTTGTAGTCCTATAACATGTCTGCCTGATTAACTTTCATGAACTGTATGGAATGCAAATAGATAACGCAATAAACCTGCCCAATTTGCATGGGACCCAAATCGTATTGTCATTTTGATTTATTTATAAACATACCTATCAGACATTGCTTGTTGCAGATGTAAAGAAAAACAACAGAACGGTAAACTGTGAAGCTAGATGAGCTTCACCAAAATGCAAACAGCACAACGCAGGATCTGATCGTGATAGCTGACGTTGCTCCACAGACTATCGTCGTTGTTAATTACCATTTTACTTAATAATAAACAAATGAAGCATAACGCGTTTTGCATTACCTAAATAGGTGACGTCTTCAGTAGCCTTGCTGGGCGCCATAACATATGTACGGTGGCGGTACATGTATAATACAGATTCACATGAACGTCATGTTCAGTTCCGATCACGATTTGGGCGTATTTCACTACCGTTTAGAGTTCAATTTATTATATCTAATTCAAATGAATATAGCAAATAATACTGCATTATACTCTTGGCGTCGTTTAATCACGCCCTTCCTTTTGCCAGCCGTCCGTAACGAATTGTTGAAATTTCGAGAGCAAATCAAATGCGCTCCGCTACCTCTTTCTCTTGATGATAATAATTCGACCTAGTAAAAGGTTACTTTAGTCGACAAGACGATAATAGCGGCAGATTACATTGGCTCCAAAAGGATCTTTTTGTGCTTGTGAAAAGCGATGTAAAAATGAAAAAAAAAGTGATGTACTGTATTGAAGCTTTTTTTTTTTTTTTTTTTTGGAGGTTAAGGGCAAATGCATTATGCAGACCGGACGTAGGCAGGACATGACTGCTCTTTATCCGGTACTGTAGGACTCTCACCCACTAAACCCTGGACCCCTTTATCAGCTTGGGTCATGGTTCGGTATATGTTTGATATTACTTCGAAACCATGGCTTGCAGGAACGGTCATTTCATCTTCCTTCCCTTTGAGCCGTTCCAGTCCATCCTCCATTTTGGCCTTCCTCTTGACCGTAATCTCTAGATCTCGAGGGAGGCCGTTCTCCCTGTACTACCACTGTATTGAAGCTGCTTCAAACAAATCAGCCCAAGGTTTTTAGGTAGCGGAAAAAATCCTACAGGCGAACAACTATAGGCCAGCAAAACTTCGAATTAAAATGTCGCTCAACACTGTCATAGAGTTGTGCTGCGCTGAAACGTCTTTTTTTACAGACCATTCATTAGTAATGATCGCCGTTCAGATGTTAGCGAATTAACATATTAAAGAGTTTAGAACAAATGACGCGCTTAAGGGCGCTGTCTTTATAACGTATCTCACGTAAACAATCGTGCTGATGTTAGCTGACAGTTAAAACAGGGAACGTACGTTTGTAATTTGTAATGCAGAAAGTGTGAGAATTGCTGACGAAGAGCGAGAAGGAGTCGGAAGCGGAGCCGCTTTAACGAAGTACGTCGACTTCGGAAATACTGACTCGGCTTATTCCGAAACTGATCACCAGTTAGAAATGGTCGGTCTCTGCAGTGATCCTAATAATGGAAACAGCAGATTGAAGGCCGCAACTCAGGTTCAGTAAATTTCTTATTTTAACAAGATAATCTATTGGGAGACAAGACTATCGAACTCAGTTTTAATATTTACAACAATATATATGTAGAACAATTTAAGATCTCCTTAGTAAGTGCTCAACAACCGACAACCATAGCTTGCACTAAAGGTCTGCCGTTCAACAAATCGGCTTGTAGATAACTGCGTGTCGCGTCGTGCTGCATACTGTCAGAGCTTAGAGATAAACCCTGATATCTTACGGATCGGTCACAACAGGTACTCTCTGAACCTGGAGCGTTCTCAATTTCCAGTCATAAAGGTTCTCAGGCAGGTCCGTCCGGCGCAGGAACATCTACGTCGTATACATCACTGCCTTTGAATACAACGGCTCCGTATAATATCAGGTTGGTTGTGGTTTCTATACATCAACCGTATTCATTACTAAGGGTTGACTCAGAAAAATTTGTTTATTTGCCACTTCCTAGAGTAAAGCAAGCCAATAAAGCTACAGCAAAAAAAGGAGATTATCTAAAATGTACTCGAACACTAAATCAAAAGTCGCTTAATTGATCATCGGATCTGAAATCGTTTATTAATCCTGGAAAAACTCTGAATTAAATAAATAAAGCAGTAGATATGGTAAATCGTAGAGAGAAGCACCACTTTATTTTTGTACAGATGTCTGTCTGTACTGCTTGAACGCGTAAAATCCATGTTATTTTATCACTTGGGCCCACTATGTGTATTGCACGAAGTCAGTTAGCGTGCGAAAGTGCCGGTGCATTCGTCAAACGTTACCTTCATTGTTATTATCTGAAGCTATTAGCACCGGGTCTTGAAATCTTCACCTTAGTTTGGATGCTGTACAGCCCATGATCATAGTCTATTTTACCTACCCGTTTTTCTTTAAAGACGCTTTCTTCGATTCTAAAGATGTTTATCATTCGCATTTAAACTCGTTCAACCCAGGAGGGGCGAGCACTTTCGAGTTATTATCGTTGGCGCAGGGGCTGCTGGTTTGGGCGCAGCTTTACGGCTCACTGATTCAACGAGGAATACCGCACCGAACAGCGAGAATTTGTTAATTCTTGAAGCGCACTCGCGTCCGGGGGGGCGTATTCTGACACATTACGAAGGTGAGCGTTTCCATCCGATTCCATCTTCATGCAATTATCCATGTACTATGTTATGCATATATCTCCACTATACTGCCTTTAGATTTAATGGCAGAAAAATGTTTTCGTTACAGCGGCCGAAATAACAGGTGGTCCCCTCGAGTTAGGCGCGCAGTGGGTGCACGGCGAAGAAGACAATGCATTATTCGAATTTTGTCGGCGGCACAGTCTTCTTTCTGATCCTCGTGCAGACTACTCCGTAGAGGGAAAAGGTAACGTGAGAAAATTCGTAAATCTAAATTTCCTATAGCTGCGTCAGTGGCAATCGATGTGACGTAAGGTTAGCTTGATACATAAATCGACCGAAAAACGTGGATCGAAGATAGACTGTAGGTCGGTGTCAACGAGCGTATCATGTTATGTGTTTTCAAGCATAGACAGATATAAGTAAGAGCAGAGTTCTTAAATGGCGCGGAACGGATATGGCACGTAGCGATCGATGTCTTTGAATTAAATGAACAATTGGAAATGAAGTGGATTGATGAAGTGGCCATAGGCCTATGTCAAACAGGAAACTGAGCGCAAAGAAGTCTAAACAGAATTCTAAATTCTAGTTTTACAACGCTGTCAATACTTCAGTCCGCTGCGAGAGCTTGATTTTGCTGTGCATTATCGAATATGTTTGGCAAAAACTATTATTGTTATAAAAACAAACAATTCTGTTATTATTATACTGTGCTATTCGACATCAAGAGGTAATATCGAGAGCAAATCACAACAAGTTGTGAAGTTATTTCAATTTATTTGACAGTATCAAATGTTCTATTAAAAACCAGGAAAAAATGTACCGATTCATTCGAAAATTTCACAGCTTAGACTATAAATTTAGACGGGTATAAGAAAATTTTCACTTCGTTCACTTAAAAACACATATGGCAACTACTTACTGAATTTTTCTGTGTTGTATTTGAACTTGATCCGCTTTCAGGCGTGTTTTTGCTACCGGACGGTTCTGCAGTTCCTGAAGAGTTAATTGAGAATAAAATTATGGTGCTCAATAGTGTGAAGAATGAACTGGCTTTACTGAAGAACAGTACTAAAGAAAAACATCAAGGTAGTTCTCGAAAGGTGTTGATCAGTGATCACTTCACGTTTCGATGATGATTTTATATTTCGATTGTTGTTTGGAACAAGTATCAGCTATAACAATGACTATGACGATAAGTGTGAAAGCGTTAATTTTCAATCGTAAGAAACGCAAGATATCAACAAACGACATATATAAGTTTTAGCAATGACGAAGCATGTTTGTTGTACGGGGGATTGAGTTTTAAGGTAATTCCTTCGACTACAAATCGGTCTTTGAAATGTATCGGCGTCGGTTCGAGGCACATGTCATGGAGACTTATTACAACCAGTTTGGCAGTCACGGAACTCCGCAGTCGTTCTCAGCTGGTGATCCGGAGCTCATGTCAGCAATATTAGACTGGTACCGCAAGTTCGAAATTGTAGATAATGCCTGCGAAGATCCCGAACAGTTAGCTATAAGGTAGGTGAACATGTACCCTGCGGCCGGAGGGGAATCACTATACTATATTTGATACACAATCAAATTGTATTAACAGTCAATTAAAACTAAGGTTCTCGTGTCAAGAAAACTTAATGATATTTCAATGTTAAAAGTAAAGTGTTTCAGCTTTAGCTAAGCGTAGTTTGTACAATTAGTTAGAATTTATTGATCTTGTTAGAGAGCTACTCTATGTAGATGCTAATACGTGAGCTGGGTGCTTTAATGGGACCTACCGAATGTGTATGGCGGGTCTTTGTTTCTAACAATATTTCCAGGGGATATGGCGATTATGTAGAATGTCCCGGCGTCTATTATATCAACTTTAATAACGGTTATGAGTCATTTGTTCGAACGATCGTTAAGTCTCTTCCGGAAGGATCGTTGCGTCTCAATGCTCCCGTTTCAAAAGTAATCTGGAAACGCAGACATGAAAATCAAGAGGTATTTTAATTTTCTTATTAACTAAGGTGTCACTTACCTAATAATAGTGGGTTGCTTGAAAAGAGTGCGTCGTAGTGTGCGTGCTTAAAATGAATGCCTACACCTGGCTTTCCATGGAGACGAGGCACACGTAAATGCTAGCAATATAGAATACGAAAGAAGCATATATTTCAGGTGGTCGTTGTGGAAACTTGCGACGGAAAAGTGTTCACCTGCGATCATTTAATCATGACACCATCGGTACGGGTTCTAAAGCAGTTTCCCTTTCAGCCGTCTTTGCCCAAGTTCAAACACGAGGTAGGTGCTTATAGCAGGATAGCGTGCCATTGTCAAACTCTCCATATTGTTGTGGCTAGTCTGATTTTCTTATCGTATCACTATAGCCACTATTAGATGTTGGTTAATTCAATAGGCGCAATACAAAAAAGCGGAACCATTAAACATTTGACCGTTCTATCGGCTGAGTCGAGCTCCTTCAGCGTACCAGCAAAATGAGAATTAACGTAAACTGTTACAGGCACTTCGTTGTTTTGGCTTTGGCACAATTGATAAGATATTTTTGGTATGGGATGATGGGCCTTTCTGGCCTGAAGACAGTCTCGGTTTTCAGTTCCTATGGACCCGTTATGATGACGATTTCTTCAAGGTAAATTAATAGTCTTATTTGTTTTTCAATGAATTGGTGAGTTACTGAAGTAACTAGCCAGAAGTACTTTATGCTCTTTCAAGTTGTAGAGTACTGCGCTTGAAATATTTGATCAACGTAGGATATTCCACATGATAAACTATTTAGAGGCACTTTGTCCTAATCTATGCTGTAAACCTAAATATATACGACCAATAAAGGCGAACAGCATAAGCGTTTAAAATACTCTCCAAAGCATGTACGGTTTTACATCCGATTTACGGGAAACTCTCACGAGTGGTTTCGTCCCGCTGTTCATCCCGCCGCTTAAACACGAGCGCCGAGTTTGCGCTCATAATAGAGTACTTAACTAACTATACGATATGCTATTACCCTGCAATTACACTTGGAGGAACATGGTGAATATCTTCGCGGCATTTACGGTTTTGAAAAAGTAAACCGCCGTCCAAATGTTCTACTTGGTTGGATTGGCGGGGACCATGCCGTTGAAATGGAAAAGGTTGCCGACACTGAACTGCTTAGGGGATGTTACCATTTACTTAAAAGGTAAATATTGCTCCGATTACTGTAGTAATGGTAGCTCTATAGAGTAGTGCACGAGGCGCTTGTGATAATAGACTTCGGGCTTTCCTTTTAATCATGAAATACATTTTTGTATTTTTCGTAAATGTGTATCTGATTAGCTGACGTTTCCTCTTCAATATGTTGCCGACCAACGAAACAGGTTATAATAATAAAATGTGCTATTACGATATTACAGATCGCTAGTGTCGCTGGCTTCTATCTAACAAGTAGTAGATTCGTCAATAATTCGGATTTTGTAATACCGTTATTGACGTTACAGTGGTAAATCAGAGATCAACGTAACCTTGATGGTATCAGTCTAATCGAACTGTTCTCTCTGATCGTTTATGCATTTGCTTATTATTCAAATAAACGAAATAGAAATGCAACGTGAACCCATGACAACAGATCTTCAACTCAGTACCTACGTTCCTCAAAATTTAATTCATCAGAACTTTGTTGCAGATTTGCCAATCGAGTAGTTCCTGGAGGTGTACGACCACCGTCGCGTGTCATTCGTTCGGCGTGGGCGTCTGATCCGTACGTTAATGGCGCTTATAGCCATCGTCTGCTCCCGTTCGACCAAACCAACGATCCTGTAGGGAAATTACAACAGCCGCTATATTGCTCGACTAATGAAGATAACGATTCTGCCACAACTGATCTAGAAGACATCGCTGTCGGCCATGAAGAACATCGACAACAGGTTCGCATCCTAATCGTCGTAAAGCAACAAGGAGTCATCGAGAGACGCCTGTTGCAGAACTGAATACATGTAGCGCACCTGAAAATAGTTCTTGATTCCAGTTCAATTACTATCACTATCAGTAAAATAGCCTTTTCCTTACATTTCCTTATTGTCCTCAAGTATAGCACCGTTTCTAGCCGTATAGAACCAATGACATTTATTGTTTTATTCCCTTTGTCTGATTACCTGCTTTTTGTAAAGATGAATCAAAAATAATCGTTACATGTTTGCCCATAACGCGTCTGAGACTCGAAGGTGACGTCCTAAACATGGAATCAATATCAAATTTATTAATAGAAGGTTTTTTTTTAATAAAAACATAGGATAGGAAGGATCTTCATCCGTTGGTATTATTCGCTGGAGAAGCAACAGACCCAGTATATTTCTCTACGGTCCATGGGGCCCTCCGTTCCGGCCAGCGGGAGGCACAAAGGCTCATCGACTACTGGAATTGCAAAACCTCACGAGAGTTCACGTAACGAAACCTCGGACGACACAGGCCATTGAAAACGTGCCAAAATGCTCAACGAAGCAATTAGACGCCAACGTGAAATTTGTTCGACAGCTCCAGGCGAAAAATAGAAATAGAAACGCATGGTTTTTTCGGAGAAGGAGATGTTAGCTTATTTTCAGTAAGAAGAAAAACGCATAGGCTTCACTTGCCTTACTTCAAACTAAAATTATTTAAGCCTTTTTTCAAGGATAGGCTTATACGGTCTCAACAGAGCTAAGTAAATGACCTGTGCCATATAATGCCCCAAAAAGGAGTTACTTTGTTGGTGCTTAAGAAGCATCTATGCCGCAAAGGTCGTTATTGTGTATGGAACTAGTTACTAACATGAGATTATGTTCAAACACAAACAGAAATATCCATAGATTTATAACTTTGCATTGTGATAACGATAATACATGTTACTAACGACCAGAGTCATCACAGAATTAAACTGATTTGATACTTTGTGCAGAGTAACAACTGCTTTTTGTATTACTTCTTTAAAGATTTTAATTAAGATTAGTAATTTTAGATGGAACAAGCCGGACTAATGACAAGTTACTGCTACAGCGCTCATTATCTTTAGCCTAGGTTATGCGTAGGAATGTATCACGGATTTGTTTACGGATCACTAAAGCTAGAATGAAACGCTAGAATTTCCTAGAGTTTACCATTTTCAATGTATATACAAATGTTTCCTGCTTCGCAGCACCACATGATGCCAAAGACACGTCCTAAACCGACCTAACGCCATGGTCTGCCATTTTCTATTACGTACGATCCGTTGGCTCAAATGAGCTAGATACTCCTGAATGACGTGGAGTAGAATAGGAGCAGATGATGCCACCATATTCGAGTCTACCTTCCGGCCAGTGCCGCATAGTCCCGTTATATCGCGTACTTGAAAATTGGATTTACCTCTATGCCACAGTGAGTACTAAGTTGATAAGGATCGCAGTGTCTTTTGAAGATGATAACACAAACTACTGCTGCTATAGTCGTCAGGGCTCAGACTACGAAGACGCGGGATTTTCAAATGGTAACAGCAACGGTAATGTGAACAATCTAGTAGTGTAACTTGATGATTCCCTTCCTCATAAATTCATTGTAATTATGGCATTTATTTATTATACTTGTTTCTTCTGCTCGTTACAGAGGGAAAGGGATCACACTATACTTTGAATTTTGAAATGCAGCTCTTCGACTTTTTGGAACACCTTCCATAGGCAACTCTTCACATGTTATAACTAAGCCGTCATGTAGCATTTTAAATCGCTTTTTTTTTTACCCATCTATGTTACACTGTCAATTGTTATTGGTGACCATGATGATAGAAGAGCAAAGATTCTACCTGTGTGTGGCTGTGTAGTCGTTCTGTGTGATCAATGCAGCGTGGCCTGCTCTCAGTAGACGCGACTTCAGTTCATCAATTATCCTTGATGAGCACCGAAGACTATGATCTTGGGAGAAATTGCAATATCTTCATACCAAATCTATTTGTTTGTGAGATGAACGTTCCAATTATGAATATCCAATAAGTCGCATGCATATACAAATATGTTCGATAAGTACTTAGTAGATATATATTGTAAATATTTACAACGGAAGCTGAGAAACTATTAGCTACGACTATATCATATGTTTGGTTAGAAATTCTTATAACAAATCGTTATATCTATAAAACATGAGTTTACGCATCTCGCTCTGTATACAGATCAGATGCGCCTCTAGCAAACGTACAGATAGCCGATCCTGAACTGCGGACAACGATTCCCACATGTGTACTGCTGTCACGCGGTGAGCGAGGAGCGGGTCAACGCACCAGAACGAATAAAGGAGTACGTCCGGAAACGCGCAGCGGCCCAATAAACGGAGCTTCATAAAAGCGGGCCCATTTAAGTGAACGAGAATGTCAGCAAAGCCGCGGGCGTATGAGACAGTCGACACTCATGGCCTCCCTTTGCTCTTTAGTAGACTTTGCAATTGCGAATATGCTTTCCGATGGTCGGCCATACTCCGGGAAGTGGCGGAACGCCAGTTGGATGTACAGTTCTTGTCAAGCGCGGGTGGCCTTGGTGACGAAAGGGAACACCGCTGGCTCGACCAATCGTGAAAGAACTGGTCCAAGATCTCGCGACGAAAGCGTGGCTCCATGCAATAGCAGCTATGCTAGGTCGACTAGCACCAGACCGTAATAAAGTCGGTGTTGCAACATTGCAAGAGATTGCCTCAGGGCGATACCGGACGTAAAACTCGAAATAAAGCATTTCGACCATAATTGTAATAGGCGTAGGTCGACAATCCAACAAAAATTATTTAAGCTGTTTTGGAAAGCTTATTTTTAGACGAAATTCCACGTTTCAAGTGCAATTAGTAATAGAGGAATGCCTTTACAGAGTACCAAAAAAAAGCTGGAACCCGGCAGATAAATAACAAGTTAACGAGAAGGACTCCGAAAGGGATAGGGAGCACGATTACACTTTTATTATTGAACTGCTGAAAACTACTCTTCTGACAGCGTTCTAAAAACTCGCAACAAGAGAAACACGGCGACAGAAAAGTGCATCTATGTGTATATGAAAATGTATGTAAGGAAGTCGGGTAATAGGCTTCAAGATAAGGGAACACTTTTGGAAACGCAGGTAGCCCGTTCAGGTAAAAGTAGATAAGGCGTCCAAGATAGAACTTTCTGCTCGGAAACTTCTTCAAACACTAGAGGATATTGACTCTCGTTCGTCATAAAGCTGACAGCCTCCAGGAAAAAGTGCAGGATGTGAATCTAAGGAAGATTCTACAACCCTACGAGAGCTTAGCTGGCTTCTAGAAGCCTATTACATACCTCGTAGACTAAAAAGCACATTGTGTAGGCAAGCTCTCTTTTATCCTTCTGGCAGGCGACGAAGGTGCCACGGACGGCATACTATGGAAAAACGTTTAACGGACCTTAAGGATCAAGCTGCTACACAAATTAGCGGTCAAATCATTTAAGTTCGGAAACGTTGACATGGTCTCTCGGAGAATCTTCGTCGCAGTGCGTCCACCTGAGGCGACACGCCAGTTAAAGATGGCTTTCTGTTAGAAAAAATTTTTGAAGCTATCTTTAAAAAAACATAACGGCTCACTGCTACCTTACTGATGAAAGTGATAAAGGTTACGTAAAAAAACTATAGGCTATTATCATTAAGCGCGGCGTCCATGGTTACTGTTTTGCTTGTTTGCTTTAATTAGATGCAACTAAATGTTGGCCCTAAGTACTACAATATAAAGATAAAAGACGCAAAGGAATATAAAATAAAGACATGAAAATTATGCTCAATAAAAGTCAACTGGCTTTTCAAAAACCTTTATGAATTACTTTACTTTGAAGAAGGTCAAGCAAGGATTGGCACACCAAGCAAGGAGAATTATCGTTGAAAACCCGATTGAAAGAACTACTACCATTGACGTTGCCACAAGTCTTGACTCTGTATTCAGACAGAACCCAGCAAGAGCAGAAAATTCTACTGGCCTTGACAACACCCTGACACGATTTCCCTTCGGGAAACGATAAACACTGGCGGCTTCTACACCGTCTTTGGCGCGAAAGACGCTGGAAATAGAATACTCAGAAGCGAGCAGACGCTGACAGCGATGCGTACGTTTCCACCACCGAAAAAGAGCCGAACGGATCGGAAACCAAGTAATAATAATATTAATCAAAATCCCACAACAAAACTGCTACCGCAGCAGGGCCGCACATTACTGTCTAAAGAAGACCCACAAAGAGGAAAGCTTCACTGCTGTTCTAAAGCGTATCAAATAAAAGACTAGTTCAAGATAATTTAATGACAAAAAAAGACAAGAAACCCTATACAAACAAGATGTTTATATAAGGAACATACAAGGACAAGCACAAAAACGTGGTGAAGAGAAAATCTTCACGTGTGCAGCGACGTATGACGTCGCTCCCGTTCATGCTAGCATGGCCCTAGCGGCTCGCTTGAAGAACTCTGTTACATTGTTAACAAACCACAACAAAAATGTCGCAGAAAATCTAGCAATATCATATACCGTTGGTCATCGTCGGGGATTGTAATGCTAGCTCAGTTACTTTGGGTGCTTCTCGCACAAACTAGAGGGGTCAGATACTAAAAGAGTGGATGGCTACCAATGATAAGGTCACGTTGAACACAAGATCCATAGTTACCCCTCAAGGGGCTTGAAGGCTTTTGGAGTCCGCCATATGCCCTATAAAATGTGCAGAAAATTGTTGTTCACTGGGTATCTCGAAATTGATAAAGGGACACCGTCAACTGGAAGATGCTACATTCTATTAGTACTTTGTTGAAGGAGCCTGTAAGCCACATACTTCTCGGCTCAGACGAGCCTAGAGCAGTTCCACCTAAATACTGGTAGAACGACGTCACTGCGAGTAGAAGTATCGACTATAATAGAATTAACAAACAATTCAAGTGAGCCAAATTCGCCGGACGTACAGAAACATTCAACGATATTCTCGACAATTATAGGTTGGTTAAGAAAATTCTGAAGAAGAAAGTTTAGAAGGCTAAAAAGAATGCTGAAAAGGGTCTTTTACGCGAAATTCAGCGTGATCATTAAGGATGCCCAAGAAGATCATCCAAAAGGAAACAAATAGAGAAATACACATGTAAACATATATATAAATTCTCTTCCGCTTACCCAGAATTCGATCGTACCCCCTACAAAAACGACTTGAGCAAAGACATACCGTTTGTAACGACAGGAAAACTCAAGGTTGTGAGCGAATGAATGAAATCAGGAAAGGCGTCAGGTTTAGATAAAATCCCGTTGTCTGGGGCTGTAAAGCTATTCTTAAGGAGTTCTTTCTGTAGCCCGATGTGGAACTGTCCAACTATGGTTTGAGTTGTCGTCCTGTGACGAAAACACAGCCACAAAGGTGTATGCTCAGTGAACGGAAATACTAGAAATCCTTTAACGCAATGTCCATAGAATATAGAAGGTGCGACAAAGCTTCCGGTTTGAAATGCCCACTGCTGTGAACAAAGATGGCCCCGGTCTTCCTTCTTGAATGACTTGGTTGATAAGAGTGCCAATTAATTATGTAATCCAAATTATGTATAGCAAATCAAATAATTCCACTAGATGCAAAATCTAGTGCTTTTTATGCATGAAGGTCTGGTTGAACTTTCAACCATGATTTTTTTTTTAGAGCCATTCATTCCGATTTCTGATTCCTGTTGACATGCCGACACGAATTTGATCACCAGTGACAACTCTATGCTGAAATCTATCATTCTAGATGCCCAGAAAGATGTTGAGATGCACTTTTACATATTGTCGTGTTGGATTCAAAGAGCTTCTGTATAAACCCAAGGATTTGAGATGATTAGCATAGTATGACTGCAACCTACCGTTTCGGCAATTTCCCGGGTTGTTTGTTGACCGTCTTCTTTCAAAGGTGGCTTTTAAGGGTTACCAACTTAGACAGTCGTCCGGAGCGAGGGCTTTGGATACAGTTTTTAGACTTGCTAAACCTTTCTCGGGCAGTATTTTTGGTGGTAACGTTGTTACCGTACAAAAGGCGAACGTCGTGAACCATTTTGGCAGCGTTTTATTTTCGACGACATGCGTAGCGCAGAAGGTATCGAAGATGCACTTTTCTGTTGTTTGGAATATCCATCTTCAGGGATTCTTTAAGGTTGTTGCAGTCGCAACCTAGTACCGTGAATTCATCCTGATCAAGCAGGATGACCGCTTTTGAATGATATGTCAGAATTGAACAATAAGTCACGGGGAGTCTTTTTTTTTGTAAAAAGCACAACAATTTGCAACCTAATAGGATAAATTAGGCATTGGACCAGATTTCTCCAGGGATAAAAGGATAAAGCTTAAGATCAGTTTTAGAGTTCAGACAGTTCAGAGTTCACTCTGAAACGGTCCTATTATTAGGTAAGAAAAGCTGCCCTAGAACCTCAATCAAAACGGACGGAGACAACATAGAAATGATACATATCATTTAGCCAGGTGTTTAGTAATATAACTGGACCAAGCGATTCGAGGTACAACAAACATCCTTTCGTATTTTTATATACACGGGACGTGTGGAAAGATTTCTTATGGCGGTTGCTGAGTCTACTCTTCCTTTTGAACTTCGGTGAGGGTCAGAGCTTCACCTGCCGAAACTCTGCATGGAGGCTTATTACGGAAAGTTCAACAAACCTTTATGCTAAGAGTGTTTTAAGCATACAGAACGGCCAGCACAAATGCGACCTCGCTCCAAGCGGGAAGAATCCCATAGGATCTTAAAGCGGAGGAGCAACGGAGAGCGTGGGAAGATCTTATAGAAGATTCAAGGGACGATTTAGGCAACAAATTGCAAGAAGAGCGGACCGTTTTACAAACCCTATTCCCAGGAGCTAGGCTCAGAGACATTATTTCTAACATTAAGACTTGGCTAGAAAAACCCAGAGGAAGTCTCTTCTTTTTCTTGGTACAAATTGTAATTGAACGTGACCACTTCCAGGAATACTTTATCGAAATAGAGAAGGTTTTTTTGGAAGTGGAAAAGTTTCTTAGGAAGGCTTTGTCCTTTAAAGGGAACAGAGGATTACGCCTCTCACCGTGTGTACGGTGTGCACTGAAACGCAAGATAGATTAGTATATGTATAAACTTCGTTGGTAAATGGATTCAGAGGCTTTTTGCTGATTCTTTTGCGTACAAAGAAGTTGCTAAAAAATGGCGATCTGATGGCTAAGCGAATAGTCAACATAAGATTAATGAAGATAGCAGTAATCAGATTCGCAGGCGCGACAGATAATGCTACTCGATTTAGTTTATAGAGTGAGTTAGCGGGATACTAGTTTTACATCTCTCTCTAGCCCTAGCTCATCCGACATGACTGAGAGTTCAGCCACGATCACTTGGACTAGTTCAACTTTTACTTACGCCCACAAACTCATAGTATTATCAAAAAAAGGTCCAGGCTTGTATATAGTAACAACTGCATTATTCGAACCCTTTTAGAAACAAAGGATTTGGGTTACTTTTCCGTATTCGATGGCAGGGTAACTTTGCCACCCCTTTGAAACGCGGTTATCACTGAAATCAATTAGTGCGATGTAGTTGTTTTAAGGTCAACGTCGCGGCTCGTTGTACTGCTCCAATGTGTATCGGCACTGCAGTTGGCTGTGTCGCTACGGTGTTTCTCAATGCTAACTCAAGAAGCTCCGCAGCCAGGGGACTGACACAAGGGGCCTTAGTTCTATAACGGCTGCCCCCTTTGAGTCGGAGAAAATATCTTCCATAGAGACTATAATTAAGGTATACAACTTTTTAAGCAGCGAGCAATCACTTCGACGCTTTAAGGCATGGGCCCATGGTATCGAGAATATGAAGCACTAGCCAAAGCTGATCCAAATGTTCCGTTAGTAAACCGACGACATTTGCTATAACAACTTCTCAGAATTCGATTTATCAATCACAGGAATGACGTTGCCTTTTCAGATATAGGGTAAGAGACATTCGGTCCTTCCCTAATGTGTCGAGGAAGTCGCCGATCTGCAATAAGGAAATAACTGCTTTTTCGTCACCGCGTCCAACTGCCGATAGACCACACGAAGCCGAATCGAAACATCCTTTTTCCTAGGTAAGGCCTGGAAATCAGACAAAGGCTAATCACGTTATGTACCGTTTGCTGTTCTTACTTCGCGATACAGATTCTCTGCGCCAACGTGACCCGCCGAGGGTGTGAATACTGATAACTGCAAGACACGTTTTTGAAAAGCTTTTCGAAGAAATGTCAAAATTCGTCACGCAACGCCTTCATTACACAAATTCCGTTAGGCCAATGCAGTCCTTTTTCAATACGGAGTTTGTGAAACCTTTGCTTGAGACTACCTGTCCACAGGATGTAATGAAAGCTTTCAATTTGACGCCTGGCACTGATTTTCCGAACTCATGATCACTACTTTATAGGCCATTAGGAACGTACTTAGCAGAGGCGAATGAAGAACCTAGTCAACATACACTGCAGTCTCGGGTAAGCCGACTGCTGTCGATATTTATCTTGACGATTCAGAAGACAGCAGCCGATTCTTTTTGGCAACGACTGGAGCAGAGCGCTCCAACGAGCAGTGCGACATACCACGTACTATCCGCGAAATTGTTTCCTTCAACCCATATCACCTCTATTGATAGCACGTACCATTACTGAAATGTAGCTTATCTATTTACAACTTTTGGAAATGCGATGGACAGTTGACTGGTTTATACAAAGTGCAGAACTTGATTATTCTAAAGATTTTTGCAATGCTTCACTCTAACCTTACAATACGAGTCGTCGTTGGTAAAGCTCTCTGACGTTTTTAGTCCTCCGAACGTTGCTTGTGAACATCCTGAACAGCTTCCCCTAATTCCAACTCATATTTCATTGGTTGCATAAACAGAAGCTGCCTGCGTTCATTATATTGTCTTTGTACTTCTGCTACCTGCTCATAATTGCAACGCTATGTTAAAATAAACTTTCTGTACTCAAAAGTTAATCGCGACCCATTTATTATCTACAAGTGCAAAAGGAAAAACTATGATGTGTTGAACAGTACGCAAATTCCCTTAGAACACTGTGTTTATTCAAAACAGTTGTTCCAACAGTTACATTAGCGCCGAGGGTTGCGCGATTGCCCCCATGTCGGAAAAGGCTTACATAGACCTGATATGTTATGCTGCATTATTCGGGTCGAGCTTGATGACGAACATGATGGAAATTGGCAGAACTTAGAAATAATAATTCGAGTCTCCGATCGGTCCACACTTTTTGTACTTGCATTGACGTTTTGGGCTCTGGGCGGTATTGTTTAAAGGGGACAGTTTAATAATATTGGTCATTTGTACCTCGCATATACATAGAAACGATGTGTACGGCGAAGCACTTAGGCGAGAAGAGGTTGACACCAAATGCAAGCAGTCGAACTCAAGCTCTGACGAGTTTCAAGGCCCTGATAAAGACTAGGACAAACGACATCACAGGAAAAACACAAAACGAATACATAGTTCCAGTTGATACCGATAGTATAGTACGCGCCGCTATACAATTATGATAGACAAATAAGATCTTTATTTGTCTTCAATTGATTTTTACTGAGCTGAATAATCTATAGCAAATTTCGTTCCATTTAGCTCTTGCCTATGGCAGTTTACAGTGTATAATTTGTTGCAGAATACTTATGACGAAGAATTGCAATTTCATCATTCGTTCATTGTACAGTCTAGCAGCGGCAATATAACAATCTTTTGCTCCCTCTTGACTTAAGTGTTGATCTTGCGACCATTCTATCTATTCCGACGCCACTGCTTCTCAGCCTCGGGCAGTCTAAGACCTATTATTCTTCCCTATTGAAAAATTATTCATGGAAGACTATTGATGTAACTAAATATTAGCTACATTTCGTGCGATTCGTGCTCGATCAATCGCACTCCGTGTTATAGACAGGCTTCGGTAGATCATCATTTTCATAAAACCCGCTGGTACGATTCGTTTTTAAAAAATCACAGTTTTAGGCAGCGCATCTTGTGATCGCGTCGGCTTGTCGTTAACGTGAAAATCAAATGTGAGCTTTATATGTAGATTGGCAGTGAAATAGATGGTTGATCCCCGCTGCTCTCAGTCACCTGTAAGAAACGGAAACAGAAAATACAGAGCAGAAGAGATGTATGAGACACGCGGTAGACCATGTTACATCATTCTCGATTACTTTATATAAGCTAAATTATCGATAACTTCATCCGAAGTTACCTCTATCAGAGAGTTGCGTATTTTTCATGTGTACCCACTAGTTTGAAATGTGTATAGACTTAAAATAGACTCAATGACCTATGTGATCACTAGAATTTTATATGCAGGCTAAAAGTGACGTGCTGTCAATATCTTAGCAGTTTGTTAGTTTAGTTGCCTCACATAGCCTAAATTCTGCCCTGGCCAACAATTGAGCAGAACAGTGAAACTTCGATAAATGCGCTCCCGTTGCTTTTCGGCAGGTTTCATAAGGAGGAATCAAGTAAAAAATTAGTTTTTATTTAAAAATAGAAGGCTGTATCTGCCGCTGGTCAGCTGTCATGACAATGCACAGGGCCAAAAAGGGCAAATAAAGATTACGTGGCCATACGCGCAAGAAGTGACTCTAAAACCGAATATTATGGGACATGGCGGGGTGAGAATCAGCAAAAAGAAGATACACAGGTTTAAATTGATCTCGAATACAGAAGTCGCTCGAATCTGTTTTGTACAATCTATGTAAGCTCGGTCTCTCTAAACAACTACGTTTTTTTCGGAAAACATATCAATATCCGATTGTTTTGACCTGAGGTGTCATGGCAGGGTCCGGATTAATAGGGGAAGGAAGCCGACAGGATATCATCGTCTTGTTAATCTTCAGAGGAAAAAATGCGGCTCGTTAAACGAAATATACCCAGTGATTTAAGGAGGTCAAACTCCAACGTTTTTGTAACAGAGAAAGCGCAGCCCAAATATCACGTATGATCCCCAAGTGGAAAATTATATAACATTTTTTTGTGTTATATTATCTATTCCTTTCTGAACGACTCAGAAAGAACCGATCGTACCTGAAGTGTGTTATGAAAATGCAGTCGGGAGGAAGCACCGTAGTTTTCAAAATAGTGAACATTCATTACAAAGGGTCAAACTATTGAAAATGTCTACTACAAAGAACTGACCATGAGACTTGTTATTATAGCAGTCTACGTTGTTCTAGGGTCTGTCAATGCGTTGGCTAGCTGACAGCTTTATCAATGATCAGCTTCATGAACCACAAATTATGGAAATGCCTGTTTAGGGTTATGAAATTCATTGATATAATGTTGTTAAGGGAGTCCGTTAGCAGGTAGTAGTCTTTAGTAACACGGATATTTCCTAGGGTTACTCCGTTAAGAATGCCAGTTAGCGCCGTTGACCCGCTGCAATGTAAGGAGTGCAGTCGAAGAAAGAGAAAACGGACGTATCATATATAAACGTTAGTCTAGAAGTTTTTTAATGTTAAGGATGACAGCTACACAATAAGCTGATATGATAAAACTGGATTAGATCTAAAGGGCTTCGTTGCAATGACGTAACGTATTTATACATGCTTTATGTATGTAGATGTAAACGTACGAACATACACTACATACACATGCACCGGATGAAACATCTAAGCTAGGATTCTTTCCCATCATTTGTTTTTAAGCGTGTGTCTAAACAAAAACAGATCCCAAGAGAAGGTTTTGTATGTGATAGAAGTAACATTCCGCCATAGCCACCATTGACCAAAATAAGACAGCCTTTATTCGGGACCTGAACCACTCACCACTCGTTTTCGAAATAGTCTTTTTTAATCTGCAAATAACTTTATAGTAGTAATCGTACATCAAATACTATCGGTAGCTATAACTTCGTTGAACTGTCGCTCAAATACGTCACATATAAGGAAGTCCTAGAGAAATCAAATTTTATCGTGATGGCAAGCAAAAACGCTCAAGAAATGCGAATCTTTGGAACGGCTAAAAAATCGACGTAAAACCATTGTAGTATACCTGGAGGTCCTTAATAGCAACTATTCTCCACAATGACGGTTATCAAAAATCCGGGTATGTCTAATGGTTTATAATGTTACTTCGATGAATTTTTGAACTCTTTTTATCTTGTCTTGTAGGATCTATGCTTTCTTTGAATTTTCTAGGAATTTCACGAAAAACCTGCAGTGAATCTGAGGTAAAAAAAATAGTAGCTGATTTTCGCTGAAGATGCAAAAACGACCTCCATAACGAGTTTTTTTTGTTACATTTCAGAGATAAATAGCTACTATAAACAACAACAACAACAACAACAACAACAAATGAATGCTTACCCGCTACAACAAACAGCCTCACAAAGTTCGACCCAGTCTAGATGCCTCATTCCTTATATATATATATATATATATGTTCGATGAAGTTCCGCCTTTAGCGGAAAGTAACATAACGAAAAAAAACTCCAGCTGGAGTGCCGCATATCGTACGGTGTTGAGGAAATCTAACAGAAGTCACAAAAAACACGGCTGTAATAAAACACGTATTTGTATGTATATATGTTTCGTTCCGCACAGAAATGTCTACTTTATTCCCTTACCATGATTATTTTAGGTTGCGTCGCCTGACATTACATATGCACGTATGTATGTTATAAGGGTTTGGTTTAGCTGACAAGACCGATCAACGGTCATTGTGTTTTTTTTTTTTGTTTATATATATATAGTAACGGCTTGCTATAGAATTGCTAGTCGAGGTGCTTCGAAGGCAGGGTACAAATATGTAACTATGATAGTCACCTTAGCAAATAACAAAGCTATAAAGAGATTAACAGTTGTAAATAGTAACGTCCAATGTTCCTCTTTATCCATTCGGTTCTTTACTTGTTTCATTACATCTTTGCCATTAGACTTATGAAATCACCTGTCTGTCTGTCTGTCTGTCTGTCTGTCTGTCTGTGTATATTTTCAATATGGAGTTTTTCGATGTTATTCCATTTCGCATTCTATTCTAACTTATTCTACGTCAACCGGACATACATCAATTAGGTATTTCATTGTTATCGAGACAATGGCAATATTAACGGTGCTTGCTACAACCCTCGTAACATCATCTAACTCACAATTGAATGCCTTACCGGACATCGAACCCATACCTAGCACGGACTGGCTAACCTGTTTACTTATAGACAATAATATTATGCAATATTAAAGTTACGTAGCTGCGTTGTGTGTGACCATTCAGTACATCGTCGACTGAAAATGAAGATATTTGGCAGCATCGGCCAAAGGGTGCAGAAATACACTCATAAATTACGAAATGAACACCTACTTAAGGAACTTAAAAAAAGATATATATATAAGAGTTATATATATATATATATATATATATATATATATATATATATATATATATAACTCTTTAACATGATAAGTTCATTTATATAAATGCCAGCACTTATATTTGCGATTCATTTCAGCAAGCAATGTTCGTACATATATCGACATTGAATGGAGCTATTTCTCGACCCTGACACTCGCAGTGATGATGTCGGCGCATGGTATTGATTGGTGCGCATTGTTAAATAGATTGCATTAATTATTGTCAAATATTAGGTATAATATCGCTTACTTAGGTATAATTATACAATAGGATAATCTTATAAGTAGACCCAATGTCTAGTAGGTACATCCTTTTCATCCATATACAAATACAGATCGATTCGACAGCCATTCGTCTCAAATTTTGCACGTCCATGCACTCTTTAGGCTGTGCGCTAGTCTATTGAAGTCCAGATTGTTTCCAATGTCCAAGTCTGAGGCGTATCTGACGATCCAATACTATCTAATGATCAAACGGAATATCTTGGAAATGTTTAAGCTACCGTAAATACCCTTTATAAACCTACGAATTTAAATAAACAGGTCTTAGAATTACAGGGCACAGTTGACGGCGTTGCAGACGGAACCTCTGCATGTTCGGAATTTTTATAAGTAACGATAGTGATTTCAAATAAAAACTCAAAAAATACACGCGAATTTACTTGCTTGTGTAAAATGGGCCTCTACAATACACTAACTTGGACCTGTCCTACACAAGTAGATCACAGAATTCTATGCTTTGCATGTTTGCGGGTGTCGTTTGTGGTAAGCTCAATCGTTCATCCCTCGGGAAATTTACCGAATCTGATAGGTCCGCCTAGGTGTCGACTACTTAAATCCGGTAACGACAACTTCTCATGCAACGTTTCAGTCAGTGTAGCAATCTTGTTCAGCGTATGGCCTATGCATTTCAACAATCTGTTCGTATATCACAGTGGCTACTAATGAAGACCCATCGAATGGCGGATCGAAGTCGGCTTACCGACGCAGCGTTTCATCATTGCTAGCGTATCAGTATTGGTTAATGGATGTACGAGATGTAGTGTACGGGAAAGTCCATGCAGCCGTCATGGTTCGTATATGACTGACGTGTCATGCTAACATTAGTTATTATTGAATTAGCTGTTATCAGTTATTGCTATTGTGAATGAACAATAAAACGACCACCACAACGAACATGGATAAAATGCAATTGGAATGTTGCTAACCTCCATATAAAATGTCTACTGCTAGACTCTACAACAATATTTAGTCGTACATACATTATATAGTATAAGGATATTGCTACTATTAGTATATCATACATAGGCACATAATCAGAGCAGTTCGTCACAATCAGTCGTCGTCGTCGTCGTCGTCGTCGTCATCGCCGTCATCGTCATCATCACTGTGATTGCATCCATCGTCGTTGATTGTGGTAGTTTGTGTGACTAATTTGTGTGTGTGTGTGTGTGCCTATGGATTTTGTGGGGTTTAACACTCTGAACGCGATCTTAGCAACAACCAACAGGCTAAATCGATAGTATTCGTCATACAATGCGGCAATAGTACTAAATGATAAGCCTACATACTACATCTATGGATATGACGACTAGAATTCTATAGGTCTCTCTCGATAGGTCGTCAGGTAATTTTGAACACGTGTTGAAATAGTATTCAATTGTGCACCATTCGATACGGTTACACGCTGGTCGTCGTCATAGAAATTCAATGTGACATAGGATTAAATGCATTCATTGTTGCAACATGCTACTAATGTCGAAATGGGAAAAGACTAGACTCGAACGTCATGCAAATGTTTGAGTCATAAATATGTCGGCTACCCCGTAACATAGTATTTTCTCCAGGTTAACCGCCAATTATTTCCTGTTTTTTCGATCCTCTTCTTTATCTCTACCTCTTCTACATGCTTCCGATCTTCATGATGCTGCCAGACTCGCTTACGTGGCCGTGTTTTTTTTCCAGTAAAGTGTTTAGGTTCCAAAACGTTTCTTGGCGCACTGCTTGCGCTATAACGGAAATGTGGCGGACGCTTCGCGTCGTTTGTGCTCGATGCACAGATAGCGATGTCGACCCAGGCATCCACGACCTTCGTGTAACGTCAACTGTTGCAAGACATAAAACAATACTCGATAGAGTGACAACTTGTCACTCACCTGACCGAGTAGCACCCGGCGTTACCGGGCTCTTCCGATACGTAAATCTCTTTCGGAGCGATAATTCTATTTTTTTTCTTCAGCTGATCACTAAGATTATGATCTGGCTATTTACTTCATTGAATATAGCAATGCGTCTCAACTCAGTTTATTGGTTACGTGATAAATTTTCTATGAGATACAGATTTGGTCGATTTATCCAGAAATGTTTCAATTGTATATGCCCATTCCATTTCGGTAAATTCACGGTATGCGTTCGAAAAGCATCATTATCTCTCGTTATTTCACGCTTCAGCTATATATATTCACAGACTTGACTTCCAGCTAAATAGTTACATTTTCAACTTCATAGCTCAAGTTGGCAATATGAGTAATGGAGAAGACTGATAACGTCGAAAAATTGGCTCTCGTTTTGAATTGACTCGTGAGGGGTAAGAATGAAATGCAACGCATCAAGAATGAACGGCAACGAATAGGAGATGCGTGATGATAAATATCTTCATCCGTTCCACAAACAAGCCACAGTGATAACTAGGATACTCGTGCAAAGTAACAAGAAGAATATTCGTTGCTTCTCATCTAGCTCTACGACCACCTCCATCTATGGTCATCAACTAAAAGCCAGGTGTGACAATGACATTCAGTGCTGGTCTAGAATTTGTAAAAAAAAAATTCTACATTTATTTAAATCATAATGAGTTCACCTTGTAAAGAATAGCATCAGCTTAGCTTCACAAGCTCTTTTTTCGCTTACATATGACAGCCTTTGTCTAAACTTTGTATGATGATATTCAACGTAATCAGCTATAAACTTGGATGATCCGATTGGAAGTATGAATGTTATTGCTCGGTAGAAAATTGAACGGTTTAGGAGCTTCTTTCGTTCTATTCTAAAACGATAATTCTCTGGGTGACATCGTTGGATGGAGGAGCGGATTTCGCCAATCCAATAATTTGTTGCTATAATCTCTGTCTGGTTGTGGCCTGGCCACTGGCCGACCTGCACGCAGAAATCATGCTGTCTTGACAAAGACTTGATAACTAGCACTCAGCTCTTGAGTAGCTTCCTACTGAAACGTGACATTTAGTGACCAGCTTAACTTCGTATAAGTTATGTAACAAAGTTCATAGAAATAACGGAAGTTTTCTTCAGATTGCAAGCTGTATCATTTACTGCCACTATGGGCGATACGGTAGGCGGACGTCTTACTTCCAAGTGAAACGAGGTTAACTTGCAGTCATAAGAAAAAGAAAAGCCTCTCTGAAGCCTATAAAACATTGTTCGCACGATATAATCTTCAGCTTCCAACCTGCCCTTGCTCCAACAACAATTTATCGTTTGAGACAGATGTTGGCACGGTTATCGTCATTAGAACTGGCAATAGAATTTATTCATCGAGCCCATTCTATTCACTCGTTGCGCCTAACTGAGAACTGCTTAGTAATGTTTTAAGTTTCAGCTGACGTTTACAGATTGTGGACCACTATACAATAACACTGGCCTACCGTAAACACTACATCGTGGCGCTTTCCGCCCAAGTCAAGACGAGAGCGGGAAAGCCCATCGAACTGGGAGCGAACTAACAGATCAGACAAAATAGAAGAAAATATACTTGTGTATGAGTATTTTGAGGAAAAGAAATTATACGACAGGTATCCTTACCATAAACATTCGTTAGAAATTAGGACCTTCAGAGCAGATAGTTTGGCAAACTCTAAGGCGAAAAATAGTCTTGAGACTATTAAATCAATGATTATACCTTAATAATAATCACACCCGTATTCAACAAAGTCTAACTACGTGATGTTGATGAGTGTTACATAAAAACGTAACTACAAAGAATGTTCTCCGATCAAAAATGGGTGAATCTGTTAAAAAAAGATTACATTTTTTGGGGGGTTATTGAAAGTTGTGTATAGGTCGATTGTATCTACGTCAGGAAATCATTACATATTTATATAATCAAAATATAGCCAGATTGTTTTACTAGTGGTTGATGTTGCTACTGCTGAGGTGTTATTAGTATGGAATCATCATTATGTTTATTCTTAACGAAAGGAATGATTTCGTTGGATAGTGCGAGTAAAAACATCCTCTTCAATTTACTAACAAGGATACATCTCATAGTAAACACTACTAGTTAATAACAGTGATACTTTGTTAGAATGGCCGTAGTTATTACAAACAACAATAACAATTCAATAGACTCCTGAATGAGGGAGCCAACTAATCCGCTGTCTGATTTGGCAGATGTGTAGTGATGTGATGATGCATCTGAAAAGGAGAACAGACGGCACGCATTTAAATAGCCGACGGATTGCAAAACGTCCTGCACATATGTGACAATAACGCAAGTTCTCTGAATAGCAATTTGCAGCTATAGACTTGTAACCGAAAAACAAGGAGTAAGCCTCGCAATGTGCGTTGACAGGACACATAAAATCATAAAAGGACCATTATCGGTGACAGTGTGAACCTAATAATATTAATATGTTAACTTGAAACTCGTAGACGATCTCATCAAGATTTTTCACTTCCGTCACGATCATTCCTTGATCGAAAATCGTCCTTCTGCTACGGGCAATAATGATTAAGAGATGGAAGTTGTGCGAAAGTTATTACTGTTGCTTGTAAACACATTACTTTTCCGTCATGCATGCAAGCCTCCTCCTTCAGAGTGCAATATATACAACACCGGACCTGAACATCTGTGATGAGACGGAATGCATGAATTCGTTAAGGGATCGTACAGGATGATAGCAGTTGACCAATTGTTGTAGAAAAGACTATTTAATTTTTGATCAACCTAGTTATTGACACATATATCTTACTCATTATAGGGCTGGTAGTAACGGAACACAGCAGCTGTACGTGAAGGCGTGATTGACTAGAATCTTGCACTATGCCATTTGATGCAGAGAGATCCGTTATATCGGTACGCCCCTGCTGTTGTCGCTTTTCTGCGTAGGTGGAGCGTGATGAACAGATCATGCTAGATCCGTCACTTTCGGTCGTCCAGATGTTATTTCATCCGTTAGTATATTCACAGTACATGCGCTCGTCGTCCGAGCCACCGTCGATTACAGTGAGCTGCTGGACCATCTCCGTGCTAAACGTGCCAATTTTCAGTAAAAAAAAAAACGAAAAAAAAAAAAAAAAAAGCAGGAATTGTAAAAGGTAAAACAAACAGGCTGTGACTGAACACTCGTCAATCTGTGCGCAGCAATAAACAAATATTAACGCATAAGGTGAAATCTCGGTAGATTAATCAAAATATTAAGCTATCCAACCAAGAGCATTTCAGGACACGCAACATTCAATGTGGCCTTTGTATAACCGTACGAATTAGGCGAACACCAATGCGGCGACGCAAAAGGTCAAGAAGCGTATGCGGATAGCATAACTAAACGGATAGCACAAGTCGGCAAGCAGAGAACAAAGTAGACAAATTGTTGAACGTCATAATATTAGTGGTACGCATACAAACACAAGCAACATGCTAAGATTGGAGAGAACAGTTATCTCGGCAAAGAAATGTAATACACAGAACATCTAACATATGCCTCTTGGAAATCGGAAGAGGCATGGAAAAACTGTAATCCTTGTTAACGTGAGGGAAAATATATATGACGAGAGGTTTTCACAGATCAGACGAAAGACATCGAATATTTCTATGAGAACTATGGAAGCTACAGATCGGCGTGATGATGGAAATTTCACGAAGTGTTTTAATTGGGAATGATTATAAGGGTTGGCTAACTTCTGAAAAACCGAGCTTCAAAAAACGGTAGCGTCTAGAATGAAGCCGTCCGCACAAGGGCTAATCCGGACCATTTTCTAGATAAGTCGAAAAATCTACGAAAGTAATCATGCAATGCATAACAACTAAAGCTTGATAACTAAGGCAGGGTAGTATAGTGTGTTGTCTAATCATTCTATCTTCAGCGCAGGACAAATGTATAAAATTATAGACAATATCAGATAACTATTCTTTTCTTCATCTTATATAACTGTACCCTGCTAACAATGGAGTAATTAATGGATTAGCTTGCAGTAGATAATGGCAGGTCGCCTCACCTGAGCGGAGGTAGTGCTCTTCTTCATGATTTTGCCGCTCATAATTAATCGGCCAAATCCTTCCTGATGTGCGAACGCGTACCCCGACCTGCAATAACGTTTGCCGTATCATCAATTTGTTGTAACTGTTACCGATTTATTATAATATGGTGAAGAACCCAGCAGATGTTTTATATGGGTGATCTTACATTCTTAGTAAGGTATTATGCCTAATATACGACGCATGGCCAAAGTCCGCTTGCTCGCGATTCTTGCCCACTCCAGCATGGTCAGCGCTATACAGAAGTACAACGGTCCTTCTTTATTTTTGCCGTATTTTTAGTACGCTAACTCGGACAACTAACGCTATTATCCATTGACTACGGCGGCTCTATGCTGATGATGAGAGTTACAAGAGCTATTCATTCAGACAAATGGGCCTTCAGACTCACTGCCGTCGCCGTTCGTACCTTATAGAACGCCGTGATCTGCGCAGGCTACGTGCGGTAGTAATCATGTGCGGCTCGGAAGGCCGAGACTTAATCCTTTGTAGACGCTGTTTGAGACGCACTCGATCGCTCAACGTCGGGAATACGTCCACGTAAAAGAATCTAACCCATCAAATACAATATAATGAGTAAGCTACATTGATAGAGCGATTGCAAAGCTGAGTACAGTCATTGCAAGCAGGTCTACGAATTAGAGATACGGCTATTAAAATCTAGTTCGATCCCGCCGAAATCAACTATCAATATAGCGAATAGAAGTAAACGAAAGACGAAGTATTATTGCTAGTTTACCTGAATGCAACAACAGGCAGCATCAGAATGGTGACGGTCAAGAAGGCAACAAACCAGAACTGCCCGGTGCCCAGTGTAACACGGAGCGATGCTATATACGCGTTACCTGAGACAGCAGCCAACATGAACAAGGGCAAAAAAAAAGACATAGAAAGAGAACGAAAAGGAGGAAAAGGTCGTACCGCACGGTACCCCACGAACGAAGTCACCGCAGAGCACGACGAACGAATGTCGTTGAATAGCAAATATGTACTTGTGCTTACTAAAAATCAAACACCTTCTACCGATTCCCTTTCGTATTGCAATAGGTGCTTTTGCGTAGAAATCATAAAGATTATAATTTCTTCTGCTAATTTTGTTTGATTCATAAAGACATTCGTAGCTTTTTTTTTTTCGTATGCTTCTCAAGCTGTTATGATTTCATAGCGGAAATCAAAATGAACATGGCGTAATTAAACGATACATTATACAAGTATAGGTAATTCAGTGAAGGCAAATGAATAGTGGGCCTTGTCGGTATCGTCACGAGCAGACTTCATCGTCAATGGTCGTTGGTGTTTTATAATCAAAAAGCGTCTACCTTGGTAACAGGTGCTTTGAGCTATCATGCCGTACGTTCATTTGCAATGGTCGCAGAGCGTGTAAATTTAAGTATGTATTTTTACAGTCTACCTAGTTGCTTATCATGGGTAAAATCTGGCTATCATGGTATTAATCAATTAGATCAATCACCTTGGATTTTGTCGCTAGTGGATAGTGCGACATCGTACTTTCACAGTTCAAGTTCTCCATGATTTCGTACCTTCATCATGGATTTATCATTCACTATAGGGTTTTTCTCACGTTTTCTTCTACTGCTCGGTTTTTAAGTCCTTTAGAGTTTTTTTTTTTTTTATCTAATAATCTAAAAATAAATTGAGGTCAGGTTCATTTTACTCTTTTAGATCCAAGAAGTTAGTGCGTGTGTGGGATGAGTATTAAAAGAGGATGTGTGATGCTTTATTTAGAAAATTATCGTTTTTTGCCGTTTCTGTCGGAAAATAGATAAACAGTTGCATGCAAAGCTTGCTAAACGTGATCTGAACAGCTTTATATACGATTTTTTTTACCCATAATATAAATCGTGTGACTATCGGCACCCAGCATCCGTAGTGCGTTGCAGACATTCTATTGTGCCTGTGTACAGCTTCTATATTTTTGATAGCAGCTCATTGTTGACTTCTACATAGTAATTTCATGTACTATGCAAACAGCTGTGCGACTATATTGAAATTATGTAGCTATACCCTGTTACATTTACTCCTACTGACACTGAATTTCACTACTTCTAAGTACTATATAAATCTATGTCAAAACTAACCTCTTTGATTTTTTTTTTTATCTTTTTATTGCATGATCTTAGTTCAAGTATGATTGGTCGAAATAATATGTATCTGTGGAAAATGCTATATATTCATATATCAATAGATATGTGAATACCCTAGGTAGTTTACCCTAGGTAACACAATGCGATGCTAGCATCTTGTTACAGGAACGAATTCCCTTCCATTTTTTAGGGCTACATCCCCTAACAAAAACAGCTGACATCTCATTGTAAGCAAATTTGCCCTCTAAGCGTTTAAGGGTATGCCCTAACTGTGCAGCATAGTTTAATATGTTCGTCCTCGAATATCTACCGCTTGTACTTAAGGCTCCAACGACCGACAAGGTCACCGCAGAACTTGCGAACGTCAACTCAAAATAGTTATGGGCCAAACCCACGCTCAGCAGGAAACACTTGTGCCTGACGCGCAACGTCGGCCTGGTCTTTAAATCCTACCACAGCTACGTTGCGCGAGAGATCCATTCAAAAAAGATCGAAGTGCCATCGCTGGCTTCCCGAGTCCTAACATGAGTTTATTCCCGCTGCCTTCCAATCGGCTTGCACTTGTTATAGAACAAGCCGAGTCTTGCATTCTCAATTTCAGTAAGCATCCTTCGTTAATAGTTAGACAGAATAGACAAATATTGGGTGAACAGGTGCTGATACTTGCGGCAAATATATATATATATGTCGACTATTGATACCTATTTATAGGACGATAATGATAATCTACTGCAATAATTAAGGAACCTAAGCCCTGTCGTTGATTAACTCTCCTTCGCTGCAAATATACATTAATAGATTGACTTTGTGTACTTTTGCTCTACGGAATACGGAATTGTACATCAGTTGTGCGAGAGACGTCTTGTGCTGGGAATGATTTAGCTGGGTGGAGGGATAGCCTCGTCAAATGTCATTTGTGACCGTCGGCCTTGTCAGCCAGTCAGACTTGGCCCGGTCACAATCTGTCACAGCTATTTCTAGCATTAATGCTATTCATCAACGGCCCGTGTATAGACCCAGTGTGATACTGCAACGATAAGGTGCGCCTTTCGTTCGACGAGTTTACGCCACCTGCATGCTTCGCTACCGGGAAGGCTAGATAGGGCAGCCCCCTATAGGCAAATCTCGCAAGGGTAGAAATGAAATTATGCGGTGCTTGCCGTTATACTAGAATCATATTTAGTGTAACGTTGCTCGCGTGATTTTTCTGCGCTAATCGTTGCCGAACGGACTCAGATGGATAGAATACTTGCTATTGTTAGGTAAGCCTAAGACGGAAACGTGACGTTCGTCCATGCTGTTATAATTTAAGCTCAGTCTCTATTCACATCGATTGTCACGGAACAGCTTAAGTGAACCTTCAATTATCGACATGAATGTATAGTAAATGATTTGAAAGCTAACATGTCTCAGGAGCCGCCGAGCACAGAAGCTGACGTTATACGTTCCATCATGAGACACCCTGTATTAAGTAAATTTATATAAGTTTTCGTTTGATAAAAATTCCAGATTGAACAGTTAAGCTGATCGTAGAATCACCAGTAAATCACTGACAAAGTCGATACAAGTAGCACTCGACAAAAAGGCCTTAATTTCCGGCCTGAACAGGATCGATTGATGATTGGCTTACCGGTTGTACGTTCTTCCAGCAATGTCGCTGCATAAAGCGGGCCGAGGTCACGCACGAAATAATAAATATTAATGTATTTATTATTAGCAACTTTAATCAACGGTGCGCTTTATATTACGTGCATTTACTTATCTCACTCTCTCTCTCTCTCTCTCTCACCCTCTCTCTCTTTCTATCTCTCATTAGTGAAAGGTTCCACCAAATTTTTTGCTAATGTGTACTTCAACGATCACATAAACATCCAGGAGTAATAAGGTGTTATCAACAGAGAAAATTCTTTTTAATCATAGCATAATTTATAAACCCCTCGTTGTTCTTCAAAAAGCTACGACGTCAAGTTTGCGGCAGGTTCGAGGCAGTAGTAACTTGTCTCTACGTGCGCCTTTCAGCACTTTTTCGCCTATGGAAGGGCTGTTTTTTTAAATGGACGCAATCCTAAGCAGCAGCTCTTATTCTACGAAAAAGCGTGGCTTCCTGATCTTCAGTGGGAAGCGATTTTCAAGGAAGGCAGGCAGGCAGGCAGGCAGCCGCGCTAGGAACGCCAATGAGACAGCCTACCCCAAAAGCAAACAGCCACAGATCAACCAGGCTAGTGCCAGATGGAACAAATACGCATTCAAAATTCGGTGAACGTCATAAAGGGAAATATAAACGTCAGACTATTTTCATTGCTTGTCTTTTTCGCTTAAAGACTTTGCTCAATTCAGACTTCACCTCTCAAGTTCGAAAGTGGCTCCCAGTTACTCCGGCCTATTGTGATCAGGTACTGATATCCTGACAGCGGGACGCTTCGCATACAAATGCCGATATAATGCATTTTTCAGTTGAACGCCTCCTATCCCATGAAAGTCTAAATATTTGCACAGTTACTGTTTACCTAGATCACCCGCCAACAGCTAGCTATTGCTTTCGAGAATAGCTATCAGATAGAAAAGGACAGAGAATATGTATGTACTTGATGACATCTTCATTTACAAAAAAAAAGGAACTTAGAAAAAATACATATTTGAAAAGGAATGATGTTAAATTCACATGTAAAGTAAATGCTGAATAAATCAGTAACTTATTTTTTATTTTTTGTATCGCTGTTCGAGCCTCCACTGTCAAAAGCGCTAGCAAAGCTAACGCGCATGCACAATGCAGACTTCACTTGGGTAATCACAACAGGTAGAAAGAATATGTACAGGTAGTCATTTTTATCAATCATTGAAAAATCAGGTCTGTAAGATGCAACATGTCGGATCTCAATAGACGATTGCAACAAGAAACTTGATTAGGGAGCAATTAAGAAGATATTAGGCTAGCGTTTCGATTTATAAATACTCGCTATCCATTCTGTTATCACCTTCAGTCTCCGAATCAGGGCTTTTTTTTTTGTTTTTAACTGTCTGCATGCAATCAATCGTCCTATGTAAACCGATGTGCATGTTTGTAAGGTGTCGAAGACGTCAGAAAAGTATCGTTATTTGTAGAACAGATCAGTATTGGATTTATGTATATGTGCGTATACACAAAAGTAGTCTTCTGAGTTTGATCGAGTTTTACAAGACTATACGTAAAAAGTAATTTTTTTCTATTAACAAATACGGAACATCTATAAAAGGCACACATCAGATTTAGTTAAGTACGTTAGCCTAACACATGTGTTCGTGAACTGTGTCGTTCAAAGAAGGTTATCTGAAAAGTTTTGAAGTTACATAAGTTGATCCTGAGGACCGAAATGAAATTTATTCGCTATATCTTGTAGAAAACGTGTGAAATTTTCAATCCGTCACCGAACAAGTACGTGTATGATATTGCAGTATGTCCTTGGATATTTATCTATGTATATGTGTAAATATCTTGAGAAGTTGTTATATGATGTGCTATATGTAATAATAATTTTATTATCAACTGTCAAGTTCCAGTCAAGCGTTACTTCTATAACGAAACAAAGCATTTTCTAAAGCACACCTGCTGATCACGATCACAGGCAATAGTGATCTATTCGTTTTAATAAAGATTCCCATTACAATATGTACGGTCTCAGTTTTTAATAATATTGCCTCTGTTCATTTTTTAGTGCTTTATCTACAGGCGAGTCTTTGTCAAAATTTTATCAATACTATGTGTGTATCTGTAGAGCGAGAGACGACAATGGCACGATAGTCCTGAACCTAGTAATCCTGCTCGCAAGTATATACGACGAATGGAACGGGCAATTTTCCATAAATACAAAAATTTCACTTACCTATAAAGTCGGAGTTGATAAGTAGTGTGATAGCAAAATAAAATGCGACAGACCCCCAGATGCAAACATGATTGAACAACGTCCAATACGTCGTGTCTACCGCTATCTGACAATTTACGATTAACACCTGCAGGCCAAATAGATAAAACTAGTAATACATCTGTGACCTTAATGCAGGATCGATCTTCTTTTAATCTCCCTCGATCCGGCATGTATTCGAAATGCGTTTATACTGCACCGTGGGCAATCAACCCATCGCGGATCGACTGCTACCCTTATGGCGAAAAAACAAAAAAAAGTAACTATTCCTACGTCAACTATAATAACATAGAACTGTATTTCGGCGTTTCAATGGATAGTATTTGCTGATGTACTAGGGATTTCGGTAGTACCAAAATGGTTGACACAACAGTGCCGAAGAGTTGATGTCCGTCGAGATTTTCACCGCTCGGTGCGACGCTGTTGTTAAATGCCCCTGCAAAAAAAACATGCCCGCTGTTAACAGATAGTTACCTTTCAGTGTTCATTTTTACAATCAGTATAATAATGATTTGAATAAATACACGCCCAACCAAAAGGTTTGTTTAGATAATGTCGTAATAGGTTGAAAAGATAACGTCGATTGCAACAAGCGGTAGCTGTTTTGGATGGTTATGAATAGTTTTGACATTTAGGGAAAAGGTCGCATGCACGTTTAGGAAAAAAATTCATGATGAGATATGGCAGCTACTTACCGTATGGTATAAAAAAGAGAACGAAAGAAGTTACGACACCGTGCGCTACACTTTTCAAAAATTCCACCTAGAACACATGATACAGGTAGTTCGTATGAGAAGTTGAATTCGAGCTTAAAATAAGTTCCCATTGCTTTCTCAATATCAACCCACGGACTTGAAGCTTAGCGAGGCCACGTACAGAACTTTTTCATGTTCTACAATATTATTCATTAATCAAAAGAAAACCAAATGTCCGGACGGTTACGAAGGTCAATGGGGCCTTAGCTGAATCCGCGATTGACATTTGAAGTCCTCTCTGAACTCTCTGTCTTCATTTTTCTCGTAGGTATATAATACTAGTTAGGAGCCAACGTTTGATTCAAACTCTGCGTTCGCTATTTTCAATTGTTCTAACACTAATAGGCACCAGATGAAGAAATATTCCCCATCAACAACATTCAAATTAAATCTAAATCATCAGCTTTGTGGATATATTTAGGTTTCAAAACAGACACCTATCGTACCTTATTGAAGAGAAGATTCATGTGTCCTGGCGTGTACAGCTTCGGATATCGTATTGAATGGTAGTCGTTTACGTCCTGCAATGATTACGGTTGTTAAAATTTAACATTTAAAACCTGCATTTAGATACTTGTTTACATAACGTATATTATGAACACTTACTAGTGTGCCTATGTGCTTAGCATAATAATAATAATAATAAGCTTTTTTTTCTAAGTAAACTTGCAGTTTTTTCTTTTTATAATCGATTATCTCTTAATCTACGTCAATGTTTTGATTAGCAATACCTTTACCTTAGCAATATCGTTACTTTCAAAAGGTCGTAACGTAGGTAGGCTTTTCGCTAAACGATTCAGTGCTTGGTATCGAGCCAAAATAAAGTACGCGGGTCATGTATCATTAACAAACCTGGTCAAAGACGCCCAAAGCTAAGACGGGCAGCGAGGTGTAAAAGACATTGTAAAATGATATAAAGACCGGATCGTATAGCGTCTGAAATGTTCCACAACGACAAATTGAAAATTAGGAGAAAAGCCATATTAATAATTATACATGATATACTTTCATTGTAAATCTACCGGGCTTAACTTTGCAAGCTGCACACTGGGTTCAGCTTTTTTTCCCCCTGGTCGCGTCCTTTGTCGATAAAACAAAGTTTTTTGCTTGAGTATCTCATCTTCGTAATAAGTACCTGTGACCTCTTATTAGTGCTAGTTACTGTTACCTGAGCAGAAAACCCGCAGAAAAACGCGAACCAGAAGTGGCATAATGTAAATGCGAAGTTCTTGTAGAAAAAATACCTGTAATTAGAAGCGTGTTTGTAGTAAACAGAAACTCGGCACGATTAGTATTCGTCATGAAAATTTATGAAATCATTGTATTTTACTCTGAATTTATCTTGCAATGGTGACAAATTTTTATTACCTAAGGAACCTGCACATTCGCAGATACGACCATCGACCGTGGACTAGTAAAAGGCGTTCGAGGAAACGAAACTGTGCGATCGAAAAATCGGAGGCTAAAACAGCCTGCATTCCCTCCTGGCCAGAAATGCCCACTCCAATATGGGCCACTGGAATATCGAAGACAACAAGAACAACAGAAACAATTAAATAAAATAGTTATCTTTTATGTAACGTTATATACGGTGATGCCCAACTTAGAAATAATCTCGAACGTGATCCAAAGATCACGTTCGAGAACGATCTTAGAAAATAATTTCCGCGGAAATGCTAATCAATTTTTCAAAAATACTCACCATTTCATCAAGAAAACTGCTTCAACCCCCCGCCCCCCGCCCCAAAAATGCTTAAGACATCTAGTTAAATCTCCGGAATTTACAAACATTTAGCGAATCACTGAGGCCCAAGCGCATCCGAAAAAACATACCGGCCCATAAAGAGCTTATTCATACTTGAGGTAATTTTAGTTATATTACTATTGTCAGCCAGTCATAAACAATCTAAATTAGATTTTATACTAAGAACTGGTGGTTTTGTCTTATTCTTTTAGAAAAAATGTTGTTTATATGGTACTTACTTTTGATCATGGAGACATCATTTGCCCCATCCCCAATAGCAAGCGTTACAGCATTTTTGTGTCTTTTCACGAGATCGACCACCAACGCTTTCTGTAGTGGAGTTACTCGGCAGCAGACGACTGCCTTACATCTGAAATTATTAGTTGTTTCTAATCTAACGTTTGCAAGGCAAACACCACTAATCTAGAATAAGTCAGATCTAAAGGAAGAGCGATCTGCAACGTTGCTGGAGAAATATTATTTATGTTTTGGTCCGGTCCTTCCGTACGCTATAACTCAGTGAAACGATGTACATTACCAGTCTCTACCGATACAACTATTTTATATATTTCCCAAATCAAAGGCTGAAGCAGGATTACGATCGCCGAGTAAATGCCCACCTGCAAGCGACTTCGAGAAAAAGTAGTTCAAGGTCTTCGCCGAGTGCATGTACAAGAGAATACCCATTAACGATTAGGGCAAAACCTCCAAACGAGTCAGAGAAGTCCCAGTCACCACGGTGCTCTGCGCCCCGCCCGTCATCATCGTGGAACCTAAGTAAGAAATGATTAATTATTATTGGACATCGTGCAGAAGAAAGTCTCACGTTGAGAGTCATGAAATTCGCTTCGATGAGACTACAAACCGAACAATCGAGAGATCTCCACCAGCTGCACTTTGAGAAACGACGGACGTAATATTTTCCCGAAATGTCTGTAATTGTTTCCACACCTAAATACACACAAATATAAAAATCGAAACAGGATACTGCGTTGTTAATTAATGAAGATTGTGTAGAATTCAGAAAAGAAGAGTAACAACGATTAGGATGCCTTGTATCATGTACACGTCCAATATAATACAGAATGTGAAGCTTTGAAGAGTGGTTGTTTGTCATACTTCATCCTTTTCAGTTCCGTCAACAATGAAAATGTCCACCATTTCGTCTGTTAACAGTTGACACGAATAGCCAATATTAATCGCCGTCTCTGGAAATACCGATCAGCGCAAAATGCACGTAATACTGTAGATGCCATAGATAAAAAAAAAAAAAAAGAAAGAAAAAAAAAACAGCAAAGCGGAGTACTGTCTAAATGATTTTGTCCCTTGATTGATCTCCAATTCAACTTAAAAGGTGACTGTGCTAATTATTTATACTAATTATTAACGACGTGATTCAATACGGAACTGTAGCTCCATAACCAAATCACAATAGAATGGTTATATAGAATATACACAATAGAACGGCGATATAAGTAAAACGTTACCTTGCTTATCGCCAGTAAGTACCCAGAGTTTAATTCCGGCCGCAGCTAGATTGGCAATAGCTTGTGGTACCCCATCCTGAAGTTTGTCTTCAATCGCAGTAGCACCTATAGATTACATGTAGACTATTTAGTAATGTCATTTAGAGATGCAAACCTCAGAAAACGGCTGAGCAAATTCTTAAAACGCCAACCCATGCTACTTGTGATTTCCATCGGAATCTTGATTCTAAATATCTAAAGTAGAAAGAAATTATTGAGAAAATTCACACTCCCATGCTAAAACATGTCCACAATCCAATTTCAGGAACAAATTATATACCTTACCGATAAGTATAAGATTAGTTTCGATCTCCTCGTAAACGGCGTCCACAGCTTCTTCCCTGTTTTCAAGAGTAACGCTCGCCGCGTGATGCTTGGCAGTCCATTGTTCGAAATAGTCCTCATCGATATCCTTATAAGCGAGGCAAAGGGTGCGAAGACCCTCGCCAGCAAATTTCTAAAGGATACAAGGTAGATACAAATTTGTTTTTAAAAAAAAAGGGAAAGCATAGGTTTTGGCGGAAGCGTGTAATCCTGCTCTTTTGTGGGGACAGTTATAACAAGAACTCAACATCTGCAAGCTGGCATATTGTTCAAGTTCAGCCTCTGCTTACACTTTAAGCACCGGATCGGGCATTATAGCATCAACGGTTAAAAACTATATATTTTGCATGGCTGAAAGAAAATATATCGCATTTTTACAGGATAGACATCTCACAAAATCGTATGGTGTCTCACTTGGGGGTTGGGGGTGCACACTATCCAACTCTGCTTCAAGTACTGTGGCCCATAAATGCTAGGAGAGTGAAACGGTCCCTTAGGACACAAAGCAGGAGATTAAAAAGAAAACCTATTGCACTATGTAGGGGACCATTGATGTTTTTATTGGATCAACATTTAATCTAATATCCGTTCGTGATGTTCAACTCCGCCTTAATTTAGTTACATTAAGATGGTCCATGGTCTGATCTTGCAAGTCCTTGCAAGTTTCGGAGAGTCGTTCAAATATAACCGAATCAGCCCCTTTGCAATAGAGCTTCAGTTGGCCATCCGGATTCCTGAATGAAGAAAGATCGATGTTTAGGTCCACAAAATAACGTAACCAGCTGTACTTATGTAACGTAAAATATATGTACAATGATACAGACATAGACTGTCTTACACCAGCAGGCTCCTTTATCTGTTTTATCTTTTATTTTTAATAGCTCTGAAAGGAATTCTCTGCAAGGATGACAGAGTATATCAATCAACCTATTTTAAAAGCGAAATTTCTCTTTCTAAACGAACTACATAACGTACGTCTTAGTACATTCAGAAGACACCTATACCTCGATTTTCTGACAGAATAGCATGATAATTCTTAACTAATTATCGCTGCGAGATTAATGTACTAAGCCACAAATAAATACAACACGTACCTCACAATGACAGACATACGTTTTCGAACGTTGTTGAAGTCAAGTATGGCAAGTAGTTCGTAGACCTCTTCTGCACCCCAAACGCTGATGGTGATACTCTTTGGGGTACGGTTCTGTAACGCAAAACAGAAACGAAGGACTTTATTGACAAATGCACGCTTATCATCTCATGAGAACAAAACACTTTCCACCTGCCACAAATATTCGGCAGAGACAGATTCATTAATTTTTTATCGTTGGCGTTTCCATCACCGACAGAATTCAACGGGAGCTTTCTTTTTCTCCGAGACGCGTCCTAATTTCGGATTATTGATGGGACGGTTTAAATGATTTAGCTTTTTGGGGTCAATCTCTTAGTAGCACTAAAAATATACTACACAATCTGTGTGGATGAAAAATGTTCTTTCGAATTTAAGAAACGTTTTGCAAGATAGACATTTACCTTAAATACAAAGCCGAAATTCCTGGCAGCGGATGTCAGCGCTTCCTCGTCAGGCGATTGGGCCTGATATTCGAGTACTCCGTCCTTTACTTCTGACATTACCGTATGGCACAATGCCAGTATGCTGAGATAATAGCCAAACCGCCAAAGCAAAAGAAGCTCAGAATTACGATTAGGAATTCCATGTTTCAATTAATGAATATGGCGACATTGTTTGTACACCACGTTATATTGTTTCAGGTTGTGTAACACGTGCCCTTTTTTCTTCAGCATTTAAAACAGTACAAAAACACCTATTTATGGTATTTTCTTTCTAAAGATTCGCTGTTATGTATTTGAACATCATAGTAGAGTATGTATATGTAAATAATGGTGTTGTAGATAATAGCTAAAATTACCGAAAATATGACTGCACGTGGGGCTCCCCTTTTCTGACGTCATCAAGGAGAGTCTGGTCGTAAAATTTAAATTTAGCCTCGTAATCGACATTTGCGCTGAAGTCCACTGGAACCATTTCCTGTAATCGAATTAATATTTATTCTAAATCCGATGGTATATATATGTAGTCCCACATATTGGCCGAGCATAATAAACTGAATGTTTACGTGTGTTTTTTCCCTATGTGAAGGCTCCCTTTGTTTTTTTCCAGCAACAACACTGTCGCTAAAAAAGCATCATTGTACAACTCATTCGGGTTAGCATTTAGTGTGTCCGCCTTCGGCAACGATCACTACTGCAATTCAGTTTGACATGCTCCGGACGCATTTTCGTACCGTCTTTGTTATGCTCTGATTTTCCATTATATTCTCAAAGAAGAATTCTGATTGGGCAAAGATTCTATTGTAAGATGCTCAGGATCTCCTGACTAGCACGAATTTGCTGTTTGACACAATGCTACACAGCTTCGATTGAGTTCTGATCGGCTAAATTTTCCAGTCACGGTAGAACCTCGACCCCATTAACGATAAACACGTCAGAGGCACGCTTACCTATATAACATAGTGGCTTGTCAGACATTCCTATCCGGAAACCGTTATCGTACCCTAGGGTAGTACCTTTGTCTAAATGACCATACTCCCGTTGACGAAATGTAAAGGTTCTACACCGTAAATAAAAGTCAAGGTTCACACCATTGTTTTTCTCACGTGTCTGACCTGTTGAATTACACAGGACTTGCGAAGTGCTTTTAGCCGCTTTACGACAACTAAAACCAATTGATTTGACGTCGGAGCCCTCTTATGGACATCACTCCGTACTCTGCCACCCTATTGCGAAATAGAGAAATCGTTACAAGGGGGCTCTTTTTGAAGTTTGACTGGGGTGACCTTGTCTTTAATTTGTGTTTCCAATTTTTGTTTTTTTTTTTTTGTGACAGAGGCACTTCCCCTTCCGGACTATAACTGCTCGCCCAGCATATTCTCTTCACGATAGCTTTCCTTGTGTGAGTTTGACTATTAGGCCCCACTAAGCTTTCACGAGATCTTCGTGCAATCGAATCACGAATTTATGGATAGTTGTAGAGAAACTCACTTCTAAGATATTCTATTGTTACCATAACGCCGATGTAATTTAATTAAATAACGATACGCTGTACTATATATTCAGCCATCTACCATTCATGTTTCTCCATGAATGGAAAAACACGGAACTGGATGCCTGAACTGTAGGTGATGATTCGAATTTTCGCATACGTCGTAATTAGTAGACACTGTGCTACGAGTCTCGTTCAGTGCCTCTATTTCTACGGAAATTTACAATGCATTAATTACCTCGGTGACTTCCATGGGCTCCCCGGTGCTGGGGTCAATAATCTCGCCATACAGTCTGCCTTGAATAGAGGCCTTGTTAAATGTCATGATGTTTTGCGTAAGCGTCCCAGTTTTATCAGAGAAGATATACTCGATTTGGCCCAGTTCTTCGTTTAAAGTGGTAGTCCGGGCCCGGGCTGCCTGGTCTTTTGGCAGATAGTACATCTTCTCGTCCCAGTTGATCCATAAAGAATGCCAGAAGCGTATTACTTCGACACTGCAACAAAACGAGAAGATTGGTTCATAACGGATCCAATTTATCGACCTGACTATCGAGTTCCAACTACTAAGTCTTCCTCTGCTTAATTTTACATTTATTTCGTATGCTGAAACTAAGCTACTAGTATCCGCAATGAACGTCATGCTCCGTAACTGTTTCAAATAAAATTGTGAAGTAGCGGCAAACGTAAAGCAAGCTGATTACATTAAGCCAATGCGGTACCGGATTATCAGTGACGCTCATACCTGACATAGAGCGATATGGGCACAACAGTATTGAGCACAATGATGTAGGAGAAGAAGACCAGCAACGCTATCAACGCTGCGGCTCCCACTGGATTGTCCGTAGCAATTATAGAATCCCACGGAAGATAATCCCGAAAGTATTGTCCTGAAATTCGCGCACACCGATTACTTTGAAATAGGCCTTTGTCCAAGCAGTAACACAGCCCGTCATAGTAGCAATAATGTCTTCGAAGTTGATTTGTTGGCTTGTAGTCGCGGTTTACCAACCTGTTACTGTTTCCCATACGGAGCAGGCTACTGAACAGAATGAGCATATGCTGAATAGAAAAAACACTATGCCAAGGATGAGGACATTGAGGAGACGGTCGAGCGAGGTTCGCTTGAAGATCGTCTTCCCGCTGTTTTGCATGAGCTTCGTGTCGCGACCTGCGAAGATCACCATGCCGTAGCACCTGGTCGTTTACAACGCATGGCCACGTTAACCAACCACAGAATAAGCGGACAGATTAGTGCCGTTTCCGCTGAATGCAGACACGAAAAAATTACAGGACGAGACCGTATCACATCAGACATTTATGATTTGGCGAAAGCTTCAGTTAAATCAATACACCGCATAGCGGCAACTGAGACTAAACCATTTATCATTCGGTACCTACCAATGAGTGTTCCGAAGCACACAACCCCTGAGAAGAATCTTGTCATTATCAAGAGCGTATGTCTGATTTCGCCAATGTAATGCACCCTCGAATTTATTCAGGTTGTTGTTCGGAAGCTCGCACACAATTTCGCCTGCAAATAGCAAGGCATATTTATTATTTTATCAACCATTTAGGGGTAGTATCTTCAGGATTAAACCTTTTAGAGGATTGTTTTTTTTTTTCGAAAGTGTCTCAACCGTGCGCTGTTTTTTATGCGGTTCAGAACTGCATGGCTGTTAGGTAAGAGTAGGCATGGGTGAATGAATACGAATACTTTTCGATAGCTTAGAAACTCAAGAGTGCCTTTATTATTATAAGGGATAGCACATGTCTGGCAAACAAGTTGTATGTTAACAAATATAGTTTGAGATTCTTATTGTAGTTCCATACGCACCGTTAAATTTGGCGAGCATTTGTGCGTCGTTGGCCATCTCGGCGGTGTCTGGTAAGGCCTGACGACACTTGAGATTAGTTTCGCCGTCTAACTCAGCCGTCTCAATATAGCAAAGCCCATTAGGCTCTGAAGAGGACAGCAAAAGCAGATCGGCTGCTACAAATTGGTCATTCTCCATAAAGATCAGGTCGCCCACTTGAACCTATCAAGTGAAGAACAGCTACGTAAGCTATAGGAATTTGGCCTCTCATTGCTAAAATGTATGTAAATAAAAATGTGTAGCAAACTAGTATCTCTTCATATTTTCATTATTTAGAATAGTTGTCAGTGTATTTTTTCAGGAAGATCGTGGCCAGAAGATGTTTAACTCAAATGAGATGTATACGAGCACAGAGTATTTAGAAGACTCAAATCGGTTGGTTTTTCGCTCTTCGAAGATTAATTGTTGCCTGTAATTTTAATTTGCGTGTATTACTATTGATGTGTGCTTGTTATATGTACCTTGTGCCATCGTTCTTCTACGACGGTGCTCCCTCTCAGCACCTAAAACAGTAGCAAAAACAACAGTAACCACGTGTTGCTATTCCAAATCATTGCTGGAAATGTAGAATTAACTTCAGTCTATATCATTTGAATCAGTCGATCCGATGTCTTCTCTTTGCATGACTCGGAAACTAAGTAGAACGGCGCATCAGTCTCCAAGTAGTTATACACTTCAGTCTAATATAATATATTTAGATTGGTAGATACGTGAGTTCTGACTTCGGAATGTATTGATATTAAAAATGAAGGAATCCTGTTCACACAGATGTGAACCTTGTACTTATCGTTACCAGCACTAATAAGTGAATCTAAGTAATAAGTAACTATTTAGGACAGACATAATAAAATGACAATTGTATATAGTCGGCGGCCGGGTTTCAACAAGGCCCGTTCGTTGCCTACGTTATTTGAATGGCTATTAACGCGAAACTGCGTTGGGTGTTCCCTCGGTCAGGCTGCTAAGCGCCAAGATGGCTGTTACAAACTAATCTAGAGACCTAGAAGCCTACGATCAAGCGTTTATGAACGGCTACCATCCAAGTCAATCCTTTATGGCTATGTACGAGCTGTTCTCGTGCCTGCCAATGGATAGATGTTATATCTTTGTAGAATATTTAAACATACTACAGTGTATAAGAAATGGTTTTGATGGTAAATTAGGTAAATGTTTATAGTTATAGTAAGTATTGGCAGTGAACGCGAGAAAAGGGCAAAGACTCTCCAAGGGTTCGGGGCCAATTGACGCGACAGTAAACTTTGTAACTTTTTAAAGAGAAATGAGACTGAGGATTTAATTAAAAGCAAACAACTGGCTTCAGTAGTAGGAGAATTGGAAGGTGAGCTAGTAACTGTGAGCGAGCTGCCTGCAAATATTCATCTTTGAATTTGCTTAAAATCTAAACTCGATTGACTAAATCGATCCTGTCTCAAAAATTTTTAATTCATTTTAAATATAACAGGGGCTATGTAAGAGGCATCCAGGTGATAAGTCCACATATCTCCTACTTACAGCCCTCATTATCAGACGTGATAATTATACGTACCAACACATCGCTCCCAAAATGATTCCACAACAGGGCCGCGGTTGGGGCCATGTCAGGATATTCAGGGTCATTTCGAGTACCACTGATTATGTATTAACCGCTTTCGGCTTATTTCAACTACTTAATTTAAGTAGCTGGCTCTAAGCACAGGCAATAACGGTCGCTCGATGTCTTAGGTCACAGAACCTTGGCTTAGTTCGTTTGAATCAGAACAAATGTTCCGCCTTGTCCACGTCTTTCTTTCTCCATTAGCAATTTTCTTCTAACTTGAATGCCGACAAACATATGGGAAATTAGGTCGTAAACGTTCACAGGCCATAAACTACTGGGATCTTGTCCTAATGCAATGGTTATAAATAAAAATAAAAGAAAAAAGCTCTTTACTAAGTCACTATCAAGTAATACAGTTACTAAATATAGAGGAAAAAGGTCAAATCAAAGGCCTAAATTGTGTAAGATAACATTTGTTGTATTCAGGTGAATTTTAGTTCAGTAAAATGTATTCGTCCTTATCAGATAGATCGTTTACAACAATGGTCTGGTTTGTATAAACATACTCTCATAACTGTTTTGAGAAGAAAATAGAATAAGAAAACGAAAGCAATAGTTTATGGGATGGTTAAGATGGTCAGTCCGCTAGCGAGATTATATGAGCACATCGGGAGATGTAGTACCCATTACATTGTTTCCGGAGGTTCATGAGCCTCTGTAGCGGTGTATAACTTCCGGTGGAAGCTATGCATCACGCACCTATATGTGATATATAGCGTTATAAGGGGTTCAATGCGTGGTTTAACATAGCTCCAGGTTGGTAGAACCCTACATCTGCTTCCTTGAATGCCCCTCCAAGTCGCGAGCTATCGTTAACGGTAGGCGAAATAGGCGATAAGTCAAAACGTTTCTTGGAGTTTTTTGAGGAACAGAAATGTTTTTCGCAGGGGAAAGCTAACCGATTTTGTGTTGTGCGCTGCAGTTCGGAGACACATTTAGGATAGAGAGTTTTGAGTTATTTAGTTGGTCCAGGATCACAAGACGGAGGTCTTCCCAAATAAGTGCTACTGGGTCTATTGAAAGGTCGAATAGGCAGAGGCCAGCAGCGACTGAGAAAAGACGGCGATTTTTGATGGTAAACGTCGTTATCATTGCTTTTCTGCGCTTCTCCATGACTGCAGCGAGAAGCGTCTATCGTCGAACAAAAGAAGTGGTTTAATGGAGGAAAAGTGTTTACATAGGCGAGCAGCGATCGCAAATAGAGATCGCGTCTGCGAACGGTGCGTCCTCCTCTCCTAAATTCTATCGCTGCCATATTCGTCAGATTCACAGTTAAGTCTGAATTAAGAGACATGCAGTTTAGCTAACGTTTGCTGAACTGAGTAGGTGCTGTTTCTACACACAAGAAGATTGTCAACATATGAAATTATCCTTCTGGATCCCCAGCCTTTTGTTGATAGATTCTGCAACAATGCCGTATACAAGTGGAGGCCCTACTCGCCCTACGCGAGACTAGTGGTTCAAAAGAAAAATTACATTTTTTCGTGCCATCATCAGTCTTTATATGGGTTTTCTGAAAGGTAACCATTACAAACTGTTGAATTATTCTCGGAACCCTTGCTTTGCCATGAATTAAAAAAATGCGCCCTTTGGCACCGAATCTGAGACCCCCTTGAAATTTGCGAAGACGTCGCATAGTTGTTGCGTGCTCTTACTTAATGAGTTTTTGGTATTAACTAGGAGAGCCTTACACGCCGTCCCGGCTGACTGGTCGCGTCGAATGTCGTAATACTCGTTTTGAATTACAGCAGCGCTTTTTAGGAACCAACTTCGTTTTGCTGTTAGCAGCAAGGCCCAATAGTTTATAGCAAACACCCTTCGCTACAATTGTAAACGACGAGATTGACAATTCAGTGCCCTATTTACTTCTAAAGATGACTAGACGTTGGTTTCTAACCACTGAACAGGTAGGGCGCCCCTTCGGAAAGACTCATTAAATAGTACCGTCCAATAAGGGTCTAAGGTAAAAGTATTCTTTTAGCGCCCCTTCCTTGTCTGGTCCGGACCCGCGGCTTATTGGACTACCGAGCCAAACGAGCTTGGTCGATGTCCGTCATTAAGAAGTCAGTCTCGAACGGGTCTCTATTCACTGATCGTCTACGCAAGAGTCGTCGAGTTCCTGGGACAATCTTTTCATATTCAATCATCCGATCATAACAAAACATTATTGACAGCTGCATCGCCCGAAACAACTTTTCGACGTCTACCCTGTTTCCGGCGGCCATACGTCGGCGATCAAAGTTAGGCTCACTTAGGGCAAGTGCATTATCTTCCACTAAGACTATCTGAAAGTCACCTACCCGTTTATTATGAAAAAATTGAATTTTGAATAAAATTAAGGATTTTAAAATAAAAATCCTAAAGAGAAAGTTTAGTTTGGACAAGATATGAAAATAGATATTTGCTTGTGCTGTACCTTAGATAGTCGATTATTGACGGAGTTGTCAGATCGATGCCTCTGGATGTCATCGAGGGCATCTTTGGCCGCAGTTAAGGTTAAAACGACAATAAGTGGTACAGCCGTTGTTACTGGAGTCAGTGACGATATTTGAGGGATGAGCTGCAGAACCTATAGCAAACATCATAGGGTAACAGGTCAAAGAATTATTGTTGAAATCATGATATTGCGACAGATACCCGGTATGATTAGGAGTTTTAACCTCATATGTGTATTATTACGAAAAATAAAATAGAAGGTCGAATCGTATAACAGAACTCAGACAGGTATCTTTTGTGACATAAACGGGCAAGTTAGAGGCAAGCCTATGAAAATTCAAATTAAAATAGGCAAAAAAACATCTGCAGGCTCGCTCCGTCGCGGAAATATTCTCAATATTCTAAGCTCCACGTCGGGGTTTACTGTCTCTTCTTAATTTCAGATTCGCAAATCTTAAATACTCCCTAAATAGGATTTAATTTTTTGGAGTTTTTTGAACGTGTTCAATAGACTTGTTAAACAATGCAACAGATACATAAAACCAAGTTACCCATGTTAATATTTACAATCTTTTTCGCTATCTGTAGTTTAATGTGTGTATCTATGTTTTTTTCACTGTGACGTTGTTTGGTTTTGCGCAAACAGAATAATATTTGAGCCGGAGTAGTTTTAAGCGTTCTCCCTATTGATACGTTCTTCTATACTCACAAGTAGGCACAGAAAGTAAAAGTTGGCAAGCCGCTGGAACTGTTCGAAGAGGTTTCTTGGGACGAACGTCAACACCGTATATTTTGATGTTTTAATGTAGTTGTTCTGTAATATCATACCATAAATAAGCTCATATCACATCGTAGTTAACGAAACAAATAAATTTCGCACCACCTTACTTAGGCACAGCCTAGGACTGGAGCAGTGGATCCCCCTAGAAGTCATTCAGAATACTCGGTAGTGAAAAAAGAAACGTTTTTCGAGCTATATTTTTTTATAAACTATATATATATATATATACGGTTACAAACTTCCCCAAACACAGTTTAAAATGACCGTATTCAATATCCAGCCAGAATTTTACTTTCGTATTCACTCATACCAAACTTTTTTTCGGCGCGCATTTTCAAATACGCTGATTCTCCAATGTGCAATATTTCTTTTAGTAGATTCCCCTTTGTATATACAATCATTTCATCTCTCAAACAGCACTCGTAAACAGAAATATGGCAGTAACGCTCATGATGATACAAGAACCAGTTTTTTGGAAGTCGTCATCATTAACTAAAAATGTCTCGAAACCGCTTAATTGAATGATAGTTAAAAACAATAGAACAGGTCTCAGAGTCAAAATGTTTTCGGTTGCTGATAACATCTGCTTGTACCCCCTTTACAATAATGGCGTCTATTCACTTCGAAAGACGTCACACACCCATGTACACGTGCATATACTTACCGCGTAATTGAATTGCGCATTAAACTCCGAATTATTGGCCCGAATCCGCCGTTGTGTTTCTGAAAATTCAGATAGTATCAGACATAGATATTTTATGGTCAGAAAACATCAAGAAATACTATGAGTTTTGATCATTATCTCATCATATTAATATATACTTTGAAAGATATCGGCAATGACGTGCAATGCATGATATGATACATGATATATATATATATATATATATATATATATATATATATATATGTATACATATAAAGCAAGCCCTGCACGCCCAGCCAAGAGTATTAAGCATGGTTTTTAAGCACCTTCTTCTTGGATACTTTGACAAACGTCAAGTAACATTAGGTTTTCCAGAGTTACCCGTATTCCAGAATTACCAGAATACTCCGTAGGCGCATTCACGACGGTAGCAAGTCGAGCGAGGTATCGCACCTAGTTACAACTTCCTCAAATGAGTCTGCTCTATTTATTAGTAAAAAAAATCACGACTTTTGAGTAGTGTATGGCGATTGCATCGGCACTACAAGCAGTCCAACCGATCTTTGGAGATTTGTTTTCGAATGTTGTAGAAAATCCTATATTAGAACGTAACTTTGTTATATAAAATACGGGGACTGAATATCCCGGATGTGCCCATTGATAGCTGTGTATTGAAATTCAGTTATTCAGCGGCGTTACTATTATATACTGGTGTTTGTCTGTTATATTCGTTTGTTTAAATAAATCACTCTGCCCAGTTAAATTAGCGACCCCTGGCGTATAGACCACTGGCACACCGACTACTACCTAACGAATTTAAACGATGGCTTTGGTCGTTGGATCGCAAGCTGAACGCGTTTTCATTCATTTGTGAATTTCTTCTTTTTTTTTTTTCTTTCCGAATACAACTTCTAGTCACTGACTATTGAAATCATTATGAATATTACTATTATAATTCAAATACATTCTGTTTTGACCTATTCAGGAGCTCGGTATCGATTCCATCATTGGTCAAGTAATCTATTTTTTTCTTCCCATGGAGTATAGTGCAGTGGCCTCGTGGTAAAGGGAATACTCATCCGTCAGTCTTCCCCTCCCGAGAACTCGGCAGGAACCATAAGCAAAGTCTAATGCAAAGGCTATAGCGAAGGTGGGGGCGATTCAAAGCGAGCTGACGATCAGGGAATTCGCCGTTCGGTCGTTCGTTCGGTTGCCTGCCTGGCTACCTCCCTATCTTGGTCTGGTTCGGGTTGGCCCTGCCTTTGCTTTCAGTGAATCTTTGTTCGCCTTCGATTTCCTAGCCATCGGGGGAAGGAAATGGCCCAAAAAGGGAGGAGTTATCGGGAGGTCCACTCCACTCTTTGGGGCCTGGCGCCCGTGGCATGGAAAGTGAGCTGCCGCTTTCGCGAATTCATGGGGTCACACGGACATTTACACACGCTGTGTATATGGGCGCAGCTGCATGCCTCAGCCAGGCTTAAGTACGACGGCGGTTCAACCTGATTCGATCGGATCTGGCCAAACGGCTCAAGTTATTATCACGCATATTTTTCCCAAAATATCTAAGTAAGTTGCTTTCTAACCGTCAGATTTTCTCTTTTTCAATCAATTACTTTTTTTAACTTTATGTAATTAGATGTAGCTCGCTCTAATTTTCATAGAATGACGACGTTGCAATATTGGTCAGAAGTATTCCTGAGACAGTTGCCCTGCTTGGCCTGAACTTTGTTAGTCTAAGGAAAGGCTCGAATCGAAAGCTAAACGCCGCATAATAAAAAAGCAGACCGGTATCTCCTAAACGTATCATATGTGCCAGTTTCTATATAATGTCCGTCTAAGTCAAATGTTGTTTATATTTATTTAATAAATTTATTACGTTCAAAAACTCTCTGTGGTAGAGTAGTAACTCGATGAAGGCAAGACGTCAGTACAGGGACTTTAAATAAGGAGTGTAACCGCAGTGAAGAACTCTAGGTGTGCGCCAGCCAAAGAGGAAAGGTTATGCCATCTAGGATTCAGTGTGCACAATATTAGTAAATACGCGAAAACAATAGTTGACTGATTTTATGGTGAAACATTCTCAAACGGTCTTTCTGCACTGCTTCAACAGGCGTATCAATCAGGTTCTTCTCTCAGATTATTGTCAGTTGACTACTGCAGCTGCATAGGAAGGCCGTGCATCATGCTCCCTCTGCTGCTTGCAGTAGAAGCAACATCCATCTCGTCCCTTCGGATCGGGGCTTGGTCGCAGACGGAAGAATCAAGAGCGGAGATTCTCGGTAAATTGTCGATGGACATGAATGTGTAAGAACCAGTTCTTCAGTAGGTGAGTAAGGCTTTCTCACGCCAATGATGCGTATTACACGCCATAAAGACCTCCTCAGAAGCTCTGCTGCTAATATAACTTAATCGTTACCGCTTTCGGAGTGAGGGGCAGCGTTGCGTTCCTTAAATTAAACTGACCCTTTTTAAGATATCGTATCAATACAAGATAGAGACTGCGTTACAACAAAGAGCCCCTGTTGAAGCTAAGTTTTTTAATTAAAAATTGAGAAAAAAAACTTTACTATAAGGTTAAATCCCTATAGGGTTTATGCGAACAATTATATAATAATTGTTCGCATAAACCCTAACAGAAACTTTTTTCTAATGCGTTCGATTTCTTTCTGATATAAAAAAGATGTAATTGTTGCAAGTGAGTACCACGGTTGTGGGTGAATGAAGCGCCGAACGCACAGCCACAAGATCCTCCAGCTATCAATCAATAGCTTCTTTCAACTTATTTGAGTGACCAATTTCCATTCATAGCAGACTACCACTAGTAGGTATTCGTAATTTGCTCAAGATGCGCCCAACCGTTCCACGAAGATTATAATACCGCGTCCTTAACAAGGTGTTGGCAATGACGATCCTTACAAAAAAATTGCATCGTTTGAAATACTCAACCAATTCCAGCATTAACAGATATTTATTATGCTGAGTATTTTAAAAAAACCCGCCAAAAGTCCAAATGATGAATCATCCCAGCACACGCAGATATTGCCGATAAAGAGTTTACTAGTTCTCAGCTAGCAATGTTTGTTCGTCGTGAGCTCTCCTATAGTGAGCTTGATATTACTTTTAACAACGTTTTATAAGAACGATTCTAGAATTGAAAGGATACTTCGTTACTCGCTCCATGCTAAATCACTGTCTACTAGCATAACAACAAACACTTAGCGGATACGAGAACTTTAATCAGTAGAAATAAATTTTTCACTCAGTGTCTATAATAGTTTTTATTGCATATGCAGTGTTTCTTGAACGGTAAACGCAGGCAATTTCGATCTGATCCTAACAAAACGTGGCTTGTCGTTAGGGGGCAAATTTTCCACCAAAAAATCGTTTTTAATCGCCCCCACTTATCTATGTAAGGCTACGCTTGATAACCTTAGCGATACTTGACCCGATTATGTTATAGTCTTTGGCTTAGCGTACATTACATACAAGCGCATAAATGTAATCGGTTTATTAACGTGATAAAAAATTGTTTTTTTTTTTTTTCGCTAAAATTTTCAATAGTCCATGCGGAGCGAAAACGATAAACCGACTAACTGACTGATAGTTCTCCTTATTGTTAGTTTTCTATGTCTGATAGAAGGAATATCACAGTTACTCCATGTACAACGAGTGACTCCATATTCTATCATTTTTTTTTTTTTTTTTTATTATGGTCTGCAACGGCTGGTGTTTACGGTTCACTTATAAGACAAACGAACAGTGGTTTTTATAGATATCCATACACGAAATCGACGGACGGTCATATGCCTTTCCAGGAAGCCGGTGTCTATGACTATGTTTTCAGCAGAAACAAAACGTTTACACGAAGTGCTCAGCTGAATTTAGGCCACAGACCGCTCATAGTTTGTAGTTTAAACGGCAAGGCTACCCTACAACATATGACTAATAAATTAACTTACTAGAAGTATCTTCATATTTTTATTTATTTATATTTGCAGTGTATTCACCACAGGGTTTCCGCGACGGCTACGTTCGGTAGCTCTTCCTACACTTAAAAAAACAAGCTATAAAAATAGATATCAAAATGTTTAAGAAGTTTTATGTATTTGAGATTTCTTTATACGGCTACCTGATAAAATGTAAAATGGAGCTCGTAGAGAAACTTAACTCAATTGAGTTAAGACGTTTCTAGCCAAACCAGAAAGGCTTGTCCTTAACGTAACATATTATTGCTGTCTTCCTAATAACAGTTGGAAATTGAAAACCTAGGATGCTTTCAGTGGTCGCAGCAATGGATGCTTCACCTAACCAGAGAGCAGATGAAACATCTGATAAATATGGGAAATTTTGACGGTTATTTTTTCGCAGTTCTAAAATCGTCGGCATATCACCAGTGCTGTGAGTTGCATCAATATTATGGTGATCCTCTATAGAGAACAAACGAGGTATAGTGCCATGAACGAATGACCTGGGATTTGCGGATGAATAGGCCACCCAAGGAGTGGTTAGATCTCTACGTTAAGGACATTGTCCGCTGCCGCCGTTTAGAACGGGTGCTGTGGTCGTGACAATGTTATACGCGCCACAGGCGACGTAGAATAATAGTAACAACTCCACCTTTTTCTACTTTTCCTGATTAAACTCATGTGCCTCCTGTTTCATCAAGTATATCAATTCGATAATCATCACCACGCTATATATATTCTATACTATTATTTACTACTATTATTCTATACTATATATAACTAGAAGAACACACATTTAACGCCAGGCTGGAGCACTTTCTACATACATAAAAGAACATCTCCACAGATTCTGCTGCTCGACCATTTAAGGTGATAAAGCATGTTATCGATATTATTAGAACATAAAGATTAATCTTAGTTCAGTTTATTGTCTAAAAAAAACACCCGATTTTACGGAACTAGCGTGGCTATCCGCCAGCTAAACAACAAGGATTTAACAAGATACACAAGACTATCAGTAAATAAGAGGAAAAAACGTTTCGCTGCGTTTTTAACCAACGTAAATACGCAGTAGAACTTATTCCACTGCTGACACTCTGTATAGGTCGTAA